ATGATTCAGAGTACGATTGTTTTTTCACAGTTGGAAGCATTTGGATCTCTTGAAAAAGTATAAACAACAAAAGATTGAAACATTATTTGCATGTATTATTCACCACCGGTTATGGCATTTATAGCCTTTGAGCATTCGGCATGAAAATTATTCTTTAAGTCGTTTTATGGCTGCTTTCAACTTCTACAGAAGCTATTGGTGATCACTTGATGCGGATGAATACTTATATGTGATGAACAATGTTCATTACATACGTGATGCTGAAAACTAAATAGAGGTTATATCTCAAAAAGCATGGTATGTATGTGGAAACCTTTGACTTGAAGTGATTTTTTTTAAAAAAATCAGTGTTTTTTTTGTCATCAAATGTTAGTTACTAGAGTTCTTTTTGGAATAAATATCTAAAGTGCATTTTGTGTTGTTTAATATTTTGAAGTATATTGTTGGCAAGAAGTAAATAAAGTAGTTGAAGATAGAAGCTAGAGTAAATTCAGTAGCATGCAAAGCTTTAGATAAATATATAAATAGAATCCTTTTCACAAACATTTCATAATACAACTTGAAATAGTTAGTGAAATGATATTTCAATCATGCAATCTATGAAATTGATATATGAGATAATCAAAGTGATGATTATTTTTGCGAGAAGAGACAAGTCAAAGCCAAGCTAAAGACTACGGTACCACGCAAGACATTGAGATTATTGTAGATTGAGAGTAGGCTAAAAGTATATTGTAAATAATATTAAACTACATTTGCAATCTTTGATTATGATAAATGTGTTATCCTCTTTATGATGATTGATATTTGTATCGCAAAGAGTTATCAATCATGTTGTATAATTTCTTAGAACTTGTGAGTGATACTATAAATAATTTTTAAAATTTTGAAGCAAAAATAAATGTAAAAAATCTCTTCATCTTTTAAGTTTTTATTTGAAATAATTAAATTAATCATATTAATTAATCAAAAAATCATTTACAATAAAGTTGTAAGTGCTTTGTTCATTAATGACATGAAGCAAGATATGATGATGTCATTTCATCTAGACTCTTTTTCTTATATAACATTGAATGTAACACAATCTTAATCATGTTCACAAAATGACAAGAATGATAAAAAATGTTGATCTGAAATAGATCTAGTTCCAAGAATAAATTATTTAAAAAAAGGTTTTTTGAGACTGTGGCAAAATGTTCAGGTGAAGAAATAGTATCATATAAATTTAAACATCGAAGTCTATGATACTTCTTAAGCCATCGTGATTCAACAATTTGATCTCGATTAGTATTCATTGCTCAAAAATAAATATTGATGTCAAATATTTATTCTAATCAACTCTTAACAAAATATGTATGATGTATGGATTTTTTATAATGTTTTTTTATCACATTTTTTTACATTCTAATTCTATTTTACTGTTTAATTTTCAAACGATTTTGGTTCTTATAAAAAAAAATCATTCTTGTAAATCTGAAGTTATTGAATCTATTTAATTTTTTTCTAGTTCAATGAACATTGACTCAAATCAAATCTATACTTGATATGAAATTCAAAATTTTTTCTTGAAACATTAGACTTCAAATTTTTTGGATGAAGCTTTAAAATTAAGGTGTAAATAGATTATAAGATTATATTAAGTATACACAATCACAATGATCTATAGCTACTCTGTACTAGAACAAATTACAATTTATGATCAAGTCATTGTTACCAAGTTTTGAGTTGAAATGTATTATTTTGATGTTATAAGTTATATAGTAAATTTGACACTATCTAATAATATGAGCTTTTTATTTGACATACATAAAGTTAATTTTGAATGTGTGAACATTATGTTATGAGCAAATATAACAAAAAAAAAGCTCAAAGTTGAAATTCACAGTTCCAAAAGTTATTTAAGTATTTATATTATGAATCGTGTTTGAAAACTAATATTATATATATGTATATCATTGATGACAATTTTATCATAATTTTTTATAATTTTTTGATCATACAACTTTTGCATTTCAACTTTAAAAAATAGCATCAAGTTGCTTACTACATACAAAAATTATCATTTTTTTAGATGTGTTAGAGATGTGAAGTGTTATAAGCTATTATATTATTGTTGATGAGATTGTTTTGTTCATGAGCTGAAATCCGTGAAAGAAGATGATTTTTCACAATACTTGTACTGACAAGATACAATAAATTTCCATTAAAAAGCATTATTGAATAAGAGTTTCACATGTATATATTTTTTTAATACATGTGAAGCAAATTATTTAAGAGTTTATGAAAATTTATTGATGGAAATACTCAGATATTTACACCAGATTATAGACTTTAAATTTATTATATATGTTAAAAGATCATCAATTTGAATTGATAGAGCTGAAATAGACTATGACTTGATTCATAGTTTTTTTAAGGTACTAATACTGAGAGTGAGAATGATGGTGATATTGCATTAATCTTGGAAAAAAAATAAAAAATCTTACATATAAGCCTAAGTCTTGTGAATAAGCTTGAATGATATATAGAGTGCGAGATGCAAATAGATAACAAGACTTGGAAGCTACTAGAGCTATTAAAATCAAACTTCGATCTATAGCAAATAAATGTACAAGCCGGAAAATAATCCAGATGATGAGAGAATTGATTTTTCAAATCCATGTTGATGGCTACTGGTTTCACATTAGAAAGAAGTATAGACTACAATCAAGTTTTTTCAACAATTTCAAAGCATGATACAATTTCACTTGTATGATACAATTTTAGTTTCATGTGCACATGCTACAATATTAGTCTAGTTATGGATTAGATGAATATAGTTATAGCAAAATTCTGTATATATTTGTAAAAAATAATCTATACGAGACAACCAGTTGATATTAAAAACAAATTCTAAAAAATTTAGTTTGTAGATTGTTGAAATGAGTATATAAATTGAAACATTATACACAAAACGAGACCCATAGATTTCGTGAAATGAAACGGAAAGCAGGTGTTAGGTTCCAATACTAATTAGATCATATACAAAAGCAAACAATTATTCTTCGACTTTTGACCTAGATAGATCGTAGGAAACTCATCAGAACTTACAAGGTCATATAAAATTGACTTCAATCAGTTGTATTTGATCGTTCAAGCATTCTTTGATGCGGATCATTATATCCTGAAAATACTGAGAATGTAGATGATTTGGAAAGAATTAAAGGAAGCCTTGCAAATTAAAAAGAATATTAGGTTGTTCAAGAAATTCTACACATATGAAGTATGATACTTGCTCTAGGTATGATTCAGCAATAGGTAGGCCCTCACCGTCCTTATTGATGATATAAAAAACAGCATAGCATTAGTTATGGTAGGTGGTAAACAGAAATCCCCAAATTTTATCGTGTAATCTCACTGTCAGTCTTTAGAACGAGCTTACTATAATATGACAATATAAAGGAGATATACCAGAGCTTATGAGACGTAAGATAGATAAGGTTCACTGATGGTGTTTTGCATTCGTAACACGTTACACTAAAGTACATGTTAGATAAAATTCGTAACTTTTCCATTGATTTTCCAAATATTTGTTTGTTGGTTTATATACAGAATAAACCTTTACATGTCTCCTTTAGATATAAGTTTAAGATTTTCATAACATTACATATCGTTCTTATCCATATGTTTATCAGATGAAGCTGCTTTTCACATCTGGTAACGTACGACTGTAACGAAGGAGCGAATGTTGTATACGTGGATGTTACTCGCCTGTTGAGAACATACTGAATTGGGAAAACTTTACCGGTAATGAAGGAAAAGCCACACATAGGCGCAAGTAGATAACACAAAACGTATGGAAACACCATCAAAGCGAACCGTACACGGAAGAAACCGGCAAAATAACTGAGTGCAGAACCTTTGACGTTTTCTTTCAAACAGTGTACTCTACATCATTCAACTTAATGCAATTTCACTGATTTATAATTTAAACAGCATCCACGAAGATGCTCCCGGTGTGATGACTGAGGTCCAACCGATAACCCACGGGTAACTTATTTGCTTTGAAAGTGAGTCACAACAGCGTAGTATTGTACTGTATCGTACCCACAGGTGTAGTGAATGTAGATAAACAGTTGGAGGTAATATACTGACCATATCCGAGCGTATGATACTCTACAGAAACTGCCCCAGCCTCCAGCAACAATATTCACCTTAACCGGCCTTTCGTGTTCTTCTATGTAGAATAATATTATTTCCTGGCGCACACGCACATCCGGACAAGGCGAATGAATGGAAGTGGTCACAATCCAACTCATACGGACAGCACAGTACTATACCTGAGAATTCGATTACAGTACTGAAGATGCCTCGTCTCTACCAAGGCAGCGAAACGTAAGTAACGTTTCGGTATACTGTATTGTAACTTCGAGGACTTCCCGAAGGTCACCGGTATTCTGAGTCATCCATTAATAGCCGCGAGATTCCCCGCAGATGGGGCCCGGTGACCTCCGGATCAACCTCGTAAGCAGAAGAGCCACTGTTAAACGATTTCCAGTAAAGCGATGAGTCCAGTTGTAAGCATGGAACGGCATCGATCCATGGCCATGGGGAGGCAGCGGAGGACATCGTTGCGATTGGACGGGCGCAGTGGGCCATGGCCAGAGCATCCCATGTGGTGGATGTGGCATGGGCTCGTCGGGCCCTGTGTCCCATGGAGGGAACTCCAGAGTTCGGGGAATTGATCAAGTTAGGGTTGGCAATGGGACACATGGAGCGGTGTCCTAAACCCTAATTGGCACGGTGTCCGCGAACGGGATTGGGAAGTCGGGACAGGGGCGCGTGCGGGGAGCGACTTGGTCCGGACATGTAGACCAGGGCCGGGCCGGGCCGGGCTCGGGCTTCGGCTTCGGCTTGGCTCGCTGGCTGGGTCGCGCTCTCGCGCGCGCGCGCGGGCGCTCGCTGCCGCTGTTCCTTTGCTGGCGCAGGAGGCAGGAGCTTCGCATTGCATCGCTGGGAAGCTGTGCTGTTCCGATGTGCCACAGTGACTGGCCTTTCCCGTGCCTGCGTTCTTCGAGAGCGTCGAAAGTGGCGCAGTAGTTGGACACGCAACCACACGACCAGACCAGAGCAGTGCATCAGAAAGGGCGGGGCAGGGCTTTTGTCGAAGGCGAAGCGGGTGCTGGAGTTTAGTTTTCCAAGATAGATCTATCGGATTGTAGTTCCAGTGCCAAGAGTGTAGTAGCCTGGGCAGCCACGAGGCCGTTTGGTTCAGAGAGTTTGAGGCGACGACGGAAGGAACGATTTGGCTGGCACCTGGTTCTTTGCTCTTCTCGTGGGTAGTAGATTTGTGTGTGTCTGGAGAGGGAGAATTGTGCTACTTGACGAACAAACAGGGTAATAAAGATGGCGAGTGAGGTGGTGTCTGCAGGAGCAGATGGGGCAGGAGCAAATAGCGTTGGGTTAGGGTTCGAATCGCATGAGAAAAACCGCATTCAGGTCTCCAACACGAAGAAGCCTCTCTTCTTCTACGTGAACCTTGCCAAGGTACTCGCTCGCTTGACCTAAGTGTGTCCTGCCTTTTTCCGGTTCTCGGCCCGCATTGTCTCGCGCAATGTCTCGTGTTTGTCTCACATGTGCACGCCGCGTAAGGCGGGATCAGTAAAATTGTTCTACGAAATGTCGCATTTCGGCACGAAATGGCCTGCACGCGGACCTCTTACTTAACGGCCAAGTAATTATTGTGCACACCGTTCGACGTGAAGACTTCTCTGTCCGGACTTCTCTTCGTGGGTAATCAACAACATGCGGACCCTATCAAGTTTTCGGACTGCTCGTGGATGATAACAACGTGTCGATGTCGTGCAATTGCTCACGTTGATCCAGTACTTTTATCTTGTCTGAGTCAAGAATTACAACCTTTACAACCTGGATCATGCATAATTCGTCCAGGCGTTCCATTGTCGACGAGAGGAACCTCGCCATATCAACTGAGCGTAATTCTTTTCTTCGATGGCAGGCCTCTCTGATTTCTGCCTTCACCTCTCAATTATGCTTCTTCGATTAGAACAGCCAAGCGTCATGTTTCATCACCGTCAATCGGATGGTCAAGAAATATTTATGAAGATGCAATTTGAGTCCAAATCTTGTTCTCGAAATAATACTCTTTACCCTTGTTTTTTTCTATGTTCAGAGGTACATGCAGCAGCATGACGAAGTCGAGCTTTCAGCCCTTGGCATGGGTAAGTGCATTGATTCTGTCACACCCTCCTTGGACTTGTTCAAATCCGGCTTTTACTGCACAGCAGATCTGCAGTCTACAGGACACGCTTATCTTTCTATTTCGATCGAGGCTGTGCAGAGAATTTATCGACAGTGCTTACAAGATTCGTATGCTGAATTTGGACATCTGATAATAACGCCTAGTTTACCTCAGCCTATGATCGGAGGCTATTCTGTAAATAATCACTAGGGTAGTCAAATTGCAGCCGGGATCCGACACCCTTTTGCAATTCACCTGTTCGTTAAATGCAGGGCCTATTATCGTAGAATACAGCTGGAAGCAGATTTAATGTGGCATTGTCCTACATGAGTGCTCTCGGTATTGGGATTTTTTCCTTTACAGGGTCCTTCACTCGAAATCAATCGCTGCCATATGTACGTTATCTTAACCTCTGTCCGACGTTGAAGTTGGAGGAAGTGATGTCCTTATGACGATTCGATCTTTCAAGATGGGAACTTCTTTAGAGACCTATTGGACGCGCAGATCTGTACAGTTTAGGCGAGCTACTACTTTCGAAACATTCGTCAGTGTGCAAAAAACATTCGGAGTAGTCGAAACACAGGTTAACAGAGATCCACATATGTGGCTGAGTCTGCAGTGTTACATCTTGTGAACGAGGAAAGGAGACGAGTGATCAATTTTTCTTCCTTGCAAGAATCAATTGGGAGTCTAAACTGAGTGAAAGGGTTCACTTGTTCTCTCCCACCCGGGGTAAATGGGTCCAACTCTTTAGTACGGGAAAGTATCAGTAACATGCCTGACCAATTTGGTGATGCAGTGTATGCGATCTCAAGTGACAATCAACATCAAGGCGTCTGTTCTCGCCTTAGATCCTTAAAGGGTAGTAAAGGGCCTGCAGGAGTCTCTCAACCCCGTGGCTAGTATTTTCCTTGCCTATATTCAGACTAAGTCGCAGAAGGTGGGTCTGTTGGGATGATGTTAACAGTACTTGACTCATTGATCTTGTTTCCTGCAGCTATCGCAACGGTGGTCACAGTCGCCGAAATTCTCAAGAACAACGGTCTGGCCGTTGAAAGGAGTAAGTACCACTTCTTCCATTCTGGATTTTATGGACATGCTTGGTTTCTCTATGACTACCTGAAGGATATTAGTTCCTTACTCACGGCTCTGGTCAGTGATTGATCTTCACTTCCTATTGTTCGTTCTTCTCCCCCAATGTATGTGTTCTGCTGCTCATAGTCAGATATACGATGCACAATATGTTTTTGTGGTTCAAGTGCAGGTTGCTTTGATTGGCAAGAATTAAGCTCTCCTTTTGCTCATCCCTAGGTGAAGTCGGAACTTTGGCATACTGAATATTGTCGGCTCCTTTGTCGTCTTGCACCACATTACGCTTTGCATAAACACTTCATTATGCCGAACAGAGTGATACCTCTGGTAGCCTTTTCCGAATTTGATCTGCGATGTTCACTCTCTATTTTGCAGGGATCCTAACTTCGACTATTGACATGAGAGACGAAGCGAGAGGCCGTCCAATTCAAAAAGCTAAGGTGATCATTCGAGTCAGCTCTCATTGGTGGACTTGTTCGTGAGGGTCGCCAGGTTTTCTTATGTTTTTTTTTTCTAAGGTCTACTCTAATCAGGATGAATGGCTAGAAAGTTCTAATTGTGAGTGGATATGTCGGTTCCATCTTGAAGGTCGAAATCGTCCTAGCAAAGTCGGAGAACTTTGACGAGTTAATGGCTGCTGCCGCGGAGGAGCGCGAGGTGGCTCCTGAAGTCAATGGCCACACCTAAACATGACTAATATTCGGAGGAGGTATGGTTTCACAAATTCACCAGAGGAGTGTACAAGGATGGTTAAGATTGCTCGTAACAACCTTTGTAACCTGTTGCAGTCTAGATGTGTGACTCTATATGTTGTAACTTGATGCAGTATATCCTCTAGAAGAAGGGTTGCTTCTAAAGTATTGACGACAGATCGACGTCCCAATCTCTGTGTTCACTCTTGTTCAGGAAAGGACTTGTGATCAAATAATGAGTACAGGGAGATTTGTGATTGTTGGCATTCCGCACCTGGAGACAAGGGTGTTGTGAGAAGTAGTGCTTCAGGTGATGCCACGTGGGGTACTCCAAGGACAAGGTGGAAAAGGCTACGGGGGTTTCTTCTCCATCGATCATGATATAACTATGAAGGGATGATGTAACTTCACGAATAATGGAAAGGGCCACTTATTAGAAGCCCTCTAGATCTTGACCCAGGAGGACCTTTCCCTTGCTAGTAGGGAGGGATGGATGAATGGATGGATGGAGAGATGGACAAAAGTTGCATCATTCATGCAGAGCAGACTAGACTAGGTTAGGTTTGGGGTTTTGTTGTCTGTCTGTGTCTAGTTAAAGCTATCAAGAGACTGTGAAATACATGAGGTTCAGTGACATGATTAGTGAAGTACTTAAACAATTTTCCCCTCCTAGAACAAGCTAGTGTAAAATTTCTTTGTAGTCAGTGTGCAGGAAGGAAACCATTCTTATGTTTATAGTAGAACTTCTCTGTGTGAAGAGTGCAAGTTCCAACAACTCATTCATTTAAAACCTTCGTGACTATGGGATATACTTGTCAACTGAATGCTTCTTTAAAAGACTGTCTCGATGCGTTTGTCTGGCTTTTTAAGAGTTACTTCCAACTGCATAGCTAATCCAGAGGAATCCTGGCAGAATGATTGGCATATTGGATACTGAGCTTTGCTGATATTGTCTATGTGATTCTCTGCTAGTAAATTTAGTCGACCATAAAGCAAGCACATAATGGACCAAATGCCGCGTAGCTCATACATATTACATCGACAGAGTACGTGTTTTGTGTTAAAGTGGAACATCCGTGAGTCTAATATGAGACACCATTCTTAAGTTTATGAAACAGACATCTATCTAGTGGACTATACCTTTTTGTGTCCCCTCCGAGTCCGATGAAACTCTTACTTTTTTCCATAGAGAAACCTATTTATCTATCTATTTGCCTGACCCTGAGTGCCCAAGGTCAATCAATCACCTTTCAATAGCGTATCATGGCTACAGTTCTGTGGCTGTAAGATTGACACAATCTATGTACACCCTAGATTTTCTGATCTTTCAGAGCCGGATACTGCTGACATTGTCTCTTCAGCTGAGTTTCATGTGTAGTCTAGTTCTCAGTTATATAAACAATCTACTGCTAGGTTTGCAAAGTAAATATGTCAAAGCGGATTGATATTCCTAAAATTAAATGTTCCCCCTGTCCACGACAGTGTTTGTCCGTACATAAGGTATGATTAAGCGGCGTCGCCGAGGGAGGAAAAGGTTATCTTAAGGGTATTGTAACAGATAGTAAACGTGGCGTACTTGCAGAATCTTACTTGCGGAGGCAAGAACAGCTGTGGCCCATCCTGTGAAGTAGATGTGGCACTTGAACTGCATCCCCATAATCTCTCAGCAGACCAAGAGTCCGTACACTGGTGGGGATTGACAAAAGCAGGAAAATGACTTCTCTCTTCACTAAATTTTGTCTCACGATACGAACGAATCAACAATAACTTCGTCTCTCCTCAGTATTTCAATGCATCGAGCGTTGTGTTCCCACAAACATGGAACCTTGTTTTAACGACATGAACTAGGGACAGAACTTCCTTACTTGTAAGACTGCAATTTCAGTTACTATATTCCAAAGAATAAACGCTTGGACTAATGTTGACAAATCGAGGAAATGCTACACATTACAGAAGATGATCTCGATCACCTTCCATCATTTCACACACTGGTAGTTAAAACTCACGACAAAGGATTGCATACGTCCAGGGAGGCACCAATTTATCGGGAATAATTTTCCCAACACTCTTCGTCTGCTTTGGGAATCGTATCGACCAACACTTTTACTCAGAGAGATGTGATATACAATAGCGAGCCCAACTGAATTCGGTCTTACCCAGTAGATTATAATAAAGGGTGGATCCAAAGGGATAACGTACATGGATGAAAACGGACGGGTAAAATAAAGCTGACATGCCCGAATTGGTAAAACATAAGAAACTTGTTGGTTACGGAGAAGTGGAGTCCGTGGGATCAAATTCCAATGCGCGATTTCTTGTTGAGGGGGCAAAGAATAAGTGAACTTCGTCTGTCTACACAAAGAATTCAAACTTACTCATCCAAGGCTCATGTAACTTGGTTGTATCCGATCGGTGCAGTCTGTTTGCCGCCGATGTTGGAGTGCGCGACGGTGCAAGATCTTCGGAGCGTGTCATCGTGTCATGTTGAGACTTTCTTTCTGGTCAAGCAATGATGGGGATAATGTACTCTAGCTTGAAGATATTGCGCGCTTTTTGGCCGTGCTGTAGAAAGGTATTGGGCCCTCGACTTCCACCTTAACGGCAAATTACCTCAATCCACGTTCCACGAGCTGCTGTCCGCGGTGCAGGCAACAGAGCTTCACACCTTGTCAGCACAGCTCTCAAGGGCCATGAAGCAAACGGTTCCAGAATCCAGATCCTGGCCCTTGATCTGCGACCGCATTGCGAAGTTTGCGAGGAGTGAGGTACAAGAAATGACCAAAATTCCTACAGCCGAACGAAAGCTGCCAGCACATCTGCACCTCGTGACTCATCAATATTGGCACTATTTTCGCCCTTCGTAAGGGACATCAGAATTAATAGTCGGAGACGGTTTTTTTTCCAATAGAGTTTTTCTACGAAGACATGGGGTGACCTGAAAAGCTGCAAAATAACGGAGGCCCCATCTCAAACTCACCACCGGTACTGCCTCAAAAATTTTATATCCCACTGTAACTATATCCTGTGTCCAAATAGTAAACTGTTTATGATAGAGGGGAAACATGTACTTTTGGAGAGTTCTGATTGCTTACACCTAAGAAATAATAATTTTTTTCCAGTAACATTCTTATTTCGATTCATTATCTATTGCAATCAGAGAGTACATTTTCTGATAATATTCCGAAGGTAATATCTTAAAGAAAGCAAACTTCACCAAAGAAGTGTTGGACCGACATGACTTCCAAGGTCCTTGTCTAGAGAACAACAATCTGTCCGTGTACTACTGTAATACGATGCAGGACCATCAAAAGCGCCTCAAAGGTCAAACGGTCTTATGGCTAGGGTCATAAAAATATTCACATGATGTCATGAGTTTGCCTTTCATCCAAAGCAAATGTGCAAGAATGGGGTATGTGGTCATGTTGAGTCGAAGTTTGTCTGATTCTTTGATTTGTTGAAATGTAATCACCAAATTAGTGTCAAAAAATGTAGAGTGCTGCACAAAATCATAATAAATTCTCACCAATGTAAAAAGTGGTTATTGCTAGATACAAACTAGTTTGCATGATAGAGATAAGTTGCACACCGAATTAAAAAACTGGATTTTGATGGAGAGGAGATAGCCCACGGCAAAATTATCTAAGAATAAATAGAGGTTATGCTATAGTGTTGCTTAAAAATATAAGATAGATTTTAGATTCAATTGGTGGGAATACATAATAATTTGTCAATCATGATTTGAAAAATTTGTGCTAATTTTAATTAATAAAAATTTATGTAAATTAATTTTCACTAATAATAAAAATAAAATTATAGAAATTATTAAAAATTATAGAAAATTAAAAATATATCTGATTCTATATTAAAATTTATGCTACACGCTCAATATATTATAAGGATGTTCATAATTTTTGGATTAAACTTTGTGGAAGAAATCGGAGATTGAAATTTTGAACATATATAAAATTATGTTACATTTGGTGCCAAAATCTCAAGCGTGCTGAAATGAAATGCTGGGGTCTTCAATTACTCCAAGAAAAAAAGATTGAATTCATTGTGGAAATAATCGTCGAATTCCGTGAAATGTTGTAGATTTGATAATAGCGGCTGAAACTACAGTCCATCATTGACTCCAGCTTCAATAAATGCATTTCCGCTTCGGATGTTTCCGCGACACAGAGGCCAAGATGTGCGATGCCCTGCTTGCGGGAAAAATTCCGAATTAAAAATATGGAAGACGCAGTTATGCGTCTGTAATGATTAGCCCCCCGTACCCGGATCATGAAAGAAGTATTGGAGCATAATAGAATAATGGAAGAATGGGAAAAATGGGGATGGTACGTTGGACAGAGTGCGTGTCCGCGTACGTCACCTGTTGGAGTTTTTCGGTGAACTTTCTGAAGACAGAGCGATTCGCGAGGGTTGCCCTTTGATCCCTCGAGCTTTTGGTCGATCGATTGCGCCCGGAGGAACAGAATAATCCACTCTGCAGAAACCAGGAGGCGGGCCGGAATAAGAAAGAGTCGCCGTGTGCACATTCATTGACACGTTTAGAGTTTAGAGTTTAGAAAAAGAGAAGAGAAGAGAAGAGAGAGAGAGAGAGAGATCAAATTGGCGCCATTCGTAAGCTTTCTCTGGACGTGGAGTCGTCTTCAAGGGATCAGCATCAAAGGGAGATTTGTATAGTAGTGATCGTTTGCCAAACGTGGGCGAGGACTCGGACGGGGCTCTCAGAAACAGGTTGCGCGCGTAGAGGACGAGAGATCATAACGAGGGTATGCTTGGCGAAGAATAGACGCTTCTTGTGAGTATTGGGAGAAGCGTTGGAAGTGCACGGAGGGATCGCGGGGATCGCCCGCAGGGAATTGTAGTGACAGACGTTGTGAAGGAAAGGAAGAGGAAGAGGAAGAGGAATAGTTGGTGCGAGTAGATTGATTATTTTGATACAATCGGGAGTTAGTCAATTGACACGCCGGGCATGGGTGGAGGAAAGGGAGGGGAGCGAGGAACCACGTACAGTAATATGGAGCATGCAGATGCCGCGGATGACGTTGACTACCCTGCTGGCGCACGGCAGCAGGAAATGAGACGTTCTGTGGCTTCGCCTTCATCGATTAAGGTTAGAAGCCGGTTTTACTACCTGTTTTCGACTCGAATTTCTTGTCCCAGACTAATTTTGAGGAATTTCGGCAGGACCATCATTTGGATGACTTAACGAGCATTGTTTCTTGTGAGATTTGATGGCCTAAAGCTTCTTGATAAAGTTTTTGGTCGGCATATTACAAGTATGCCTTTCATTAGTCATTTCATATGTCGCGGTTCTTTCAACAAGGAGAGCGCAAGATAGCCAGGCTCTCTCTCTCTCTCTCTCTCTCTCTCTCTCTCTCTCTCTCTCTCTCTCTCTCTCTCTCTCTCTCTTACTTATAGTTGTGAAAACTGTGACAGTTTTCTTGCTATGTACTGTCGTACTTGGAAAGTAGTGTCCCCTGTTCCTTGCTGATGGGTCTCTCTCTCTCTCTCTCTCTCTCTCTCTCTCTCTCTCTCTCTCTCTCTCTCTCTCTCTCTCTCTTTCTTTCTTTGTGACAGTTTTCTTGCTATGTACTGTCGTACTTGGAAGGTAGTGTCCCCTGTTCCCTGCTGATGGGTGTGTGCTATTGCATGTGAGCCATTGAAGTGCATGAGGAACCTGTCCAGAGTAGGTCGCTATCCTAAATCATATGACCATATTGGGGTTTGTCCTTTTAACTGGATAGGGGTTCGTCGATTGCGATGAGTTAGTATTATGTGTGTGTATCCAGCTTTAGTTCTGGAGTGATTCCAGGCGGCTGTATGGTGGGCAAATGAACAATTGATTTTGGATAAAAGTGTTTTTCGTTGATTCTTATATATGTAGACCTCGCAGGAAAAATCTGGCGGTTCCACGAGAGTTGTTGAATTGGATCCGAGTGGAGTCATGGACGATTACGAAGTTGTCTTTGTTAAAGATAACGTCTCTGTACATCCGACCCAAAATGCAGTGGGGAGAATCAGCGGACGATTACGTCTGATCAAACAAGGAGCGTCTCTGTTTATGGTAAGTTTTTAGCTTAAGTTTAATCAGCTGATACTGTCAATTAAGAACCTCCGGAATTGTTATTCCTCATGCAATTTACGCAATGCAGTCATCGTTTTCATAAGAGACACCACGCAGTTCCTTGTCGTCTTCCCAAGAAAATTAGTGCTTAATGTTAGACGTTCTGGATGACGCCGGTAAAAACTCTGCAAGATACAGAGGTTTATGTTGCAAACATTGAACATGTCGACTGCCCTTTAGTAGGATAGGGCAGCTTTGCCGGGAATCGTGTGTTTTCCGCAGATAGTTTAGCTATCAATAGTTAGGCCTCGTACTTACTTGCGCTTCTCAGGAAAGTGGATCAACTTCCAAAAATTGTAGCTTCCAGCGTCTTCTTAGCTACTATTGCTTGGCCGCCGCTTCACTGACTGTTTGTACGTTGTTTAGACTTGGATACCGTACGCCCATGGAGGTGTGACTAGAGAGGGCCCGAATGTCGTAATCAAAGGTGGTCTCAGAAATAGAATGGGCAGTAACAGAGCAGCCGAGAGAGGTAAGTCATGGATTACCTATGGCATTCCCCTATTCCCGTATGGATCGCTATATTTCACGTCTGTTTTGACGCATCTTGTTTTTCCGATTGTTTGATCTTGCTTCTGAAATGTCGTGCTCCTGGAGAGTAGTTCCATTTTGAAGTGCATCGAGGAGCTCGGTGATACTCAAAACTTTTTATTGTGCTCTTATTCTTGCACAGATAGGAATCTATACACAATTCGCGCGGTATCTCTTTCGGAAATGCGATCAATTCGACGTCACACTCCACCGTTTGGTTGGCAGTACATCATCATTGTACTGACATCAGGTTAGCTAGCAGTTGTTTGCTGGTCACGCATTTACAATTATGAGAACCATGTCGTTTTTTCCAACTGGGCATATTTAATACTCATCGTAAACTCAAGGTTCAGATGGTTATAATATCTTTGCTCTCTTTCGCAGGCCTTGCATTTCCTCCACTCTACTTTCACAACGGTGGGGTTAAAGAGTTTCTAGCCACTATTAGAAATCATGCCATTCTTGTAAGGTGAGTATTAGACTCTCATTTAGTTTTATTTCGAGAACGTTGCCAGTCTAGCCGGACCGTGATACTTGGTTCACTAGTTGAAGGAAATATTTATTTGGAATTACTGGTTCTGTGTTAGATTGTAGATCCTGTTGAGAAAATATGCTGTTAGCTGACGTAATGGTAATTCGAAAACTAGTCATTAGTTTACGCAGTTCTTTCAGCACATTCATACCACAAGGCTGCTGAATCTAGAGGAGATACTACTTGCGTCTAGAATAACTACCTTAATTAGATGTTACCAACAATCTATTCTATGGATGTAGGTCTGCAGAAGATGCAAATGTGTACCTTGTAAATGACATCCAAGATCCTCTTCAGGTTTGTGCTGCAAATCGCCATAGCAAATATGTCTGGACGCTTATTGAAATTATAGAAAATCATTTGACATAAGGACAGGGGTTTGGCTTATAGTTTACGGTATATTGCAGCCGTTCACTGTTGCATTCCGTATCTGAGGGTGTGGTTGTTCGCCTGGTTTGCAGAGGAGCTTAACTTCCCTTGAATTGACGGAATCACCAGCCCCAGCAGTACCAGCCTCTAGTCAAGAAGCTCCCTGGCCTGTAATATTGAAGGAAGAACAAGTAGGTCGTTCACCTACGGTTGCGGATAGCTATTACAGACAGGAGCAAAGCAGCAGGAAAACCAAAGACCCAGCTCGTGATCTTTCAATGCATGTCTTGGAGAAGTTCTCATTGGTGACGAAGTTCGCGCGAGAGACCACAGCACAGTTATTCGGAGAAAGCCGCATGTTTCTAGATGGCCTTGATATGGACAGAGGGCCAGCTCCTCGTCCTCCTCAAGAGGCTTCGGTACACGCCGATGTGAAAATTGTTGAGAATGCCAAGGAAGCTCAGCCAGTCCTTGCAATCAAGCCTGCAGATGAGCAACCGACATCACCGCCGAAGCCTACAGAGGAGGAGGTGATGACTATTCCAAAAAATTGTTTGTTCGGAGTTAAGATTTTAGACGTTGTGGATGAATGCATGTCGACAACAGACATATCAAGAGAGGCCTCCCCTAGACTCCAACCCGTGCTAGTGGATCCAGAGTCTAATGTCCAAACCACTAGTCGTTAGACTTGTGGTCCTTACATCAGTCTAGCCACTTTCACAGAGAATAAATCTTAGGAGTTACTGAATGTTCCTGAAATGGTTGCTCTGAGCAGAAGTTATACTCAGAAGCATTATGAACCGACGTCATAGTGGTTGCAAGACAATTGATGGTGAGGAAACTGTTTGGCAAAAACCAGATCCAGATCAACAACGACTGCTTAGTGCCCCGTCGTTGTTGGTCTGGAAATCTGGTGAAATACCTTCTGCTGCTAATCCTTATATACACCAAACATGCAGTGACCGCTAACATTATGGGTTTTTTCTCCATGTGAAGGCGTCATTCACTTCGTTTCCAATACGTGATTCACCTAAATTACTGTAATACTGCAACAAACAATGAGGTCTCGAAGTTTTGATGGCCATACCCCTCCTACCAGGGGTTTGACTATACTTCACGAAACTAGGAACAAATAACATACTTACTAAGCTATTGTAGAGCATAGTTGCGGGTAGCGACATTTAATAATATGTAAAATCCACGTATGTGGGCATGAGAGGAAGAGATGTGATAAACTCAAAGTTGCTCTTACCGTCTCCAACCAAGAGATAGAACATGCAGCAAACAGAAAAGGGGATCTGTTTACAAAGACCTCTGACTTAATCTCTAGAGAAAAGATCAAAGTTCAAACCGAGGGAGTTGAAGTTAGAAATAATGATACATTGTCACTCCTGGGCTGTTTTTTTGTTAAAACTGTTAGACTAGTACTGGTGGAGAGGGTTGCGTAGATGAAAGGAAGACACGAAGCTAAGCTAGGAACATGTTTGACGCCTGAATTGTTTGAAAGATTCTTATCTTGGCCATCTAAGCTTTCAATGCATTCTTTTTCAGCAGCTAAACGCAGATGAGCAAGCAGATGAAGAAGCAACGACTAATGTGGGGACATTTGAGCTTGTGGATGGTACGCAGGTACTTAGTTCCAGTGCCAGCTCTTTAGACTTTGGAGACTTTGACAATCCCTTGACTGTAAGCTCTTGATCTTATAAGATGTTCAATTTGTTGTGCTTATGTATGTTTAGGTTCACGATACCACTGCTGTTCTTTTATTGAACTGAGGACCCTCTATCTCGCGTTATGCAGACTATTCTTATTTCAAGTCTTGAGGGCTCTGAAGAGTGTGGCTAATATTGCGTATTCTCCTTACTCAGGATAACTCACCGGCGCTGGTGTGGGGACGAGCACGACCTCCACCATTAGGAAGCGAAGAGGTGAATCATATGCTGACCAAGTGTAAAAGATATTCCTATGATAATATATACTATCATACTTCTCAATCGCACTACCGTAGTTACTTATGGCACCGTATACAGCTCAGTGTATCACACGGTGTTGACAATCTTACTATGACATTTATGGTAATCAGATCCCTGGTTGTTTTATAAGGGCTGGTGAGATTGTCTTGTGTTTATGTGCCTTGCCTTTTGTAACAAGTAGAAATTGAATGAGGCTGTTTCATATTGTTCAGTGGAGAAGCTTTCTGGACAGTGAAGGAAGAGTGGTGGACCCAAAAGCCTTAAGGAAGAGGATATTCCACGGAGGAGTTGAGCCAGAAGTCCGCCATGTGGTATGATTTTGGAAGGCTTTTATTTCTAGGGTTCGGCTTGCGTTTTGTATATGACTGTTTCTGCATGCTATCTACTGACGGCGGAAGAGTTCTAAGTTATCTGAATCAAAGTAGGCATAGTTGGCGTGGTGTCTCATTGGTGGGTAATTGGCGTTGTGTTCTTTGTCGTAGATATGGAAGTTCTTGTTGGGGTACCATCAGTTTGATTCTACGTATGCAGAGCGAGAATTCCTGATGGCATCGAAAAAGGAAGAATATGAAATTCTGAAAGCTCAGTGGCAGGTCAGGGTCTATTTTTCTCTTTCGTGCTTGATCTCTACTCTGCATTCAATTTTATTTAAGAACTATGATCTAGTTTGTTCTTGGGTTCTTTCGTTTGTTGTTCTTGTTACTACTTCTCATCTCAGTATCTTCATATTATCATCAGCCGGCAGGTCGCAAGTTGTATGTACAGTCTTGAGGCTAGGACAGGCACATGCTAATAAGTATATTCTTTCCAGACGGTGTCGCCTGAGCAAGCTAAGCGCTTTGCAAAGTACCGAGAGCGGAAGCATCGTGTAGAGAAGGATGTGGTAAGTATCATCTCTCAAGAATTACTGTATTGTATTGAACGTCCCATAAACATGTTTGTTTTGAGGTCTGGCTTTCAGCGGTGGAGTTTAGCAGGTGATTAATAATATGGACAACGTTCATGATATATGGTGGAGGCTATATGAGGAAGTTCCGCTGGTTTGGTTCAGGTTCGGACGGATAGAACACTCCCATACTATGCTGGCGAAGGTGATGACAACCCAAATATTACACTTCTCCGGGACATACTTGTGACATATTCCTTCTACAATTTTGATCTGGGCTATTGCCAGGTAACTTGCATTAATCCATTTTCCTTGCTGATAAGGCTATGTTGGTGCTAAGCTGCTCATTTGAAATGAGTCGGATGCTTCGAGTGTCAATCGTAATGATTTCTCTTCTTTCTCTTAATCCACCCGATCGCGACAATTTAATCCGCTATACGAAACGCTCACATTTCAAACACCCGTGCAGGGCATGAGCGACCTTCTCTCCCCCATCCTGTTTGTGATGGAAAACGAGTCAGAAGCATTCTGGTGCTTTGCCGCTCTGATGGAACGTTTGGCTCCTAACTTTCATCGCGATCAAAATGGAATGCACTCTCAGCTTTTGGCACTTTCTAAGGTACATCACCAACGCCTTTCTTTTCGCTCAAAGCAGCCTATGATCATGCCCAGATATATGAAGTTATTGTGATATTACCATGTGACAATGGATAGATTTAACGAACAAGATGTTCTTGCCTTGATCTCAAGCCTAACCCTACGGTGTTGTGACGGAATTGACCAAGCTCGTCATCTTGAAATTAAAGGCCACCCAAATGTGATCTCATAGTGTGCATGAGGGACCTTAATATGTTTGAGCGAGCTTCTGCTTAGGAGACACAATCTAATGTCACGTCTTTGTGCTTTCACAGTTGGTGCAACTGCTGGACGGACCTCTCCATGATTACTTCAAACAAGTGGACTGTCTGAACTACTTTTTCTGTTTCCGTTGGATTTTGATCCAGTTCAAAAGGTGAGCTACTGTGTTTGCAGCGAATTCATTTGTAACCGAATGCATGAAATGGTAAGAGAAGTATGATGCTTTTCTTCTTTGAACTTCTATGTGATTCCGAAGTCGCGAAATTGCGGTGTGTATAAAGGTTTATCTGCAGTGGTCTAACACGGGGTGGCATCTTTTTCGATCGGAGAACGTCTAAAAATTATCAAAGCCTAACACGGCGTCAAAAGTAGGTATTACGGAAAGGTGAATCTGGATAAGGGCATTGGGTTGACATTTCGAACTGTCGTCTATCAGGGAGTTCGAGTTCGAGAACGTCATCAAACTCTGGGAAGTATTGTGGAGCCATAGTCTTTCAGAGCACTTCCATTTGTATATGTGTGTTGCTTTGCTCAAGCGACACAGGAGGAGGATCATGGATGAGCAGATGGAGTTTGATACCTTGTTGAAGTTTATCAACGAACTGAGTGGACACATCAATTTGGAATCCACACTGCGAGATGCGGAGGCTCTGTGTTTGTTCGCAGGTGAAAGGGGTGCCGCATGTATACCTCCAGGAACTCCCCCAGCACTTTCAGAAGAGGTAGTGTAACTTGAGAAGTACAATGCACTTGTAAAGTTAAAAATATCTTTCAACAGTTTTTGCACATGCATGAGCACTAGTTGTTTAGGCGAGGTAGTGTACAGTCTATGGTCGTTAGTTTCTTTCTAAGGGAGGCATTTTCTTCCTATGTTGTATATATATTCTTCGTGTACCCCCAAGCTCGAGTCGCAATGATCAGATCCCTTTTTCCCATGTAAATGTTTGCATTGGTCACGTAGGCTATGTCCATGGTATCTGAAAGTGCAGAGTTGTGATGCAAAGATCCCGTATTTCCGCTGTCCTTGTTTGGATGATGTATTAAATTGTTGACAACGATTCGAAAATGTGTCTTGTAGGCGGCCGAAGGTTGGTCAGATTGATTTGGTCCAATAGAGAGTAGAGATAACACTAGTCTAGTTGGACGAATCGGCATGCACATCATTGTTATGTTTAAACAGTCATTTCAATTTCAACAGTTGCAGGGATACTGATCAGAAGTGGTTAGTTCCCATGTTAGGTGTATATTTAGGTATCAAGCTAAATCACAGTCGTTGTATATAATGCTTTATTGTATTAGTAAGCTTCATTCAAGCAGACATTCGAATAAAACTGCTACAATTTCCTCATTTCAGTTGCTTACATAACCACGCTTGTTTCTTGGATCGGAGTTGGTAATACTTTGCCAAGCCAGCACCCTCATTTTTATTCTGTCTCATGTGAGGCATGAAGCATTGAAAGTGCTTATGCATAACCTCGTCTTGCGACCACATGTGTTTTCACCTGCAAGTGATCTCATTAGAATTTAACGTAGAGGTGTCAGTCATACGAAAATCTGTCTCTAGACAAATTTTTCGGTACTGCATTCTTTACCAACGGTCCATGGCGATGGTGTACGGAATCAGCGAAGCTTCTCACACTTCTGCATATGCATTCTGAAGAGGCGATTCTTACTGGAGTTTATCAAACAGTTGGAGCTCTCAAGCGATATTCTTTATGTTCGATGTCTTCTGTCACACAAGGGAGTGAAGTATATGATGAGATGCGCAGTTGGTTTTGTTTCTTGTGTTTTCTTGCCCTCCGCAAGGAACCCATATTTTTTTTTCACTGGCTTTGTGTGTTCTCGACCTTTCTTGAAACTGTAAACCTCAGTAATGAGCTTCCTACGTTACCCAACTATGAGCAAAATTCAAAAGCTAACCTGTCGGTGCTTCGCAGTGTTTTGTGGTTTTGCAAGATTGTTGTGAAAATGACATGGGTTGGTGGACGGTGAACCACCAATTAGACCTCGTTGACCAAGATCATCCACTCTAACATGAGTTTAGGGGCAACTTATAAGAAGGTATTTTATTCCAGAGAAACTAAGCGTCTTCTACTGCTCTTTGCAACGCAGCCGAGTTATCTCGCGACTACCGGTATGAAGACACCACAGCCGATCCCAGGAGCTACTACCTCATCTACGACGTTGTTTACGATGTCGTCGTACATGATCCTACATTTTGTCGAAGGCTTTGTTTTGTGCTTGAGGAGTGTTACTCGTTCTAACAAATTCAAATTTGTTGGTGAAGTAAAGAGTTCAATTGCCAAGTTCGGATTAAAGGGAATGAAACGATTGTGGATGTGGAATGTATGAAACCAGAATAATATTCACACTTCCAATGTTTTGCTTGATACAAAAAGTCCATGGTTCGATTGCTTTTCAGTTCTAAGCAACTATAGAGCACAAGGCGCGGGTGAAACTTCAAGTTAACGTCAATGGACCTCCTTAGTTCACAATAGTAATTGTCTGAATATTACCGAAAGCTATTTAAGAAAACACTAGTTTTTGAATACTGAATACATATGAATAAAGTATGGAGAATATCAATATAGATAGTTACTTGAACGTTACCACTATCGCCTGTCTCACGCACTCTCAGAAACGTGTCCAACCAGTCATCCATAGTTCCATACTATCACAATCGATGTTGGATATTCTTATGGTTTGATAAAGATTTTCCATATAGTGCTGTTCTTCATACTTTTCATTGTGGTGTATTTGCAGTTAATCTTCCTATTTTGAGTTAGATTTCATCTTTGTGGACTTTTTCATCATGTTTTTTTAACTATGTATCTCAAAATTTAAGTGTGAACAGCATGAGCACTATGTAAACTTGATGATTGTTGCTCCATTTTCTGACTATCTAGAGAAGGGAAAATTGAACTTATGATGTGATACCGTATACATGCTACTTGTGAACAAATGTTAGCAATGAAGTAAATAGAATTCGAGGCATAGTAACACTCTTCATGGAGTGTAATCATTCTCATATCAAACATCTTCTACCATATGGAGTTCGGTTAGTGCTTTTTTGCTCTTGGTATATTCAACAAGCACATACCTGTTATGCATTCCACATACATTTGCGAACAATGGAGGTTCATAGAGTGTACCATGAGAAGATGAAACGTCTAGGCTTAAGACGAAGAGTATAGATAAGCCCGGGTGGCATAGAAAATATTTGGAAAAATGAAGAGAGAGAGAGAGAGTAGAGCGAGCATGTTGAAACCAATGTTCCATGAATAAATGTAGAAGAAGGTTCTCTTATCTAAAAGTTGAGAAAGGTCCAAGGTTCCACATGGTATTCCAATGGTAAAGCATATCTAGTTGGCCTAATTGTACATGCATGTATCTCACAATTATTGATGGACTTGTCTGTTTGACAAAGAGGATAGCAAAGAATTAGCAAAAATCAGGTATGTGCTTGTTGAACATACCAAACGGTGAAAATAATGATAGCACAACTTCAAAATACCTGTTATTTGAATGATAATACAATACCAAAATGAATTTATCATGTTGAATTTATTGATAATAAACACACCACTCTACACAATATGTCAAAATGTTTGTCCGTTTGCCAGAGCTCATATGTAAAACAAACATTCAAATGTCCGTGTTCGAAATACATGAAAGACATTCTTCATTCTTGTATCAAAGTTTAGGAAGTGTGATAAGAATGTAACTGTAATAGTAACTTTGCAAAATAGGCAGATGAGATGACGAGTAAGAATAGGATTCTACTAAAAGCAATATGCTAATCCATACTAGTGCTAGGAGAGTAAAAATTTATACAAGAAGATTTTTCTATGCAGGTGATAACTTGGATAGGCAAAAAGATTTACATCCGATTGTACGATATGTAAAATGTGTATCAGTATCATACATGCTTCTGAAGTGATAGTCCGAGAGACATGTTCAATAAAGACCATGATCCACATTGAGACCTTGAACATTAAGCCTGAAAGATAAAACGTGGTGTTATATATATATATATATATATATATATATAGACAATGAGAACACTGTTTTGCAGGCCAAATTAATAGATGAAAATGGTCATATTATCTTAGATTTATAAACTATAAGTAGGTATTCCACATTAAGATTTAAAAAAAAATTATCACAGCAGTATCAGATTCATATCGTATTATCTATTTTAAATTGCATGAAAATAATGATCAAATTTTATTGATATAATAAATATAATTTCTTTCAAGTTGAAAAGTTTAGCAATGAAGGTGGTGAAGAGTAATATCACTGGAGAAACTGAGTCATATGTTAATTGGACTTTTAACTTAGTAATGGTGTGAGTGCTACATTGATATCTTGACCTTTGCTCACATGCTGATTATAGTCGAATGTTCATAAACTATATCAAATGTGAGAGAAATGACTTCGATTTCCAAACTAAAATGAAAAAAAGGATTTATTTTTTAGGAGATAATCCAGGTATGATTCACTCTAGTTAACTATTCTGTTCCTATCCGTAATCATTTTCGCCTTAATAAATCAATAACGCAGAAGAAAAGTACGATGATAGAGTACAATTACGACGTGCAAGAGATAGCTATGACATAAAGTTATAGCTAATTTATATCTGTACCCTCATGTCGTCAAGTACTTGAATGGTTACAAAGACTGCATTACCATCTTGATGTGTTTTTATAAAAATATCCTAACTTCTTTTCAAATTGTCTCTACATAATTTCAAAGCTAATGATCATCAAGGTAAAACATCAAAACTTAGTAAAAGTTTAATGTATTATGCTAATCTAAACCTATCAAATATGTCCCACATGCCTCAACAAAAACTGAAAATTTAATTAATTAGCAAAAAAAATTCCTTCAAGTTTGTAATAAGCATAATTTAATTCTTTTTAACCTTCACATGTTGTCTAGTTCTACACATCGCTTTTCAGTAATTGTTAAAATTTCTGTAATTACATTCAGTAAGAATGCTACTTTCCACAACCTGACTACATGATTAACAAAAAACCGGAGTAGATCAGATGTGTTCTATAACATATGAATTTGATTTAATGCAAAAAAGTATACACGACCAACAAAACAGTCTCATGTAAAACTCAACAATAAAAAACATGAATTGCTTTGGAGTATTTTTCTCTACATCTCTTGCAGAAAAGAAAAAGCATACTTTGCTAAAAACTTTTTCATTCATGATGTATATTGTATACAACTCCTTTGATTAGAGTTTGATGTCGGTTCAAGAGTTTGATTGATTTGCTTGATATGCATTTATAATAATAATAATTACAAGACAATATAAAGATTGTGTTTGCCATTGAGAAAAATGTTCATTATCTAGGACGAATACACAATATTATATCTTTCAAACTGCACTCTATCCATGAGGGCATTCAAACTTTTAATTTATTGGTTGATGGATGTAATGGTGTTGAATAATGATGAAAAAAGTGTTTGCAAGTGTTATATATATTTATATATCACTTTAAAACCACAAGTTACAACTGAATGCAATAAAACTTTGGTTCTTTTTAGGTCGATGGATGTAAAGTTACAAGTTAGTGTACATATTTTGAAGTTAAGATGTATTTTTCATGCAATTAGAGCAATGATTCCATCAAATTTCAAGAGCTCTATTTTACTTGGACTATTTTCCAACCAAATCACTCAAGAACTCATCTAATATATATAACAAACTCTCATTATACAAGTTGGTTTTATTTTATTCTTCTAGTAGCAGGATTTCTTCATTATTTGTGCATGGAAAATCTAATATTGGTTTGATCTATGAACTCCAAGGGGTGGATCTTAACCGGTTTTGATTCGCTGGTTAGATTATTTAACTTTTCGGTTAGATTAATAACCCCAATAACCGGTGGTTAAGGCTGAACCTAATAAAAAATATCAGAAAAAGCAAAAAAATCCAAAAACAAATTATTGTCATCGAACTGTTGAGACCTGACTTAGGCTCTGGGACCATAGGGGCCGTCGCTTGCTGGCGGTGCGGAGTCCGCAAGCCTTTAGTATAGTCTGGACTCTAGTATAATTCATGAAGATATACCTACAACATGTTATATCACAGCATTGCATCATACCACGTGATAATTGGGAAGTCTGAAAGAAAGCTTTCTAGGAAGTAGAAACTTAAATGGCATTCTTCATCATATCGCCATAGAACCTCAAAACATATGAATCAAAGTTTTGCTACAAGCAAATGTTGGATTGTACTCAAAGCATGACTGCTTTTTTATGATTTCAATATTGATAGATCATTCGACTCGTCTCTCGGCTCAAATCAGCGTTTGTCTCCTACTCTATGTCATTCTCGTTGAGCTGCTCTAGAGTCGGCGCAAAGAGGTTTTGTTACACTACTTTATTATCATTCGATGGGGTGCTTGACCTATCCCGTATTCCAACGGATCTTCTGCATTGTATTCCTCCTCTTGAATCTCGTTGAATGAGTTTTCAAGAAGATTCGCCCACAATAATTTGCCACCACCAAATCCGGAAGATCAGCAATGGTCTCATCCAGCTGACTGCTGGCAAATTCGGACGGAGTCCATTCGGTTTCGTTGTTCAACCTGGATGCTCCGATCTGCTGGCTCGTGTTTGGCGTGGGAATAGACAGAGAACTTGTCGCTCCCGAGGCGGCTGGAAGAAACTAGCGCTGGAACTGACGTTGGGGTGCGTTCGTACCCCGTGGCTTTGTATGCCCCGTCGCTTCCTGGATTGCAACCCTGCTGCGGATTGCTGCTTGGATCTGCGCAATTTTTACCGCTTTGGCCGAGTCGAGGCGGTTGCGACTCTTGGTCTGGATTAATCCCAATGCGGACCACAGCCTTTCAATTGAGCCCGCATGCACAAACATCCCAAAAAGCCGAAGTGCAACGGCAGCCAGCTGAGGCTTCGCGTTCTGCATCATGCACCCAAAAGCTTGTCGGATCTTTTTCGCATGCATAGGCATTGACCAAACTAAAGTTGTCTTTGTGGGTTTTATACTCCCCAAACTGCAAAGGCAATTAGAAAGATTCACAGTCAGGAATTGCGTTCAGCGATCAAACAACAAGTCGACTCTAAAGCAAAAGAGATCAAAGCAAACGACAATCAGCAAGTGCCCAACTAAGCTAGGTAGGCTATAAGATCCGCATGCTCGTATTCACTTCCAAAACAATAATCTTATATGCATCTCCTTACCTGTCGAATCACAGCATCCCTGTACTCAATGGTCCCGCCAAAGTACTCAGTGTACAAGTTGCTTGCCAACTGACACAGGTTGTGCGGCTGGCCAATCGGCTCCATGCGGTTGATGTGATTGAGTTGCAGCATAGGGTGGAGCACGTATGCGAGCACCATGATCGGTTGCAGCATCTTCAGCCATCGCTTCTGCAATATACGCAAAGGCCAAATGACTTCAAGAATTTTCAGAGTTCACAATTGTGGGTCAATTTTACTCTCACAAGACACTATTCATAAACTGTTGCCCGACAATGCGCAAGTACACGAGTTAATGGCTATTGACAGTGGACAATGGACATAATGAGCTCATAGCTAAGCAATATGCTATATGCTTCTTACCTCGAGGATGCTTTCGAGCGCGTGTGATGCATCAACCTCAAGGATGTTTTGGAAGTTTTTGCTTAGCCGTGCCAGCGTACGCACGACAGTGTCAAGCCTAGTAGCATCCTGCTCGAGCAATCTGCCTGCAACCTTCAGAGGCATCAGATGCATGCAAACCTACAATGCAAGATTTGAAGAGTCAGATGGGTTATTGAAATCTTGAATATAATGAATTTGTGAATGAATTGCAAAAAATGGACACCTTTCAGTGCCAAAAGATCATAATTCAAAGCGATAGTAGAAATTTATGGAGAAAACATACCTGATGGAGCATCTTCCAGAAGGAGGGTTATTCGATAATGTCAAGTACAGTCTCAGCCTTCCTCTTTGATGCCGTTGAGTTTCTCACGGAAGCTACCAGCTCGGCCTTTTGCTCGAGCACCAACAACTTCATCGCCCGCTGCACATGTACATATTGAGTAATTGCTTTAAAACAACTTGCCACATGCAATCTAGAAATGAAAAACATCATCTTTGACTCATGACGCAACTTTCAAGAGCTGGCTGGTTGGCAAGCTCAATGACTCCAACCATTGAATTGCCACTTGCTTTATTAATGTCTGACCTGCAGCAGTCTTGAAATGCTCTCCACGTGGGACCCCCACCACGTGATGGCCGGAATAATCAGCGCCATTGTCTTGCTCTCCACCGCTACAAGCTTCTCTTGAAGCCAGGCACTCGGCACAGTGTGACTGGTGAACCAGACAAGCACCTGCAGCGCCTGCTTCATGACTTCCGGGTAGCGGTTATTGGACTTCAGGTAATCACCCACCATCAAGTGAATTTGGTGGACTACGCAGTCCATGACAATTAGCCCTGGCATTTGAGCTGCTGCGATCCTGCGAGCTTTTTGACATGTAGCTGCAGCGTTGGACACGCAGCCAATCACCTTTGCGCCAAACTTCTCCTGCAACTCTATTGCGGCCTAGAGGATTTTTGTGGCAAGAAGGTCGTCAGTTTCTCTATTCCTCGTCACATCAACAACGTACAAAGCAAAAACCTGCAAGAAAAGATAAATTATTTAGGCCAACTTACTTAATAACTAAATATCATCATTAGAAAAAGTTGAGCTCGAAAGAGTCAATCAATTGCTGAATGGCCTTTTGGTTACGAGACAGCTGAAATTATTAAATCAAAATGCAAGCAAACATACAAACATTGCGATTAGCTGTTGCCACCGTGAAGCCCAAGGGCTGCTCACGCTTGACATTCGTCCAGGAGTCCAGAATGAGGGTAACGGCTTCAAGTAATGAAATAGACTCCTGCTTAGAAACTCACACGTTTCATGACGCAGTGCGACATATGGTTGTGTGAACAACTTGGCTTGCATGCCAACAATGTATCTAGTAAGTCTAACAAAGATAAATGTTCAAAATGTCAATGTTGCATGCCTCTTTGAGTCCCGCAAATGAAAAAACTCACCTACATTGTTCTTGAGCTCCTTCTTCATATCAGTCTCTATAGTGAGCGCTTCTCTCTCCAAGATTGATCCAGCCAAAGTGTTCTGAGCGGACAGCTTTGCTTTGTTGCGCATGATTGCGAACAAGGCTTTTGCTGAGGGCTTTTCCACCCAGTCATAAACCTTTGCACACTGGACTGTGAATTCGAGGAGAATCTTCTCAAACTCTCTGCCCTGTGTTGCAGCGAGCGGCGCATCAGCAATGGGCAATGTGAAAAGCGTGCTCTGTGTGCTCGCCCCTCATGAGAACAATTCTGAATCCTAGCTGTCAACACCAGAATATCCATCTGAGATCTAGCGCTTGAATCCACTTTGCTTGGCATTTAGGTCTGATTTGTGGGGCTCGTATTCGCGACGAATGTCACTTGGCACATTGCAACAACTTGAGAGATGACGAACCATGTTCACTTTGTTGTTTAAGCAATGATGAGCACCCTTGTCACCTTTCAAACCCTTTGCAGCGCACCCATTGCAAATCGCTCCGTAATGCGCAGTGTTGACTTTGTGGAGTGTTTTTGTAAAATGCTCCCAAATTCCTTGACTAGCATTGGCGTTGGCAGGTGCTAGAGACTCATTTTGAGCTGCTGCCATCGTGCTATGCTAATATCCATCTACGCTGGACAGCTGTGTTGTAACTAGTGGAAAAACGGCGGTTCAACTATGAGAGAACAATGAACGAGACGGTCTGGCAAGCCGCAAGGATCACCGAGTCAACTTGAAGATGGTTAGTTTCGTGTTTTGGATTCGGATTCATCAGCTGACCATCAGATAAGGTTTGGAGCACCATTTGACGATCAATCTTGTTCCGAAGCTTGCGCCAAATCCATCTGATTGTCCAAGAAACGCTTTCGTTTACAATCGTTCGATGACCTTTTGGACCTTTAACTGAAACAATTAATCTGGTCAGAGGTTCGGTTAGGGATTAATAATGGCGGTAAAACAGTTAAAGGATTAAGAGGCTAATCGGTTATGCCCAACCTTGATGAACTCTAATGATCCATATCAATTTAATATAAAGTGTAAAAAGACTCTTTGATTCATATATATATTCCAGCAATGAATTGGATCCATCCTATCACAACAAATTGAATGTGTTGAAAATTTATGTAACATTTTTCTAATGATCATGTTTTGATAGTTAGTGTGGAACAATTGAAATTCCACATTGATTCTCTAACTAGATATGAGCATAACGTCCATGTCTTGTAAAGAGAGTGTGTCAAAGTAAGCTTTGAAGAGATAAGAGAATGGAAGTACAATCTCACCATTGTTGTGATCACTTTTAAATTTATAACTACTTTTAACTCTACTATCTATGTAGTTTCATACCTTGATAGTTGTGACCAGAATTACACTTGAAATTCATACCCAAACTTGATTCATACTCAAGGATTGTGCAATTGTGGAACCCATATCCGAAGGGAACATACCCGATACTCTATCCATAACCAGGTCACCTTCGAGATCATACCCGACTTGTATCCGTAGAGATTGGAAAATCATTTTTTAACTTCGCTATAGGCTTTTGGTGGAGCCAAAACTTGGATTTTCTCCGACAGCAACATTAAGCCTAAGAACATGAGGTTGTTGACCTTAGACGGTGCAGTTGGTTGTGTTTCTTGTTCACGTGTTACTTAAATCCGAGAAGTTGTTCTCTAGTTTTTGCGCTCGATGCTGGAATGACCAACACAAAACGGACTACTCGAGAAAGTATGGGGAATTTTTTTTGATGTATCTTCCCAAAAAATAAAATTCCATATTTAGATTCCATATAAAATTCTATATTTAGATATAAGGGTGCTTTCATCGTCGCTACACTTGTGGCAAATGTAGTTGTTGAGCTCCGTCATCAAAGCATAATCACGTAGCATGTCATCGGCGTAGAATTTCTCGTCGATGACGCTATCGCTCTCAAAACTGTATTTGGTGATACGGTGCGAGGCAAGTCGGTTACACTGCTTCTATTTCTTATGGGTCGCAAGCTGTGGTTGTCGCCGGTGCAGGGACACATCATATGATACTTCATCATGTTTTCCAGATTTTTTTTTCTGAGCTTGATATTGGCGGAATCAATGCCAAACTTATCAAAACGAGGCTTGACTTTGGAGTTGAGTAGGACGGCAATGACAAGGATGTCGCTCCAAACAAACTTTTGCTTGATTTGTTTAGAAAATTTTGGCTTCAAGGCGACGCATGCGAGAGTGTATTTCTTCAATCTTTGTTATCGTGACATCTTTTCCTTGGTGATGATATACTCTGTGACTGTAACACTAGGGTTTAGAGAATAGTTAACTCAAAGATAAAAACATAATTTTGAAGATGAGATATCCAACAATGGTTCTACTCTCTCTTTCCAACATGTACAAGAAGATAAGATTTTATCCCCACCATCCATCGCACTGCTAGTGGATGGATGAGGTGGTGTAATAACCCACCAAAGGCTAAAACTGCAGTATAGCAGCAAAAGGTCGAACCCACAAGGACAGAGGCAACACACAGAGTACAAAATGTCACATTTTAACAAACTATTGAGGAGTTTGAATTCTTAGGCTACTGTCACTCCCAGAAATACTGCAGGTCAACTCGTAGGTCACTCGGAGGACACACAATGCAGCGTAGTACACTCCAACACACATCTGAAACTGGAAAAGCGCAACTCAGAGGTCGATTAGGACCTCTACTTAAGATTCAGGGGGAAAGTTTCCCAAAAGTACACTCAGAGTATATGCAGGTAGTGACCCCAACTTCAAATTTACAACCCTTCCACTAGTTACTGCTAGTGCAGGGCATCCGGGATGGATTTCCTACTTCGGATGCGGTACCTTTGTCAAACCGAAGTCACTCTCACGCGGTGAACAACACACTCAACTCACAAAACGCGTAGAGAATACAGGAATCCGAACTGAGAAACTCAATTGAGAAAAGATCCAGTGTCACCACTTAACAGTCTATTGACGAGTTTGAATTCTCAGGCACTAGTCATTTCCAGAAATACTGCGGAGGCTACACCCGAAGGCACCTCAAGCAGCGTAACACACACAACCTGAATTTACAACCAAGACTTACTCGAAGTGACAAAACTTCACTTTGGCACTAAGGGGGAAAAATTCCGAAGGAGTACAAACAGGAAAAATCGTCCGAAGGTGTAAGTCCGAATTTCAGATCCTGAGTAGACTATCTGCTACCTAAGAACATTCGGGCGAAGGCCTTGAGCTACAAAATGCGGTAACTTTGACAAGCTATAGCTCCTCTTGCGCAGTGACAGAGTGAAAGACACAAACGCGCAGAGAAAACGAGTTCTTGAACTAAACTTCCGAAACTGGAAAATCCCCAAGGCAAAACGCCTTGAACTACGTTATACAATCTAAAATCCTAACTACCTAACGCTCTACTCTACGCCTCATTTGCTACGCCTCATTTGCTATGCCTCATGTGTGAAGGCCGACTGCGCACTAACTCCCTACCCGACAAGTCTTCGGCCCTACTGCGCAGTCCCAGCCGCCGCAACACCTCGGTCACCTCTGCCTCAAGGTTTGCTATGGCGTCTTGCGACCTCAACAGGAAGGAATCCTACCGCTTTGCAACGCGCCGTCGACTCCAACTGTCACCCGACATCAAGGCCGCCGCACGAATCTCCAACTCGCGCAAGGTCACTCTATCCCGCGCGGCAATCTTCCAGCGAGTAGAACCTCTAAAACACCGGTTAACTCGCGCTACTAATTCCTCCCGCATGCGATCTGTTGCGCGCCGGTTGTCACCTTCAAACTCCACTAACTGCAGCTCCGCCTCCGCACGCTGCGCTCTCAATTCGTCGCACTGCGATTGCTGTCGACGCAGTAACTCCTCGTCCGCCTTGCGTGCGATCTCAGTGTGCTCCAGCAACCTTGTCTGCCGCACGAGCTCCTCTGCCAGGATGTAATTCTGAGCTCGTTCAGAGTGGAGCTCCGCCTCGATCTTTGCGCGCTGCTTCTCAAATTCGCGCCGGGCCTCTGCCGCTGCGTCATCGCGCAGCTAATGTGCTGTCTTGTGCAGCCTCCGCGAGAGATTAACATGTCCATGCATGACATTGTTCTTCTCCATCAACTCCCGATACTTCTGGTCCAGGAAGATCAGCTCGGGATTCGTCGCTACCTTAATCCGCGTCCGATTCCTGACCAATTCTACGTAGGATCCTCGATGGCAGGGATCCGCATACCTTGCTGCCTTGCGATCCAGGTACCGCAGTAGTGGTACTACCTGCTCTCAAAGTACTCCCGTCGGTGTGCCTTGCACCGACTCCACTTCCTCCCCCTCTGAATCGTGTCGTCCTCTACGCGAGGATCTCTGTCGCTACAAAAATCCTCGGCGATTCTCTGGAACTGGATTGCGCAGCTTCTTTCGCCGCGACTGCCGCTCCACTTCGTGCCAACATCTCCAACGGGGTGAGAGATCTTGCTCCAGGCGGGCCCGCTTCACCTGCCCGAGCTTCTTCCGCCGAAGGCTCATCGTCGAAGGTGTCTACAGCCGAAGGCGCTCGTACCGAAGGCACACGTGTCTCCTCCTTCTGCTCAAGTTGGGTCTGCGCCGAAGGCTCTTCACCCGAAGTCCTCTAGGCCGAAGGCTACTCCATACACCTCTCCTGCGCCAAAGGCTCTTGACCCAAAGCTGAAGAAGCCAAGCACCTCTCCGTTGCTGGCACGCTGGCCTGTGCCGCATGCCGTCTTCCTTGGCTCGAAGGCCTTCGTGCTTCCTCCGAAGGCGTCCGTGCCTTCGGTGCATGGAGGTCCGCTGTTCGCCCAAGAACTCTTGCACTCGCATCCTTCCCCGAGGATGGCGAGTTTCTTCACTCCACGGCTCGTCCTGTGTCCGCGCTACTCGCCAACAGAACAAGCTTGCGAGCTTCCTGCTTGGGCCGACTAGAGGGCTCGTGGATCGCTCGACTTCGGGCGGGAGCAACGGGCACTTCTCGCTGACTCTGGTCCGCCTCCCCATCCCATTTTCGCTTCCGTGGCACTCGTATTGCCCGCGGTTCTTCCTCTGCTCGAGGTCGAGCTGGTGGTGTGCAAGTGAGCGTTTCGTCGGTGTCGTTGTCGACCTCGACATCCTTCACGTATCTGCCCGGATTGCTGCGTGACAGCAAGGAAAACTGCACTCGCTCCGACGCTGTCAAGCACACCATCGATCGATAGAAGTTAATCAAGAAGGGGGAGAGGTGATTGATCGATCCTCCCTTCTTATCCTGCGCGTGTTGTCGCGTTGCCTTCCGCAAAATCCGAGCCCTGTGGATTGGAGTTCCCGTCAACGCCAATTCCACAAACCTCACCTGGCAAGAAGTCATGTAGGTAGTCCGGTGCAGCTGTAAAATTTGGAGTAGTGCTTCCACGACATTCCTCCGCATGCGATCCTTGTAGTCACAGGTCTTGTACCCGTTCTTGCTGGACTTGCTGTTCTTGAAAAGGGCACCGAAGGAAATTTCTTCTTCCTTCGTGACCTGCACACTCTCGCATTCGAAGAGAAGGTCACCTTCTTCTCCCGCGCACCTTCCCAAGACTTGTTCCCAATCACTGACCTGCCATCTCTCCGGATGTGATCAAAAACCGCAAGGGGGTTGGTTCCTCCTCGGCAGCCACTCCCGGACACATCCAATTTCATCCCCATAGGAGGAAATTGAGCTTCACCGCCGACAACTCGTTTTGAAATGCGCGCAGTCCGATATGCGGCACTTTCAGCAGAACCATCCGCAGCTGAGTTGACCGGGCCATCAAACTTCTTGCAAGTTCCCGCACACTCCTTCTCTCTGCCGACGCGAACTTCTTGCTTCTTTATGCGCACTCGTTACTGCGCGTCGCGAGCTCGAACGAACTCGCTGTAATTTCTCTCTACACTTCTCGCGCACTCACTCAATCTTTCCGCGAGCTCTCTGCTAACTCTCTGCATGCGAGCTCGGTGTGCACACTCCAGCAATCTCTCCGTGCAAGTTCGCCGCGAGCTACTGCGATTACGCACTCGACAATTTCCGCACACTCTCCTCACACTCAGCAATCACTCCGCAAGCTCTCCACTAATTCTCCTGCTGCGCGTCGCGAGCTCGACGAATGCAACATTGAAAATGCGAGAGTGGGAGTGAGAGTGAGTTCTTCCTTCGGCGATCAACATCGCCCAACGTTCGACACTTGGACTAGCCGCGGCCCACTTGAATGTGATGCCGACGCGGAGGCGTAACGGCCCAATTTGCACGCTTGAATTCAAGCTCCGCCGTTGCGCGGACTCCCACGCTTGTACGTTCAATCTTGATTCCGCCGATTTTTGCCGACGCCGTTCTCCGCTCGCGTACCGCCGAAGGTGCTCGCGGCAAAGGAACGGACTTCATCCGACTCCTTTGTCTTTTCTTCTTCTGCCGAAGTAGCATCCTAGAGGCGAAGGCATTCCTTCCGCCGAAGGCGAAACCTAATGATGAAGGCGGCGCTAGTGCCGAAGGTGTTGGGGCAAAGAAACCTACCGCCGAAGGCATAGGGCCGAAGGCGAACAAAGTGACGGGGTCGTTTTTCCTGTGACAAAGGCGCTCGCTTCGCATGCTTCGTACGTCTTCAGCGACAGATCCTCTAGAGGCATCTGCGCCGAAGGCGCATCGCCAAAGACACCTCACAAAAGGACCTGTTGCCAAAGGCGCTCTTCCCAGCCGGAACCGTCTGCTCCGTCCAAGGCGCATGACCTCGGCCTAAGCCCCCCCCAACTCCTGGATTCTCCGTGACATGCGATTCTACCTTTTAACTCTATTTTTCGTACCGATTACTATTTACAGTTGCTGCTGCAGTACTTATTTTCCAAAAATGTTTTAATTCCGACCAATAACAAAAAGTGGGTTACCACATGTGGCGGATAACCCTAACAAGCACACGGATTGCTGACATGGCGTTCCCAACTAACACACTCAATCATTACTTAACAAGCACACGGATCGCTGACATGGCACTATCAATTAACACATATACCCTCTACCTACCAAGAGGGCGGATTGTTGACGTGGCAGCTATAACTAGTGCATGCTAAAGTATCTATATCAACATTTAGAGTAACCGGTATTTTAGTTTTAACTAACTAAAGATGGTTACAGTGATGACCTCGAAATGCTTCAGCAGAATCTGCCGAAAGTAGAGTACACGGTGTAGCGTAGACTCCGCGAACATCTTCAGAGCTATGATGGTTTCATGAAAGATCACTAGAAAGTAAATGAATTTTTTGAAAAGCTCGTGATCGATCTTGATGACTTTGGAAACCATTCCGTGACCTCTTGTACGTAGGATCTTGGTCATCTCCAAGAGTGTTTTGTCAATGATGATCATTAAAACAAAGTGCACAGTTTCATCGCATTCTCTTGCTTGAGTACTTTTGCAAGCTCATCTTGAAGATGAGCTTGCAAAAGTGGTCTTGATTGTCACGATTGACAATCAAGATTCGCTTGTTTGATGTATGTCACGAAAGCTTTGAAGTGATCAATCATGTCGAACAGCTCAAGTGTCAAATCGTAGAGCTCATAAAAGGGAGCAGAGTTTTTATTGTCGATTATATAAGTCCTCTTGTTAATAACCGTCGTGAGGATGGTACCAATGATGTGATCACAACACAAGATTCAATCGTAGAGGTTGGAAATGTTGTGCATTATGCAGAGTGCAAATTGGAGCCACGGTCGGTGATAACTGTGATCGCATCATAGCTACTTATGACAATTTTTTGTAAAAAAACCTCATATTTTTCCAAGACGTCGTGTAAGTGGACCGCACCATGATTTGGTCTAGGGAACGAGTTGCATGCCAGTATGTGCGATGTTGCAGAGTGAACTTTTCATTGATGAAGTGCGTAGTGAGCGATAGAAAAGAGATATTGTTCATGTCATCCGTTCATAATATTGTTCGTGCTTCCAGTCCAAATTTCTTCCGCCATATGCGACTCCAATCGGCGGCAATCAATGCCTCGCGTCCAGCACTAGATCAAGTCTGCACATTTCTTTTGATTGTGGTTGGATAAGGAAGTATGTTGTCCACACGCATGTTGACCTTTGAGTTTACGCCAATATTCAGGAACGTCTCCGTATAGTTCATGAAGCCGGAGTCCTTCACAATGTGGAATGGACGCATGTCAACGGCGCACAAGTCCGCCAACGCCACAATGATGAGTTTCTTCTGAGTTGTAATTGCATCGCGGCGCGTTGTTGTATCTGTCATCATGTGGTTGATCTATGCAAGACAACAATGTTTCGACATGGCCGTTGTTTCTTTGACTGGTTTGTATTGATAAAAAGCGAGGCAAAAGAGTAGTCATTGCAACTAAGATGCTTGCAAGTCTTCTTGAAGGCGACGAACAAGAACTATGACCGGAACTCCGACTTGGCTTTGCGATTCTTCACTCAAACAAAGAGACCGTCCTTTTTCTGGAAATTGGCTATGAATTTGGTCTTAAGGGTGATCATATACTTGGGCATCATCTCAATTGTATTCTCATCATCAGCCATGGCCGGGGCCGGACTGTATTTTGGGTACACCCCTACCCTATGAAGGTCTATGCCTTGCATCCTGTACTCACCGAGCTATTACACGACATGTTATAATGAGTAACCCGAATGGTATATCTTTAAACCAAAACCCTACCCAAAACCATCAGATTCAAAGCCCAACCTGGAACCGAGCCAAACTGTTCGTGGCCTGGATCAAACCCGAACCGTACCCCTCTGTTCGCGGGTAAGGTTGGGGTTTCGGGTAGGGGCAGACTAGGGCCATACCCGCTTTTGCTACGGCCACACCCGCTACATACGAACAACTGATTGCGCGTCAAAGCACGCCTCCCCTCAAACCCAGCTGCTAAGCCGAGCTCGTCCGCGAGGCAGAGGAGAGCGTAGTCGAGAGGTTTCGAGGGGAGTGGGGCCGCTACAGCCGTCGCTGTCTCCCGCGTTGCTGGGGCTTGGGCAGTAGCAAAAGCGGACATGGGCATGGTAATTAGCGGGCGGGTGTGGCCGTAGCAAAAACGGGTGTGGCCCTAGTCTGGCCCTTTCAGGTATGGTTACCAGATGCAGGTCTCTGCTTGATAGTATACGAAGATTAAGAGTCATATGCCATCAATCTACCAAGTCAATAGATTGTCTTTCATTCATCATAATGTTCTGCTACTAGTATGTATTGTCATTGCACAGATAATGACGAGGTGAATTTGCTTGAAGAGATAAACATTAATTATTCCATATATTAATTTTGAGACACTCCTTTCTCCCGTCTGTCAATCGGTAGAGAACTGAGCTATATCCATCAATCATCGCATGCCAATCTTCTACAAAAGAATCAGAACTTCCTGATTCAGGATAGAGATTTTTCCAGTTGTATTGTATTGTTGAGTTGGAGTTAGATCTAGATAGATTGAATTCAAAGATCCCCACGCTTTTATTGTGGAGTAAAACTCTGAATAAATGAAACCTGTTGGACCACCATATTCTCATCATTCGAAGGTCAGCAAGAGTTCTTCGAGCTCTAATGCAGGCGAGGACAGCATGAGTCAACTAAAGAGATACGGGGAGGTATTAATAACGAAAGGGAGCAAGAATCGCTTGAGAATAGAAGCCTGTGCATTTCCAAAGGACGAGAAAAGATTCGGAGATGGGTGCCCGCGAATTCGTTCCGAGGGGAGACGATCTGCTGTGCATCTGTGCTGGCATTTCACAGAGGGAGACCTGCAGAACAGTGATCCTCAGGATGTTGCCATCGTCAAAGCAATCTATGAGATTCTTCGAATTCTGAAGACCGTGGATTCGAATGGAGAGAGGTCCATGACAGATGTAGCGGGAATAGCAAGGCAGCCGTTCTTCCATGCAGGACCGCACCTCGATAACGCAACCGACTCCATGGATGTTCAGACGGACAACAATCAGCCGTCTGAAAGTAGACCTGCACCTGAAATTCAAGACTGTGCTACGGGTCCGGGTCCAAAGCCTTCCAGCAGAGACTCGATAGGCTGCACGGAGAACTTCTGCGACGGAAGTCATATCCGACGGGAAGAACTGGAAGAGAGATCGGTGAAGAGCACGATCAAGTCTGAGACTGTGGATCATGGAAGCGAGGAAAGCAGAAGACGGGATGCACGGCGCTCTCCGCACACCTCGCTGTCTATTATGACAGAAGAGAAATGGACTATCGGTTTCAGCGGGAAGAAACGCAAACGTAAACCTTCGGACTCCAGATCAGAATTCGACCCCTACACGAAATTCAGATCTTCAACGCGAGGGATCAGATCAGAATTCGACCCCTACACGGTTCCCGAAGTCGACCACGTATTCCAAGGTCCCGCATGGAGCTCCGACGATCAAAGGACGAGGGTGACCACCCTTCTCAACCAATTCCGGTACCTTCGAAAGCTTTACAGGATCGAGTACACCAAGAGAGGAGCCGTGGGTTTGAGGCCAGACACTAGGGCCGGCAACTACATGAAGTCTAGAGGCTACACTCTGGTACTAGGCCGCCGAATTATTGGAGCGATCCCGGGAGTGGAGTGCGGAGATCGCTTTCATTCTCGAGAGGAGATGGCTCTCGTGGGTCTCCATTGTCAATTACAGGGAGGGATCGACTATTTCAGATCAACCCACACTAACAGCGTTGGAAATCGGCTTCTGATTGCTGTCAGTATTGTGAGTTCCGGGGGTTACAAGGACAATGAATGTGATACTGACGGCGATACTCTGATATACAGTGGGGCCGGTGGGGTTAGAAACTTGTCTCGGATGACAAATTTTTCGGCAGAGTGTCGCGATCAGAGGATGGAGCGGGGAAATTTAGCTCTGAAAAACTCCTGCGATCTTCAGATTCCAGTCCGAGTGATATATGGCAGCAATGGGTCGAGCCCCAGGAAAAGCAAATTGTATAAGGAATATCTCTACTCTGGGCTCTATAATGTGATCAATTACTGCGAAGATACAGGTTTGGCTGGTACTAAAGTTTATAAGTTCACCCTGACCACACAAAATATGATCTTGCGCTATAATTTCTAACACCGACTCGAAAATTATAAAATTGTGATACTTAAGGTTTAAGCTTAACTGCCAATAATTTTTTTTAATCTATTGCAATTATGGAAAAACTAAATTATTTTAATTCATTTCAACCATTGCAAAAAACACTAAAATTTTCTAATTAATTTCAACCATTGCAAAAAAATTCCCACTGCTATCTCCCAACAGAGTCTAGGTCGTGTCTGAGTCCCAGTGTGGCTGATCATCCTCTCAGGACAACAATTGAAGGTTGCCTTGGTAAGCTATTACATCATCATCTATCTAATCCTAAGAACAAGAAAACATTTTCATTGACAAATGTTGATGACAAAATTTTGATGAGCAGAATGATGATTTTCAATTCATAAAAATCAAATTTCTCAACATTATTTCTTAAATAGTTATTTATTGATGAATTTTCAATTAATGCATCATAAACTAAAAATGAATCAAAAGAATTACTACAATGTAGTAAAATTGGATTAGTTTTTTTGCAAGTTATCAAAAGTAGGCTGATTTGTACATGATTAAAGATCATAATATTGACACTAAATTGGAGCATATTTTTCACAAAAACACAAGCACAAATTCACATTTAAACACATACAAAACATTTAACACAAGCATATTTCAAAAGTTGACATAAAATACGTGATTTGTCAATGCAGAACTACATCCACGAAAAAAATAAATTAGTTTTTACTAATGATAAATGAATTATTGGATAATATATCTATTAGGATTATAATATTATTATTTTATAATCCTTAGTATTAGAATTAAATTAATAGAAGTATAAATTTATATATATAATCTAAATATCTTTCATGTAAATATATGAAAATTTATTTTACAAATATATAATATAATATAATATAATTATTAATAGGTGGATTATACTACATAATATCATTTGATTTCGGAGGTTTGTTGAAAAATGTCAAATTTTTTTGATGCTAATTATGCACATAATCAAAGGAAAAAGCAATTTTTATATTTAAAAATGTATGCATTTGTTAAAAATATAATTTCAAAAAAATCATAATATATTTAACTTTAGCTATTGAATATTAAGCAACAAAAAAATGTATAATTAGTTGAATAGATTTATCATTCAACTGAAATGAAAAAAACATGTTGTTTATATTTGTGACATTTAGAATGCATTATATTTAGCAGAAAATCAAATAATGTATGACATGATGAAACACATCAACATCATATATGTATTTATCATAGATGAAGTTTTTGATACTAAAAATATTTTGCTTAAAAAAACAGTAATATGTATTAATAATTATGTAATATCTAGATACGACTTACATCCATCATACTTTAATAACTTAGTCAAAATCGTATGTCAATTTTTTTATATAAGTTTATGAAAGAATGTCGTATTGTTGACAGAATTTACAACTTGAAGAAATCAATTAAAGATTACTTTTAGCATCAACACAAATTATGTTTGATTCAAATTAGTGTTACCATAATTAATTTCACTAGCATTTGTTGAATGAGAAAGCTAGCCAATGTTTTCTATGATACAAAATTACAATTTTTATAAAACTACTTGTACTCTAATAAATCTAGACTGAGTTAGATGAATTGAATATATTGTGTCAAATGTGTATTATGTTGACTTGTGAAGAAATATTTAAAAGAAAAGTTTGATAGAATTTTAAACTAAATTAACATGAAAGATGTAAATAATATCTCTTACTGTTGGAAAAAATAGAAATATTTTGAGCTTATCTTTTTTAATTTTCTTCATAATCCACTTATTTTGATAAAAAGATAAAATATATTTATAAATGAAAATATTTTATATTCTTATGAAGTATTAATTGTTGCTATTTAAAAAAAAATTGCTCTTCAAAATCATTGGTTTCAAAAATATTTCTAAGTATAAATTTTCAATAAAACCAATTAACTTCTTATAAATTTATCCATTAAAATAAATCATAAAAATTATTTGAATGACTCAAATAAAAGATATTGTATTTTATTGAATATTTTGTTGTAAATTTTATCTTCTAATACTATTATTTTGATATAAATATATAAGTGAAAGAACTTGTCATGATTCTAAATCTCAAACTGTCTATTTTGTGAAATGAAAGCAAATCAATGTCAAATAAAGATAAACATAAATTTATAATGAGACTATTTCTGTTATATTTATGAGTAGTGATTTCAGTGTATATACACCCAACACACACCCACGCAATTTTAGTGATATACACCCAAGAAATACCATGCTATACATCCAAGAAATACCTTGGGCATTTCTTGGGTGTGTGCGGTTTAAACTGTGGGTGTGTGTTGGGTGTATATACACTTAAAACAATATCAACTATATTAACGACCATAAATGAAATATGCCATCTTCTAGTTTTTCTTGACTGAGATTTTAATTGTAAGGCTCTCAAAAAATTCATATTTGAACCGTTTTTCCTTCAAATTTTTGATGAAATAACAGATCATGTTTTCTTCTGAACTATGAAGATGTATCATCGTATGCAGTTACCAATGGAAAGCAACTTAGAATTGGGAGGGTGTGGCAAGGTGACTACCGTGATAACCCACAGGATATTTTATAGTCTGACAGATACTCGCATCCACATCAACATGCAATATTTTTCTCCCCGGGTAAATAGATGCTATTTCACGAGAAAAAGGTCGGAAGATGAAGAGTGAAGGCCATGCCAGGGCACCAAGTTTAGACGGAGATAAAGGATATGGCGTTGCACTAGTGACAAATTGCAGAGCTCTGGTGCAGGACAGTCCGATGTGGAAGGTCCAGCACACGAAGCAGGTTCTCCACGTATCTGAATTGGCGAGTGGACGAGCAGAGTCATTATCGGATCGGATACTGAGCTGTGAATCTCTTACGGGGACAAGTTCGTTTGACACTTCCTGTGTTTTATGAAGATGTGGATGGTTTTGCCAGATTCACGATTTCAAAAAGACGACAAAACGCGTCTTCTGTCTGCACGAGTACTGGGAAGCGTTTTCTCACTGTCCTCTCATAAAATAAGTGCTTTCCGTCACTTTAGAGTGACCTTCTTATGCATGTCTTTGTGATGGAAACCACCATTGTATATTACATATGCAAAGAATTATCATCTTGGCTTTCATATTCTTCTTATGTACAGAAGGGTTATAGAGTAAAAATTGCATATAAGATCCGATAGAGTTATATAAGAATGAGAGAAACTTGATAAACCCCAATGTCATCACAATGTTGAGTATGAATTATTTCACACAAAGAAATTAAAAAATTAGATCAAATCATTTATTAGAAAATATGAAAATATGATCAATCATTTTCTGAAGTGTTTTTTATTCCCTATATAAGTATATTACATGGCTCTATATAAATACAAAGCTAGAATGATCAAAATAAGTGCTCTTTGAATAGCATCTGTTAGCTCTTACCACTCCATTTGTAGCTAATTCTATAATGTAAAAATACATTCCCTATGAAATCAGGTCATCTGTAGAATCTTTTAAGCACTATATCAACAACAATACTTGGGATTTCAAAATAGCAACTGTACATGTGTCTTGATGTACTACAAAGGCATTCCCATGAAAGAAGAACAATGTTCACATCTCAGTTCCACACTAAATTACAATGAAAGGATTTTTTATTCTCCTTTCTTTTCCTCCGGTAAAGCGAAGGAAGACTGAGCTTGAATGATACAACCAAAGCAAAAAATATACATGATCTAATATATAATTTATATGACGCCATAATTGGCAAAACATGTCCTTGCTGTGATATTCATTTAAACAACCTGATGTATATAGGTTGATTCGCAGGAATGCATACCTAAGATGGGAAACTGGATACGCTGATGTTCGAGAGCAAACATAAGTGTTCATCATCCAGGTTTAACAAAAGAATTTTCTACCAATTGATATCCAGTTGGAATACCATAGTCTAGCAATAGCATAAAAAGAAATGTATACTCACTCTAGTCTTGGCAAAACAATGATCAGTGCCTTGGACAAGTGCATTAAGAGGTATTTGGAAAATATTTCGACCAAGACATCAGCTTTCTTTCTCGAATCGGACCTTGAATACGCCTCGTATACAATCGAGAGTTCGCTCCTGACGCGGACTGGTGAAGATGTCATGATATCGGATTTCGAGGTTCAGGCATCGAGGTCTCTATATTCGCAAGGGAAACATGGATACCTCATCTTGCGCTTGAGACTCGGCGAAGGCGGCGCCACCTGGGCGCCCTGCTGGCCTTGACCAGGGTGCCAAGCCACTGCGGCAGCTGCCACTTGTCTCGCAAGTTGCTCGAGACTGCTTTCCGGACATGCAGATCCAAACACTGGTCGCCCCGCCTTTGGGCATCGACTGCGTCGCTTCTACGTCGTACAACTCTTTCCCTCATTTATTGGAATCGGCAGGACCGCGGATTTCAACGTCGTCGGAGAGAGATTTTCTGCTATTCATTCTCTTTTCTCATAAATTGGAATCTCCGAATGGACCTTATTTCCAGTTTAAATTTGGTCATATATTTATAGTTACCAAAATTACGGAAACTAAACTAAAATAAAATAGAATTGAAAGTTGCCAAAATTAACCCTAAAATTTAATAAGGACAGATGCAATAAGGGCATACGTTTGGTTAACCTTCCTAGAGGTAGGATACAGTAATAAAGATTTAATGGAAACCAGTGATTCAAGGATGGGTTGTACACTCTTCTCATTCACACTTTGATTCTATTAAGCAAGAAAATAATTCTCCCATTCTTTCATAAAGCCTATTTTATTTGTTCATAACATCCACCCTTGCACTTATCATGCGTAGAAAGCATATAATTTGCATTTACAGAGAGAGAGAGAGAGAGAGAGAGAGTCTACTGGATAATCTGCACAATCCACACACTAGTCTTATCTTCCACGTAGATGGCCGTCTTCGCAAGTTTAAGCATGTTCAGAAAGGGGGAACAAAGAAGCATGTTCAAAGTAAAGGTTAATACTTCTGTATGTAATCTTGTGCCTGGTCGTTTGGATGAGTTATTCTGATGCACCGAAAGAAAGACAGGGATTCTAAGAAAAATTATTTCGGGAAAAAAACTTAGTAACCATTTTAAGACGGGAGGAACGAGGACGCGGCGAATCCAAAGAAAAGGAAAATTATCTAAATTCCTCTTAATTGACTACTGTACCTGGTACTTTGAATGTATAAATCTAATAACTTAAAAAAAAAAGACGGTATATATAAAGAAAATTCCACAGAAAAAATACTAAAATCTGGAAAGCGGTAACGCGGCCAGATTTACCGATTTAATACCAATTTTTTATTATTATTAGAGAAGGAGAGGATCGCCTATTAATATAGAGAGAAAAGGATCGAAAACCACCTCAGATCCGCCCTGGATAAAAGTAAATGGTAAACTTGGATAAAAACAAATGGTAAAATTGGGGTAGAGAAGAGACAGCCAGTTCGAGGAAGGAGCCCAGCCATTGCGACCCGCAGACTATGAACTCGGCCCGGGAAAGTCCAGCGGGCTCCCCGCGATTGCGGAAGGAGGTTCCCGCCCTATTTCGAGCTAGCCGTGCGCTGGAACTCTCCCGCCAAGTTTGAAGCGCGGGGCCGACCGACCCCGACTGCCTTCTTCTCGGGGGGTCCAGCGAACGTTTGGGAACGAAGGGCGGCCTGCTTCCGATGCATAGATGGAACTCTCGCGTCAACGATGTTCGAGGCTAGCGCGGTGAAAGCTCTCAGCTGTTGGTGTATATTGGGACAGTGCCGACGGTTTTCATCGAGGTCGGAATTTGTTTTCGCATGCCTCGTGGATTCAATCCTGAGCGGAAGATCGTGGGTTATTTCCGATTTCATGCGAGAATCGAGAGAGGAGGAGATGACGCGCGTGGAAGTTGTCGTAGGCAGGAGGTAGATTCCATCGGTGATAGTGAGGACGGCTGGATTTTGAAACAGGGGACGAGCGAGAAATCCGCGTCTGCTCATTCATTGCTAAAACTATCAACGTTCTATCGGTTAGCCTCAACTGAAGCAGTGCGCCACTCATGGATAATTCATCTGCGTGAGATATAGAGATCTTCAAATTTTCCAGGCCCAATTCTGGTCGAATCAATTTGCACTTGCAATTCGAGAAATCCGCGTCTGCTGATTCGGTGCGGGTGCCATGGTTAGAGAAAATAATGTCGGCGAATTTTATCAGAAGCTGAGGATTGCGGCATTTCATGCCTCCACCTCACCTGTGTGGATTTTTCCGTCCGCCAATGATGTAGACTCTCTGTGTGCACTCAAAATATTCACTCGTGTTTTGCAGTCTGATTCGGTGCGCTACTCTGCTTATCCTGTTGCTGCTTCCAATGACATCAACGAACTTTTGAAATTGTCTTTAGACAGGAGTGACCGCTCCCTTGTCGTGCTGCTGATAAATTGGGGTGCTTCGTGCAACCTCCTTCAACTTCTCAATCCAGGACCGCACGTGAAGATTTTCGTTGTCGACAGCCATCGACCGATTCATCTCCTAAATTTGAGTAGACTTAACACGCAAGTCACGGTTTTATATACGGGAGAGGATGAAAATCAGGCGGACATGTACTACGGGTTCGACATTGAGGAGCTGGCAGATTATCCCGATCTGGGTAGTGATCTCGATGAATCCGACGAGGAATCCGACGAGGACGACGACGATGAGGACACAGAGCGGAGGCGGAATAGGAGGAGGAGGACGCAAGAAGCCGATGAGAGTGAGGACAGGGAGGTTGTAAGATTGAGGAAGAACAAGGCGGCATATTATGGCAAGGGTTCTTTTCATGGCATAGCTTCGGGATATCTCATGCACGAAATGAGTCATGCGTCGCACAAGAACAACAATGAGAATTTGTGGATGGCTTGCGTGGCCCTTACAGATCAGTTTGTCCACGAGAGGATTTCGAATGAGCGGTATTTATCGAACTTCATGACCCTGGAACAACACATTCGCAGTGCTGGCCACCTGGACGTTGCTGCCACAGCGACTCTCAAAGACGGCACGAAAGTAAGAGTTCCTGACGTCATGAGAATCAAGGTTGATGAAGAGCCACGATTAATGTTGTTGAGAGAATGGACTCTTTTCGATTCGATGGTCAATTCCTCCTACACCTCTACAAAACTGAAGACGTGGACGGATCGTGGAATGTATTCCCTTAAGCTTCTGCTGGCCAACATGGGCATTGCTGTTACAGAAGCTCAACAGCAGTTTCCGCACATGAAGACCGAAACTAGGAATAACTTGAAGTCTATGTTTGAGCAAATCCAAGCCTCTTCAGGATTCACCGACCTGTACTATAGGAGTTTTCAAAGGTTCCACGGTTACAATCCGAAGGTTTCGGCTGCAGATGTGGTTTTCGGTGTCTCAGCTATATTGGAGTCCTACGTTGAAGCCACACAGGAACATGGCTCATATGCATTTGCCAACCAGTTTTGGGACGCCTACATGGCACTCAACGCGGACAGTCTGAGGGAGCTGGTAGCTGGCATGCACTTGGCAATCAAAGTTCAGAGAGCGATTCATCGACAGGGATGTTACGCAATTATGAGGAGAGAGATAATTAGAAGTACTCGGGCATTCAGGTATTTGATTCTAGATATGACCCCGGAGACAGAGCTGCTCGCTCATCCCCTATCACTCACCAGATTCTGCTACTTCCTAATGGATGCACTCAGAGAACTGGGACATCCATCGAAACCCATTCTTTGTTCAGCTCCTATTCCTGGCGATCCAAAATCTCATGTCATTGTAGGGGTATCTCAGAGACTAAGAATAGGAGCGCAACATGGTAATAAGTTTGGCCTTGCCTTCCGAACTGTGGCACAAAATTTAGGAGCTCAGTACAGTGGAGATGCATTCGAGTCATCCTGGATTAGGTTGAAAAAGGAAGACGTGACGTCGTTCATGCTGGAGGTGCAAGAGATATTATCATCATGATTCCAAACTCCCTGGAGTTTGCTGCTTCTCATTTAGAGAGCACCCATCTGTAATATTATATTCCTGAAGTAATAAACACATTACAATTGTCAAGTTATCTGAAAGCAAGGCAACAAGGTCTATCTCTAAGCTGAGTAAGTACTTTGTCTCCTATCAGATACCGGAATTATGACTTCTATGCATAGTTCTTAACGTCACTTAGGTACTGTGATAGAACCGAAGAACCTTCACAGCTGTCTCACCAAGAGCCAGACGTCAACCAGCGACCTTTGAATGACTGTGAAAACAAGGTGTCATAAGGGGAAACGGTGTCGGCCTCAATTGCTTCCAGAGGCTTTAACAACCATCACATCTATCCCTGACAGATACAACCAAATGCGATGCCTCTGGACAATTGACGAGAAAAGTGAAACTCAAGCGGCCTACGACTTATCAGAGAATAGCGAAGTGAACTTCATAAGGTAAACATAGTTGAATCCCTTCCGATGCCACATTAGAGCACCTAAGAAGTGCAAGTCTTCCCAAACAAACGCTGAAAAGAAGGAGAAATACAACCAGATAGAGGACAGACTGATTTAAAGAATCAGACGGACACCCGTATCAGGAAGGGGAGTTTATTGAAGAACATATAAATATATATTGTCAATTCAGACCTCTACCTACATGTGCTCTCTTGTAAACAATCGAAATGACCTCAGAGCCCCGGTTTGAGAAGCTCAAAAATGAAAAGTTCAGCCGCTGTACAAGAGCTCCGGAGGGCTACGAAGCAAGGATAGATGCTACTTCTACAGAGGCGTTGACTCAACATCTACCAGTCCCTGGTAGGGTTTCTAAGAATCGCAAGACATACAATCTTCGTTGAGTGAAAATATCTAACAAAATCACTACACCAAAGATCTTCTAAGATGAAACGAAAGCGAGCAAGAGAATCCATACAGAAGACCCAAGATGTGTGATGGCGGAGTTATGAGTAGAATTGCATGTCTTGAAAGGCTTTCTATTCCTAACGTGATTGTGCTCTCTATCCAGATTCTAGTTCCTAATTGGGCTACGTGAACGAATTTGCGTTTCTAACCAGAAAAATTTGAGACTTAACATGATTCTTTCCTGCTCTACAAATGTGCATCAACCTGCGGGATACTTCAGGTCGATGAGAGACACTAACACCCAGGACAGCAATGCTGCCAACGACCTCCTCCCCTCTTCGTACACTGACGTCCTGACCTGTTGGAAAAATCCTGTGAGAGAGACCGTCGAAGGGAAAAGCGTCCATCTTGTTGGGGCCACGAAACTGGAGGGATGACGACTTCATTCTCACCCGGTACATTTGCAGAGCCTGCAGGTCGCTTTGGAGACGCTGCTGTAATTGTCTCCTTCGTGCGGCAGGGCAAAGACGGACGCCTTATCCTGAGCTTCTTCTGTTTAGCCTCTCTCATGTGGGGAAGGTGTATGGAGAACGGCCCTTGTGATGAGCGATTCTGCATGGGCAATTCTTCTTCTGTGGAATCCATGTGAAGCATGATCAAAAATCTCTTACAATAGATATTCTTGATCTGATTCTTCTGTGGTGATCTCTTGTGTCTCCTTTTCGAGCCACATTCTTCCCCAACCCCAAGGTCTGCACTGTACATGTCACTGCCACTGACTTTTATTCGCTTACCGGTGCTGTCCGCACACCCTTCACTGATGTCAAGCTCATCTGAGCTTCTCTTATTGTCCGAGTCTACGCCGAGGTAAACATTCTGAGAGCCCCTCCTCCACGCCGCAGAAGTATCACAGCTGATTTTCCCTGGTTTTTTATACAAGCTGCTTTCATGATAATCACCTGCAGCTGATGGACTATACATCTCGCGGGAAGTTTTACACTCAGTCCGAAATGGCTTCTCTTCTTCGTAACCTTCGCTCAAAATTTCCTCATCCTGGTCGGCCGTGCCGCAGGACCTAATGGAACCAGGACTCAATCTATCACTGTCTTCATGCTTCACTCTCAGTTGGGCACCTTGAGGTGCCTCTTCCTCATTCCTACCATGAATAGGAAAGCTATCAGTCGTCAAACACGAGTTCAAACTCTCAGAAACTGATGAAAAATCACCGACATCACCTCGGGACCAAACCTTAGGTTTTACCCAAGAAGAGTAAGTACGCGGTACTCTCTTGGACCTTTCCTTGTGTAGAGTCGGCTGGTCGCTGGGGTCTCGGAAGTGGCATCTGATAGCCTTGATCTGACATTGTGGCTTGGCGGTGCAACCAGGACTTCCTTCACGCTGGCCTAATTTTGGCTCTGGAATCCGTTCCTGTTCAGCGGTGGTGACGGTGTCGCCATCGACCACCCTGCACTTGGGGGGCCTGGAACCGGTCACGAGAGAACTTCTCTTGCGTTGAGAACTCACAACGTAAGGGGCAGGATCCGGAATCTCCGTCTGAAGCTCTCCTTCAGAAGATCCCATCAACAAATGCGAAAAATTTGACTGGAACGACACGGACTGCTGAATCTTCATCTTAGAGTCGGCATTATCAACATCTCCGTCTTCCACAACCTCTGATGCGGAAACATGTCGCTGGCTGTCTGCAAAACCGGCCTCCTCCTCCTCCTCGATAGTGCAATCTTCAGCCTCCTTGCATCTAGGCTGATGGAAACCAGGCACGATGGCCATATTCGTACGATGTGTCGAGCCAGAGGACCCAGCATCCTGCAAAGCTTTAGGAAAGGCCTTACGAGGAAAGTCTCCCCTCGCCCTGCCTGATGAGTTCACGAGTAAGGCAGTATCCTGGATGAAACTCCGGAAGGCGTCCAAGGAGAATCCCATCTCGATATGGCTTTTAGGAAAAGACCATCTCCGAGGCACAGCAGCATTAGGAGAAGATAATCTACTGGAAAATTGAGCCAAAGCTGCATCACTCAGGCGGATCAGATAAGTCGTAATCGGCAATTCACCCAACCCTCGGGGAATCATCTCTAAAGTTATTGCCCTTTTCTTGGGCAATGACACCAACTCCTTGCCATTGTCGAACCAGTCTCCTCCCGTATCACATCCCTGAAAGCTCAAAGGTCTTTTCCGTGAAGGAAGTTGAATAGGAGTGGAATTTATGAGCCTTCCTAGCTGACTTGATGCTGGCGACCAGCTGCGGTCGTAATCTTCTTCAGTGCTCCGTAGCTGCACAGAAGGTTGGTCGATGCAGTCCTGCGAGAGACGTGAAGGACAAGGAGCAGAAAATTGCCCACCAAAAAAATTCCCTATTGAGAGGGTCAACTCCGTTTCTGCATGGACCGAATCGACAAGAACGGAAACAGGCTCCTCCTCCTTCAGGCCACTCGAGTAATCTAAGTATTCCAGTCTATCGAAAACTTGAGGTTCTGCACCAGTATCGGATATACACTCGTTATCGGCAGGTAACAGATTGAGGTCTATACCTCCCAGTGGAAATCTACTTTTCTTTTCAGTATGACTCAACGCTTCCTTCGGTCGCTCCACTTGTTGCTCACATTCTATTGCCGACTGCACTTGTGGTTTGGAGTTGACAGCACTCAGTGTTCTATTCAGATCTATGTCCACGGAGGACGACTCAGAGCTATCCTCTACAACCCTAGGCTTGACCGAGGCATTGGCTATGGGCACGATTGTGCGCTTCCCATCGAGAGTTGTGAACATATCTTCGTCTTCTGACCACCCTCGCCGCACTTCCTCTTCTTGGTCAAGAGCTTCTGAGCCATCCATGTTCTCTTCCGCAAACTGACTCAGAATGGGATCATCCTTGACGGCCTCAAGGACATCGTTCAGGTTATCGAAGTGGCTGATTCCTTTGTCATCCTTGTGGATTCTCTCTACCCCAGGGCGAACAAACAACATCCTCTCTAAACTCTTAATCGACACCTTCCGCTCCTCAATTTTCCACCCGGCGTTCTTCAGGACCGGCCAGACCTGTTCCCAGAAATGTTGAGCGACATCTTCAGAAGAAGACGTACTTCTCCGCAGCCAATTTTCGCCCACAGACAGCGTAGACTGCATGGAGTCTTCACTCCGTAGAGGACAATGGTTCTCGTTGCCGGTAGAGACGGGCAGTGTTTGATGAGATTTTCCAACACCGCGAGCAGATTGTTTCTCCTTGACTTGGCGTGGCAGCATACCGTGATTGAGAGGATAAGACCCAGCGGTGAGGTCCCGTTTACTGCTATGACCATCCAGAGGACCCCCGATTCCTACACACCTCTCGAAAAGCTCCAGTCCGATCAAGTCCTTCAGCTTGAAAACATAAGTTTTCCACTTCTCCTGCTTCCTCCGCACATACTTGTCGCTAGGAATGTGAGTCTCTGGAAGGGGGGCATTGAAAGTGTTCGTGGCCTGCAGAACCCGACGCCACACAAAGAAGAAAGAAAACGTCAGACCTCAGATTTCGATCTTGCTGGCATGCATTCAACATAACTCAAACACTTTTTAGGAGAGATTGAATTGAGATTAAGCAGATTACAATCGCCCCTCACCATCAGGATGTCGCGATACGCATCGTCTGAGACAAGCGCCTTGAGTCGTCTCAAGAATTCAGCCTGACGCGACCCCTCTAGAATCGCTTCACCCCTGACGGCTACTTTGCTCTTGATGTCCTTGGCAGCTTTATATCGACCCCACGCAGATTTCCCATAGAACTTGGAGTAGTAATAGTGGGAGACGTCGCTCACCCTCTTCGTACCGATGAACTTGGAAATGTCAGAGAAGCTTCTTCCAAAAAGGAAAATGGCGAGTTTGAAAGACGAGACTTCCTTGTTGCCCCACGATTCCGGTCTAGAACCAGGAACAAAATCCCGGTTGCAGTCCGAATCCTCCTCTACTTCCTCGTCTTCTAAGCAATGTGCAGAATTTATTTCCAATCGAGCCTTTTTGGTGACCCTCCTCTTCGGCTGCCAGGAATTTCTCTTACAACTCCGTTTCTTCTTCCTCTTCTTCGGATGAATGCTCACAGCTTGTCCTTCCTCCTCATCTGCACCTTGACACCCGTCTTCAGTAGTAGCGCAGTCTCTATTCCAGGTGAACGCTTCCCTCGATGAAGAGGCACAAGAGTTAACATCTTTGCCATTATCTCCTCGTCCATGAATGTCCATTGTGGTTGTGTTGCTGACATGAGGCTCCTGTGTATCAGCAGACCGTGATGAGTTGACAGCTGACATGAAACTACAACTTGCTTGATTGGTATGGAGATTTCGGTTCTTGCTGGCGGATTGTGAATCCACTGCAATGCGGGTGACGGGAACTTCAAGTCCATTGGCAAATAAATGACCTCTGGTGTTATAATCACAAGCTCTAATCCGACTACTGGATTTACAACTAGGAATCTCCGCTTGATACTTGTTACCAAGCTTCGCCTTGGCCCGGTTTTTGGGCACGGATGTCTCCATGGTTCCTCAAGCTAGCACAAAATCGCTTCCTTATCTACACCTCCTCTTCCTTGCGATTCCCAGGATGAAAGGCAAAGAACCCCAGTCTCTCCAGATCTTGTCCTGGTCCTCGATCATTCCGGTTTTCTGGTCCGAAATCGCTCACTCAAAAAACGAAACGAAAGGCAGTCTATCGAGAATTGGCAGCAGATCGTATCATTCCGCGTCTGGTCTGCTGGCCTGTCGAGGTATTCGATCCTCCTTCGTTGATGACCACACACCAGCAGCCTGCAATCGCAACCAAGATACACAGAGATTAATTTTGAACGTATGCACCTTCCATCCTCAAGAAATGACGATCTTCAAAGAATGCTATCTTCCAGAAACAGAAGACAGTGAATTCACAAAATCCGCCACCATCCACCCACCTCTTCTCTCTTCTCTCCTGTTCACCTCTTCTCTTACCACTCCTCTCTTCTGCGAATGCTCCTCTTTCTACTCCTGTCCTCCCCTCCTCTCCTGCTCCTCCCTTCCCTGCTGAATTCCTCAAAGCAGAACAAGTTCTGGTCGTTCGAGTCCAGCACGCAGTTAAGCTCCAGCTGCAGTAGACGGGAGTCAAAGCGAAGCTGGAAGCTCTCGGGTGAGTAAATACAGGACAGAGGGCAAAGACATTTCTGTGCCCTCTTGCCTGTATTTACTCACCCGGTCCCACTACACATAGAATAATCGATAGAACTCATCCTCAACGTACATTTGGACGATGAAGATGAGATACATCTTCATCATATGTTCATCATAAACCATAGATATAGAATTGTGAAGGGGAGCAACATGTTAGCATGTTGCTCTCCTTCACAATTGTAGACCTATGGTAGATGCACTCAGGTTTCATTGCATCACCAAGCACACATCCTTGTTTATATGATAAAAACCAAAAACAAGTTTCCATTTCCTCAGTCAACTGCATAAGCATCCGTTCCTTAGGCATCTATTCAGAACTTCTGCATAAATATTTGACATATTATATATTCACACGTAGCCCAACTTGTAGAGTAGAAAGGGATAAAATTCTTACATTCGTTAAACTCAGTTGAGTATTGTAATTGATTCTAAAGGTAAAAACTTCCTGTGGTCACCGGAACAATTTCCAGGTGGAAAAAATTCTTATGTCTTGTTGATCCTGAAATTTGATATTCCTGGTTTAGTCTAAAATACTTTATAATATACGCTGACCGTTTACATATTGGAAGATAAAGAAGTTCACAAGATTTCAAACCTTTCAGATCAGATTATGAATACTTTTTTTCAACTTGATCAAGCTACAGATACAAACGATCAGATGTTAACTCAAAAAACTGACCCTTTTACTAAGAAGCGGAAGTGTTTTGAGCAGTGAGTAGACCTTCAATCAGTACAAATAAATCAGCCTGGGAAAACTTCCTTAACTTCTAATTTTTGTCTTTCAAATACATGAAATATATATACATGAAATAGTCTTTCATGTATATATGATAGCGTTCCCCACGCACCAGCATGAACGCTTGCCAATGTGGATATATTGGCAATATATCCACATCGTTTGTAACATAAAAGCAAAGAATCTTGTACAACTGGTTAGAAGAAAGAGATAATAAGAATGAACAAGTAGTAATAAGAAAATAATAACTCATATTGTTGAAATTGAACTTAAGTATCGAGGATAAACAAACTACAGTTGAAGAGCATATAATATATGATCTCGATTTTAAATACTAAAAAAGGGGAGAGAACCAATAAGTGTCATAAACATAACTGTACATGAATCATTAGATGGAGTGCATGTTTTACTCTCACAAATGCCAAAGGAACTGGGTAGAAGAGTCAGTCACATAGGAATTTACTGCATCGGCTTCTTTCACCTATATGGCGTCACATTGTTCAAGACAATAGGAGTAAATAACAAAGTAGTTTTTACTCGTTTGCACATTCAAAACCTCTCAAAATATATCTTTTGCAAGAATTAAGTATTAAATCATTCAAGAAGAGAGTAGGTTTTACCAAAAAAATATCCGATCATTGTGAGGCAGAAAGAATACAGAAAAGATATTAGTTAGAGAAAACATCTCCATGATTTATCAAAGATTACTGGAGGTGCTCTTCCATTAACTCATTGCTGATTCACAAGAATTAACTTAAGAAAAGTGGTACATGTTGTTGGAGAAATGCGGAATACAAAAAGTCCCCAATCCTTGATAGTGAGATAGCTAACATGGGTCTGAATAGATTGAAACAACTCAACATAAAATTGAAAAGATCATGAAAATTTCTTCAATGGCAATTCAGAATATTAGAATGTGGCCATCCGAAGTGATTAAGTTCCGTTGAGAGTTCTTCTGAAAAAGTTGGAAAATGAACATTTACAACAAACATGTGGAATATGACTGTATATCGGTATCGATTCGAATCTACGGATATACAGACATTTTCCATTTTCCATGTTCCATAAGTGAATGTAAAGCAGTGTTGAAAACGCCATCGTTAGAATCCGAGCGGAGTGACTTGGGATGGATTAGAACAGGAACTTTCTTGCATACCTACACTTATATGAAACAAGTTAGCATATCCCTGATTCACTTTCAGGTCTGTCGTGTATTCTTCTCAAAGAACTTGTAGAAAAAGATTCGAGAGCATCCGAAGATGGCAAATACATGCAGATTGTGAGAAAGCTTCAAGAAACTCATCTGAACCCGTCGTTTTAGTCGTCGAGATAAAAATCTTTCTGCCAATACCGCCATTATTCCACGCTAAACTCTCAAATGCTTGAGGCATCACTTTCCGCCAATACCGCCATTATTCCACGTTAAACTCTCAAATGCTTTATGCATCACAAAACGAGATAGAGCTTTTCTTCCCGGACTGTGATCGATGATTCCTTCGCAATTTTAGCTTTTTTTCGAACAGCTGGACCTTCTTTCCCCGGTAAGTCGGACAAGTGCGTCTACTCGAGAGACTTCCTAGTTACCGGGGAGAGATGAGGAGGAGAGTTACCGGCCGAGAGAAGAGACTCTCTCTCTCGGCCACAATTTTAAGAACGGCGTGCAAGGACGGTCGATGATGTAGGCCGCGCGCAACGTGGTCAAACCCTATTGCCGTCCATGCTGGCAAATCCCCGAGACGATCTTGCTCGCAGTGAAGATAACTAAACTGAATATAAAGTCAATACCTGTATCTCCGTAAACCCATGAAACTACTTTGTCAGTATTTGGAACTCTATATTTGTGGAAATAGGTTATACTAAAAACTCTTGTGAATAATCCAAACGCAATGTATATATTGTATACTGGCTAGCAATATTTTCTATATGCCCAGTGTCGACCTTTCACTCGCTATATATTTATTTATTTATTTACATATTATCATTATTGTTTTTGATAATTACGTAACATAAACACTAAGTGTTTTATTTGTACTGTTTGTCTGAAAATTAGATATATTTTCTTTAATAGGTGTTGTAATGATTTTCACTCTTGGTGTTAATTGATTTCGGTTTTTTTACCTTAGCTAATTTAATTGTGGTTAGTTATATTAGTTAGCATATCGTTATAACGTAATTGGTTGTACTTCTTAGTTCTCAATATATGATCTTGCTTCAGTGAATCGCATGAAAATTTTTTTAGACTCTTTGAAGATATATGTCACTGTGAATATTGATTGTGTCATGGATAAAAAATTATTCAAAAGATGAAATCCCTAAACCAATTCTTATAAATTTTTAAACGTGTGTTGAAAATATTGGACCTATCAGAGGTCACAAAATAGGTGCATTCACGCTTGAAAGTCAATACAAAAATGCAAAAACTTTTCTCTTTGTTCCTAGGTAATATACCTTATTCCTACAGGTTGTCTTTAGTTTTCCAATCATTCTTTATTTTTAAATGGTTTTCTGACATAATGTTCGACATATTGACTTTAACGTTATCTGTTTTGAATGATATGAAGGAAATGAGGGCAGTAAAATGTTCTTTAATTTTCTGTTAGTGGATGTAGGCAATCCTAATGTTATGCTCAATGCCTATTTGGATCCACCGATCTTACCATGCTCCCATTTACTGTGATACATTTCCAGGAATTATTGGAAGGATACAAGAGCACTGCAATTTTGTATTTTGCCAAAATCGTATGGACGAGTTAATATGTCAACGCTAATGTGATAGACTTAACCGTAACCTAAGTTACAACAAGATTACCCGTACCCCTGGTACCTTAACGTTGCACGGCCCGTCCTACTTAAGAACACTATCCCAGAAGTTCTTAACATTGTTATCATTACAAAGAAGGTGCCTTGAACTTCTCATTTCATATAAATTAGGTAGTTCATTGGGAGTACTATATGAGGGTGCGCGGGAATAATTGTATGATGGAGTGCTGTGTGTTTTTTTAAACTTTCTCCTTGTGCTATATATCCAGTTTCATTATGCCTTATGAGACAATTTGAAGCTGTGGATGATATACAATATCTAGTATGTATTTATCAGTTTACGTGAAAATGAATAATAAAACGCATGCAAGGAGAATAGTATAAAAATATTTTTAAAAATTCCTATGAAACTAATACCCTCTAAATATATTTTAAAAAATTGCGTAGAATTTAAGATTATCTGAAGTGATGATTAGACAATTATTATGAATATTTTAACTCAGAGGTCTGTATTTTATTATTTGATACACTATAAGTTTTATATACATATTTGGAATCATCACAGAAACAAAGTACATTTTTTTTCAAGTTTGAACAAAAATTGTTCATAGTACTAGATGTTGTAAACTTTGCATACTTGAGTTTCAACTGTTTAAAACAATCAAATGAATGATGATGAAAAATGAAATTAAGATGGACCAGACAAAGATCAAAAACCTTAAATGTGCTTAAAATAAAAACAGAAATGATGAAATCTTAAACCTAAATGTTCTTATCCAAAAAATTATTTATTTGAAGTAGACTAGGTATGAAATGTAAATGTAATGATACATTGACATGATATTTCAAATTTATTGACGTTTAAACTTGTAATTTTATCTATATATGAAGATTTCATTTCAAACACCTTTTACATATAGAAAAATATAACTCTGAAACAATATTTCTTTGATAAGTGATATATTTTTTGGATTTTTTATTACTATATTCTATATCCTTCAGAATCAAATCTAAATCGTAATGTTGATATATTTCATTCTTAGCATATTTTGTTTGTCATTAGAAGATTATATTATGTAACAAATGATGACTTTTCGAGAACTGATTATAATTTGTATTATCTTGTAGATAATAATATTAGATTTTTCCTTCATGTGCAATATAAATTTATAATTTTTTAATGAGAATTGTGGATTATGTTGCATCGAATATGATCTATTCAAGAAAATCTAAGAATTTATGAAAATATTGAGCAGAAGTAATCATCAAAAAAGTTTAACTGCTCAACCTTTATTGAATTTATTTATATTTAAATATGTTTTTAAAAAAATTAAAATTTAAACTCATTTATCTGTGATGATGATGTAATGTGTTTAGATTAGTTGTAAATTATCAAATTATATTGTAACAAATATGATTACCTTGAGTCTAATATTTCTATCGTCATTCTCATTGATTTACATTTTCAATTTAGTTCGACACACATCCAAATAGTTGAAAAATTGAGAAATCGATAACGTAATATATGAAATATGATCGAGAATGTAAATGAATCCGCTGTCGATATATTGTATGTATTCAAAATTGAAACAAGCGAATGAAATACTTGAGCAATAATGTTGACACTCAGGATTTCTTATAATTTTAAATATATTTTTTTGAGATACTGTTTACTAGACATTTTGTGTTTTGATATTAATTCTAGTTAATCCAAATAAAAATTTTACAGAAAAAAATCACTTGTGTTGTGTACAACAATTGAAATCAAATTTATCCTCAAAACTTTATTTTGGATTCAATTTCATGATAATAATTACAGTGAAACCTTTTTTTTCATTCGGTAATTTTAAGCATTGATTTTGGAAGAGTCATTTTTTCAAATTATTCTTAAATAATTTGAAGAAAATTGAAACCAGGTGAGTATAAAAAATGGCCCGAAAAGCGCGTCAAACCGAACAAGGAACAAAGTAAAGGAATACCTATGATTAGTGTCATAAGAGAGATATATCTTACAGAATCTCAACTATTAATATATACAAGCAACACGAGCATCTGGTGTAGCATAAACCAATTTGAATATATACACGTCAAGATATTGTGCCACAATAGTTTCTAAAGTTTTAATTGAGTTACAAGGAACAAGTTACAAGTTGAAAAACAAAAGTTTTTCAACTTCAATTAAGAAATGTGAAACTGTGCTGTCTCTGGGAACCGACCATTGTGATCACGCTCTTAACAAACCGCTTGGGATAAAATATAATGCCCTCAATTGGTGGACTTCTGTAAGTCAAATGTACTCGCATGGACTTCAGCGCAGATACTTCGCAACCATTATGATGGTTGCGCGGTCGTAACATTGACTCCACCTTACCCAGGTTCAAACGATTCCAAGAGCTCGCTCTCTGCTGACTACCCTCGGCCTTCTAGACTAGGTGTGTTCAGGAATTTGTGATTTAGTGGTATCCCAGAGCAGCAGGACCGAAATCTTACCCTCTTCTTGTTCGGCTAGTGGAATCTCGTGCTTGCACTAAATGAGGAGTAGTTGTTCAAAAGTTCCTCGTGTGAAAGGCAACTACTTTGGGAATTTAAGAGTACTTCTAAAAGTAACTAACTCACGGGAGACCGTAATTTTCAACTCGGCAAAGTGGTTTAGGAAAAGTCGACAAAAAACATGAGTCCGACGTGAATGCTGCTACACCAAATCTGCTAGCTGTCTTCGCACTGTAATATACAGCTCGACTTCATCACTTGACAGTCACCACCATTTGTTCCTCTGTTTCCGCATGTTCGACAAAATTTTCGATGTCTCTTTCAGATCTGATATTTTATTCAAATGACACAAGAACGTTGGATAATGTTCTTATAAAAAATTAGAACTCATAATTTATGAATTAAGCTTTCAAATCCTCAGGACTAAACCCTTTCAACATAAGAGGTTTCAGCTGGAGGTGCACTCGTTGACCAACTTCTAAAGGTTGGTCTTCAAAGTCATATCGTTGGCGGTTGAATTCCAAGGTCACACCATCATCATATTTTATCTCACACAGCACCTACAAACATAATCACATGTCAAATACAACATTATTGAAATCTGTGTTTAATATTTATTTGCCAAATCTGTGAACAATATGGACGAAATAGACTGAGGACACGAATACTTCCTTGGCCTTCAATTCGAACTACCTTTGCAGAAAGCGGCATAAGAAGTATACCAAAAGATGAAAGCAAAAGATAAAGTTTTAACCTAACATTAAAACTCACCTCTGGGCCCATGTTGTTGACCTCCAGTACAGTAGCAGGAGTTGTCGGCAGATCTAATTTCTCCTCATAAAATATGGTCACATCATCTGGTCTTACTAGAACCTGAAAAGCACAGAATGTAACAAAATGAACGCAAATTTATTTAGGACACCCATAAATCCGAATGCCTAAAGAAAATACATCAATAAAACCTGATATGTATACTCTTGAAGATATGACATCGTAGAAGACTTACATAAGGTTTTGTCGTTCTGTAACCAGACCGTCTAACAGCAAGGCATGTGGCGGGGATGACATTCGGCTGTCCACAATTATTCATTGCAAGTACAAATTCATCAACCTCAGTGTGTGTCATGCAAAGACTTGGAATATTCTGATATTGGATTTGCAATTTACAAACACTATGTAAAAAACTGCAGAAACAAAATCACAAAACAAAGAGAGAACAGAATTTAAGTTTGTGTCGCAAATTTCGCTGTGTACTTAGTACACACTTACATCCGATATAAAGTTCATGACGAAGGCGGAGTTGGGCCTTTCATAGATTTCAAAAGGTGCGCCTTCCTGTAAACGATGGGAATATTTGACATCATAAACTCACTACTAAAATTCGGCATTTCATCTGGCAAAGAAAGCGCGATATAATACACCTTCAACATGTACAGAGTAAAACTTTACTTTCTGGACATTTGATCACCGAGAAACCCGACCACGGATGTACGAAGAGCAATACAAGAAGAGTACATATCAATGATTTTCGCATATTGTCATGTAAATGCACCTGAAGGATGCGACCGCGATGGAAAACAACCATATAATCTGCCATTTCCAAAGCTTCATCCTGATGCAGAAGGGGAAAAGAAATCAGAATTACAACTGTACAGTTCAGGAAACATTAAACAAGGAAACAATTAGAGATGTAAAACTACGACATAGCAAGGTGTCATAGCTATTCTTTCCTTTCCACGTATAATATTTACGTTGTTAGATCAGTTTTTATTTAATATAAATATCCATATATAGCTTCTTTCGTATAAACTACTCGGTGTTATCTGCCATGTCGACAAAATAAAGCAAGAGCGCTTTACCTGGTCATGAGTGACAAAAATTGTAGTAATATTCAGGGCCTTCTGGAGTTTCTTCACCCACGTTCTTAGTTCCTATACAAGCAAGCCCGACTTCACCTCAATTACGAAAAATTAACCATGCCAGCCACATGTTCAACTTGACGGGCCCAGTCTACTTTTATCCATCGACCAAAATTCTCCTTGCTCAAAATCACATTACTACATTGAAGGTATGAATGTACATCTCAGAAATACAAGCTATTAAACTCCAAGCCAAAAGACTCTTTACCTGTCTAACCACGATATCTAATGCTCCAAAAGGTTCATCCAGGAGAAGCAACCGAGGTTCCGTCGCAAGTGCCCTCGCTAGAGCGACCCTCTGTCTTTGTCCACCAGACAACTACTTCACATGTACAAAGAATATAAGAAATAAGTAAGTAGTTGAATCTTCGAGAACCTTTCTCAGCAAAGTATGCCTCTGATTTTATTGTTCCTGCTTCTCTGTGAATGAAAAAAAATACCTGAGGTGGGAAACGGTCTCCATATTCACTGAGTTGCACCAGAGACAACAAATCATCAACTCTTTTCTTGATTTGTTCCTGCATTGAGAAATTCGCACCTTCAGTATCATACGAGCTTCCCTCCAGTCACATGATTCAACTTAAGCGAAAAATGAGTTTCTCTTCTGAGTTCATTAGCCATGCACTCAACTCGCTATATTATTACCAAGCACTAAAGGTTTCTTTCGGACGTTCCTGGCAAGAACAGATTTGCATTTCAAGCACAAGAATAGCGGTCCTCTGGCTCTATTTATACATATCAGTACACTGGCCACCTTCGAAATTGAGACTTTTAAAACAAAATATGCATATTTCGATATACTTACAGGAGTTAACTTTCCACGCCGTTTTGAAGTGCTAAGTCCATATCCCACATTGGCAGCAACAGTCATATGCTTGAATAAAGCATAGCTTTGAAACATGAACCCCACGTCCCTATCTTGAACGTGCACATCTGTTAGATCCTCATCGTTAAAGTAGACCTTGCCCGCTGATGTAGGCTCCAATCCAGCAATCATCCGTAAAAGCGTCGTCTTTCCTGATCCAGATGGACCTACATCCACGCCCATAAGCAAGCTTCAGTATATTCACATTTAAGAATTTGCAAATAGATAAATGTAGATATACGATGCACATTCATATATCCAAGGTTCTCTTATGATCTTTGAATACTCGATTCAAAATATCCTACACAAATACTACGAACAGCCAGAGGGATTAAAGGTACTGCCATAAGAATGGGCGCATCATGAGATCTACTTAAGTCTCGCTTGAAGGAATCAGTCGGTGCTTGAAAGGTTAAAAACAGCAGACAACTGTAGAAGTAATATGAAGTAAAGAACATCGATACACTAAGAATCTGAAAAGTTGCATTGCAACAGAAGTGTTGATAATTATGATATGATAAAACCTGAAAAAGTCTTTTAATACTTTCGTGTCTTACAATGTTTTTTACAATTTTAATCTTGATAGGATTTTGTTGCTTCTTATATCCATATGCAGGTGCAGAATTCTAAAATTTTGGTGCTTTGGTCCTCGCCTGATTTATTTAATAAATATTAAAAAAAAAAGGATTAAGATTTTGCCATCGTCATCCAATTTTTCATAAATTCAGTTGATCGAAAAGGAAACGAACTGAGATAACTAAAGTAGAAGATGGGAAGAGATGAAGACTTCCTACGTATTCATGTAGAACGATGAAGTGTTATACGGTGCCAAGATCAGATTGTTTCTACCTCAAAAGGTTCTCACCAAAACCCATGGTGAAAGTTCGAATTCTACAAGCGATATTACATAGCTTGCTTGTACAAGGGCAAGTGAGAAATGTATTAAATACAGGTTGGTAAGCAATTACCTACAAGAGCAACCAGCTGCCCAGCTTCGACACGAAGAGAAACATTCTTCACAACTCTTTTCATACCCTGAGAGGTTAAAAACTGCAATACAGAAATGGTACGATCGCAAAGGTGGATTCATCAAAAAATACTTCAACATATATAAGAATATCCTTAAGAATAGGACAGCTGAGAGATATTCGGCCATCAGTTAGAATTGTACTGACACGGTTGATTATCCGTGAAATTTATCACATTGGTGCAACTCTTATTCTGTTACTCAAAATAACCTCCTGATACTCCACCTCAACACAAAGCCCTGTAAGACACTGGTTTCAGGCAGATAGACTCCAATAAATTTCAAAACCACGCCAAAAGTTTCAATTCAACGACTCCTTGAAATCACTGCAAAATCGATTCATCCACTTACCACTTTGTCAACATCCACAACACGCACTTCAGTGGCTCCTTTCGAAGCAATTTCCTTCAGCACAGATTCATCAAGCTCCGCATCCTTGTTCACCTCAGGAACGTAAGGCTTATCGTCCTCTTCAGTGAGCTCCTGATCACTTTCATCTGCATCCTGTGCTGGTGGCCAAATTGGAGGTTTCTTGTCTGAAGTCGACTGTTGATTTCCCCCTTTGAATCTGGTCAACAAATTGCTTTTCAAATTTGAAAATATTCCATTGCTTTCGACAGATCTTCTGCTTGCATTCTGTCGCGTCCATTCTGCAGGGCGAGCAGAGCTCAGAACGACTCTCGAGCATTCTCTCCCAGAAACTTGCGTACCCTCATTAAAAGAAAGAGAATGACGTCCTGCAACATCTGCAATCGGATTCGCAAACAAGATCCGTCCTACTGATCCATGTGCCATGACCAACACAATTAAAGTCCTCCCAATTTCCCACAAATTGGTGACAGATTTTCGAGCATTGTTGAGGTTTTGATGAACGTGCTTAGGGTTCGCAACCTCCCTGACCCAGATGTACCACAAACGACAAATGCGGCATGGAATATGACGCAAATCAATGCGACATGACGCACTATGACCGCATTTGCCAGACGTAAGGCTTGCAGAATCACTGCAATAGAATACGGCTTGCCGCCGATAGGACGGGCAATGATGGAGTTGATCATCATCTCAAGTCCTCGCAGTCAGGTCCGGCAGGACTTTGACCGGAGGTCCTTTGGAGTCTGGACCGTATCGATTTCAGGTGATTGCAACCGAGTCAATTCATCCTTAGACTGATTAGCTCTTCGACAAGGTACTCGAATCTATGGGGTGCATGGAGAGGGAGAGGCATGGAATAATAGGCGCAATGCAACCACATCGGTTGGGGTGAAAAAATCTATTGAAAGGAAATTTTTTATTTTTAAAATAAAAAAAACCCAAGTGACATGGAAATATATACCACTTTTATATTATTTCTTAATTGGCTTCATTGTAATATAGAAAAAAGATATATCCATTCTTACATGACTCGAGAAAACCGTCGAGTGATGTTTCCTAAATAAATTTTACTTGGTGTCATAATAAATGGAGTAGGGAACCAACCGTACTTGAATCATACCCAATGAATTTCATGGAGCAAGCCCCAGTAGCATCAGAATTTGACATATGTCCTAGTGCACCTAAAATATCCGATATGTATCTAATACCAAGTAAACCTTAAAAGGACCAAGTAATAAAGAAAGTAGATTTCTACGTGTTCTCTTTGAGAACTGGTGTCAATCTCGTGTGTTACATGCATGCGCCATGGTGTCAATCCAGTACAGTGCACTTGAGTTTGTCAGCATGTCTATGGACAAATAAAGGAAATAACTTTATTCAAGCCCAATGATAAGCAGCTATTCTAGTTGTCATTGGGGGTTCTCAACCTGCTGGATATGCGGTGGGAAATTTTATGTATTGTAATGTATGTTCCAGGGATAAGGAACACATCTCATCCTATGAAAAAAATTTGTCATGGTCAAAGGGTGGCGAAAATAGATAAATTCAGAACCTAGGGAGAGTTAAGCACTTTAACATTGCTAAAGAGTAAGCGGAGATAACCCATTTGGTTATAGACGACTGCGAGAAGGCTCCTGCTCTATTTCCTTATTTCGTAAATCATTGATGTTGAATGGATTCAGACTGAGGTTGGGAACATGCGAGACACATTGATCAGTTGCCATGAACGTTTGGTTGTCTCAAAAACTTTTAAATTTGGACTACGGCTCTAGTTTCCTTGAACATGCAGAAAAATCAAATGGACTTTCTTCTCGACTTTGAAGTCAACATAGTTTGATAATGGAATTTAGTATATAATACATTATCGTATAGTCATAAGATTCTTCTCAATATTCTATCTTCAATATTCATGTTTGCATGATACGCAAAGTATGATTATTTTACTAAAATATAAAAAGAATCTCAAAAGAAGATAAGAACATGAAACTCATACGAAGCAGAAAAGACAATTACTATAAGTCTTATTTAAATTTAATAATATAAAAATTTATTTCAGAATAAATATAATAAAAAATCCATGGATACTATTGATCAACAAATGTTTTATAAATGACAGATTTCCATTGAAAAAATTTTTATATTTAAAAATTAATTCAAGTGTTGTCATTTATATGGCGGAAATTTCATTTTTTTTACAAATAATAACTATATTCAAATATTCATTTAAAATTAGAACTAATTCCGAATTTCAATATAAGGTATCACAAATAATTATAAATAATAATTTTTAATATATAATAATATATTTTGCAGTGACAATATTTTATATGCTTGTTCCATGTTGTCAATTTACTTTCTTGTGTGTGAATTTTACTTGATGTGACATTCAAATATCACTCATGTGTCTGATAGAGTTACGTAGATAAACTCTTCAAGTCTTGCGGAATATCGACATGCTTACAATCATCATTGTAATGTTGTTTCTTGTCTAAATGCCGACAGCTCTATCCCATCTATACGACAAAAAAAAAAGTTCAAGTATGAGAAATAGATTAGACCATTGTGTAATGATTCCTCGAGGGTGTTAATTGGTTGCAAGGGCTTCACTAAAAGTTGACTTCCTTGGCCGAGGAGTCAAATTGATCTATATTTATTTATATTTATTTGAATTTTATCAAAGAAAAGATTCTCTTTAAAATTGAGATGAGTTTTATTTTGAAATTGATAGAACCAACATTGAAGTATAATAAAATTTCATCAAATAAAATTTTAATCTACCTACCAAAGGTCCTTCATTTCATATAGGTCCAATTATGAACGCTTTATGGAGGCGGCGGGTTCATCTTCTGAGTAACCAAAGCACATTATCTCACTAACTAACGTAATATTCAGGACTTGTGACATGGTTGCAAGCTAAGAGTCATCGTCGTCAACAACTCATGCATGAGTATAGTCACTACCAAAAACTGCGTTGTTTTTCGAAAGAAACCCTATCAGTTTGAGAGGATACCAAGAGAATGAAACGCGATACATTAAAAAAAAAAAAAAAAACTAAAAAAACTTCCATCGGACCCAATGCCAATTTAAAGGTTGGAAGTATCATGATATTACTTGTCCAACTGCCGACTTCTTTATCCAAGAGATAACGAAACAAACTATCAACCTTCGAAGTTCTTGTTTTCTTGCTAGCACACACACAAACTTTACAAGATTTACCTTAGCATGTCTTAATCGCTTATTTGTCTTCGTCTTCCAAAATGGTGATCCGTCCGTAGCTTTCCCAATTTATTTTGCTTCTCGACAATATATTCTTTCTTACTCTTCGCAAGTCATGTTAAGGACCAACTAAGCTCAAAGAAACCTCGCTGTGTTATGCAAATGTCATCATTCAAATATATGTAGATCCAACGAAATCCCAATATACCTGTAAAGACACACATATATAGTCAGGAGATTCGGAATTATGTAGAAAAAGAGAACATCCCTTTACAATCTGAAATTCATTTTGGTTGCTTACATTTTCAGTTTAGATATATTTTAGTTTATGTGACAAATCTAAATGACGATTAGTTTTAATGGGCACGTGGGATGTGAACCAATAACCTAAAGTTCCGCATGAATATTCAGGAGATGACTGAAGTAATAACCCGAGTATCAGCACCCTTTTGACCCAATGTACAAATGGCACGTGTATAAACCAAGGGTTGTATTCCCAAAGGTACCGAAAGGTGAGAGGCCTAGGACACGTGGAGCTATGATCCGCTGAACGGATGTACGCTCACCGCGTGGCAGAAGATCTTTGTGGGTACGTCCTGTATTCTCTGTACACAAAGTTCATCCATCATTAATGATGGATGAACTTTGTATTATCAGTCCTGATATATTTAGTTCCGACTTGCTAGTTTAGTCAGGTTTCCCGTAATGGTACTCGGGCTTTATGTTGGAGAGGCTTCTTCTCGGAGGATTTGTCTCCGGTATTCGAGTTTTCCTTCACATTCTTGTTAGACCCATAGCGAGCGTATATTTCCCTCAGTTCATGAGTCATCGAAATAATAATCTGGAATTTTTCTTTTACACTCCCCAGAGATAAAACGTGCATAGAATGGTGAGGCGGTTCATGATACTTCCAAAAACATAATCGTGATATTCTATATATTTGTTCCCATCCGGCTTGGAGACTTTTACAGTTCTGAAATCCTTTATCTGGTTGTGAGATGGAGAGTTTTATGAGAAATAATAATAAATAAAAACCTGTATTCTCCCTCCCATATCTAGTTCAATGATGTCATTCTTTTTTTTAACGCTCATCATCCAAATTTTAGCATGTCGGAGCAGAGTGCACACGTTGCGATAGGAGGGGAAAAAAGGTACTCGATGATTTTGTTCATAATTGAAGCTCAAACAGGAATAAGATAGATTGGTGGTCTCCATTAGCAATAACATCAACCCTATAACATTATCTAGAGTTGAAATCATAACACTTCATTTATCAAACACGAACATTCAGTCTCCTATTACTGTTTTTTTGGTCGCACTATCGAATTTTATGATAAAGAGAGATGTCGACATCCATACACCATCCATGGTAATATATCCAAAACCATTGACATAGAGAATCGATATAAAATGTTTGTTTACTAATAGCATCGACCTCCTGACTTCAGCGAAAAAGTGGATCACCCACAATCATTCCTTCACATACAATACATGGATCTTTACCCTTATCTGGGAAATGATGATAAAGCATGTGACATGTTGTATCATTCCTCCCCTCTCTATGTAGCCCCAGAAGGGAAAACGAAGCTATGAAAAAAAAACGATAAATACGTATTAGCCTTCCATCATGTTTCTCCCGCTTGCACAATCACAACCGGTGAAATCGCCCATCACGTGATGAAATTTTAGGTACAAAAACCGTATGAATCAAAATCATATCTTGCTTATTATTCCTTCATCCATATTCTATATATTGACTAGGTTGCCATGGAACCGCGATAGAAAAAACATGAGATTTGTAAGTCAAAACCCTTCAAACATTACACTTATTAAGACAGCTCTACACGACTCGCCACTTGAAAAACTAATAAAGCTGTCCTGTCCCTATCCATATTCGACAAAATATAGTTTGACAGAAGGCGAACAAATAAATAATCGCAGCCTCCGAACCCACCCTCTGTCTCGTGACGCAATGGAAGGTGAAGGCCTGAATAGATGGGAACGAGAGAGAAGGATTGCATGGTGTCAACTGCGACGAGGTCTCGAACGCATCATGGACATCTAGGAGTGGGAGTGTGGGGGGAGGGCTGGAGAGAAGCGGAGGTGGGGCCCGCCTACAGACAAGATAGTGACGATCTTGCGGGCGCCATGTTTAGACGTCGGATCCTAAGATCGCGGACGCTTGACTGCAGGGTATCGACGTCCGGCGGATGGGCGAGTCCGGCCGCGGGAAGAGAGACACTTGGAAGTTGGTGGAGCGGTGATTTGTAACGTTTGCGATTCGAAGCGCGAGAAAGAAATGCTCGTGCCAGCATCAGGCCAGGCCAGGGAGTGACGGATCAGAGGCATACGAAGACGCAGATTCTCATGGTCAACATTCTCCGAGACCTTTGCCCGAGCCTCAATGAACTCGATGATGCCTTTTCTGTTATATTCTTCTGAACTCTCGTCCTCTCATGCCCGCCTGCTCCACCAGCTGGCGCTCATCCTCTTCTTATTAATTCAGCGAGTTCTTGCGTAACTTCAGAGAGTGCCTTTCTTCTGCTCGCCCTCCCGAGCTCGGGAGTCCTTTGCAGCGTCCTCGACGCCTCGCACGAAGCAGATACAGAAGAAGAAGGATCGAGAGAGCCAGAGAGGAGGGAGTTTCTCCGAGAGTGCAGATTTGCTCAGCGCATATGCGCGACGAATTGCTGTGCGGGGAATTTTGAGAGGGACAGGGATCATGTATCTGATTTTGAACCGTGTTTCTTTGTTTGTGAGCAAGGTAATCCTTATCGACGTGTTGGACTTGGAGAGTGGGAAGTCTATACGGGACATGTGGTTTAGGAGTTGATCTTTCCTAGCTGGCTGGCGCGGCAGCAGCTCGATTTGTCGAATAAGTTCACTTTCTGTGAGGACGGAGGAGGAGGTGGAGGAGGAGGAGGCAGAAGGACTAGGCTCTTACAGAATCTGTAAACGGTCCGGAAGCACTGATTTTAGAGCAAGATGCTTTGCGGACGTAATTGAGGTTTGTAGTTCGAGAAGCAGGTAGGGGCGAGACGTGCTGTAGCTGTGGGCGGATTGACAGTGATGGCAAGTCATCAACATTGTTGCGGTGTCTCATTCTGGTTATACATCATGATTATCGTTGGTCTGGTTCTGTTCGCGGGTTTGATGTCTGGTCTTACCCTTGGTCTCATGTCCTTGGGGCTCGTCGATTTGGAGGTTCTCATGCGGTCCGGCACACCTGCGGATCGCAAACACGCAGGTAATCCTTTCCTCCTTGTATCTGAAGTTGCAAAATGAACCTCTGGTATCTGCAAGAGGAAATTTGGATTTCAGACTATGCATTTTGAGGTGTCGATGAGTTGGTTTCTGAAATCGGTCAACAACTGCAAGCTTTGTCTTCTCTCGTCGGAGAATTCAGAATGGTTCTTAATACAGGAAAGCAACATCATTTGACGGCATCCGTTGTGGATATCTAAATTTAGACTGATTGCATGCATGCGAACCTCTCTGCACGGACCTCATCTGACGAATTGTACCATATGTAACTTGCAACTTACTGTTGCAACAGTCAACACCCGCACCCCGTATTCACGAGATATTCAAATCTTGTTAGGTCCTGTTTCATGGGTCACGAGTTTCACTTTCCCTCAGCCCATCCATGTCACAAACGAATTGACCTGACGAACAACGGAGCCTGCATACCGTTTCGAGCTGTAAACGGTATGCAGGCTATTTCTATTTCGGAAATGCGAGAAAGCCAACTGTTTTCAGTTTTACTCACCTTCTCAACATCGTTGTATTGAGAACTTGATCAGTGCCTCCACAAGGACAGGAAATTTTTGCATGCAAGTTTCTCTACTTTCAGGCTTCAGCTTACAAGCATTGTAAATGGTAAATGGTAAATAGATCAAGCCCGTGGGACCCAAAGGGTCAAAAGGCTAAAAAACACAATACAAACAAACCAACTCCAAACTAGGAGAGAACCAAAAGAACCCCTAGCTAGTGCCCAAAGCACATGTATGTCAGGCTACGAAATGTGAATGTTTGGAAAAGTGCAATGACTTATATTTCGGCATCTGCCTGTGTATATTTGAAAGTAAATCATACATCAAAGACACTTGACTGTCAAATAGACGTATTGGAAAGTACACACTGTTTGTTTCATCGGCGGAAAGGAGAAATTTCAGCAAAAATAGATTCTTTCTTCGTGAGATTTTGATCTATGACAAGCTCAGAATATGCCACATAACACCATACTCGTTTCTTTGTCACCGCAATTTTTTCATAAAATTGCGGTGCCTGTTTCTGATTCCACGGATGCTGTTGCTGATTTTTGTCAGTTGTTTCATTTCAGCTAAAATTCTCCCGGTTGTGAGAAATCAACACTTGCTTCTGTGTACATTATTGATCGGCAACGCACTTGCTATGGAGGTAATAACATGTCAACAGCAATTGGCCTTTTGGAACTAAAAACCTCGTGTAGCTTGTTGAAACTTGCACAGCTTCTGGTAATAAGTATGTTTCTGCGTGTATATCAGTCATGATCTGTGGACTGATTCCACTCAAAAACCCCATGCACACACGAGCCTGACGGTTGCTACCCTAGAATTACCAGGCTTGCTCTGACCGTCATTGTAGAGCTGATTTTCAATCTGTTCAATTATCATCCGCAGGCACTTCCGATTTTCTTAGACTCATTGGTCGAAGCTTGGGGTGCAATTTTGATTTCTGTCACCTTGATCCTCATGTTTGGAGAGGTAAGCTTCTGCTGAATAACAGATTCCTAATGTATGTTCTGCTTTATATTGATGGCATCAGATTTTTGATTGACCTACATTGGAAATGGCAGTCAAGAGGAATGAACTAACCGGTTGAGACATCCGCTTTGGTTGGCACAGATTTTCCCGCAGGCAATATGTACTCGTTATGGTTTGGCCGTAGGAGCCTTCATGTCACCAGTTGTGCGTTTGCTTGTAATGGTCTTCTTCCCCGTCTCCTACCCCATAAGCAAGGTACTATAATGAAGCATCCTTTGTTCCCTTGCAATGCATTCTCAGTATGCAGAAAGAATAGATAGTAATATGTTAGTACTCGTTTACTTCACAGTTAAATATTATGTTCACAAGTGTTCAAAGAGCTCGTTCGCTCGAATTGCTGTGTACATATACTGCACGGTGATGAAAGATACTGATTGGGTCATTGATAAGGTTCTTCATGTACTGAACTTTGTCTACTAATAGCTTCTAGATAAGATGCTGGGAAAGGGTCATGTCGCGCTTTTTCGCCGAGCGGAGCTCAAGACTCTTGTTGATATGCATGGCAATGAGGTGAGAAATACTACATCTATAATAACAGCCTACTTGTCTGTTGCCTTATGCTCTACATATAAGCAGCACTGATGATTGTGATTACAAACTAGAATAGAATCACATTCAAAGAATTATAAAGTAAGATACGTTTATCCATATATCAAATTGTGTCACTCTTAATCACGTCCGTGTTCAAGTGAAAGCCTGTTTTGACACTTTTCCTCTTTTGCTTCTTGAAGAATCACTGATTTTCTTTTTATGTATATTATGTGTCGTTTGCATTTTATCATACTATCTCATATTAAGGTACGGTTCAGGTTATTCAGCTATTTGGAAAGTAGCGTCAATACTTGATTTATGTCCTTTATGTCCGAGCAGGCTGGGAAAGGTGGAGAGTTGACTCATGATGAGACTACAATCATAGCTGGAGCATTGGAACTCACTGAAAAAACCGCGGTTCATGCTATGACTCCAATTTCTTCAGTATTCTCCATTGACATCAATGCAAAACTGGACTTGTAATAATGCTATTCTTTTGAAATATGCCTGCTTTTTACAGACTTACATGTAACCGTTTGTTAAGAGCAATGTAGACAAATGCAATCTCACACGCTATAGAACATCATTGAAGTTAATTTCTAGCTATGGGCTTTAGTAGCAGTACGTCGGATACAATCCTGAGTTCTTTGCGGAATGTTTTTGCGGAAGTTTCATGTATATTCGGATGCAATATGGATCTAGAATGTACATTTATTTCCCTTTGTATGTAATTATGCATAAGTTGTACCGTCCTGTTCACACAACCATGGACCTATCCGTTTCTGAAACAGATTTTTTCTTCATGTACAGGACATTGATGAATATGATCATGTCAAATGGACACAGTCGGATTCCTGTTTATTCAGGAAGCCATACGAATATCATCGGTCTTATCCTGGTATGTATCCAATCTGTTGACAACTGGGCTCAAAATCAACATCGCAGGACGTCTTTGTCTTCAGAGCATTTACTCTTCCCGTTAAAGTTTCAGCCTGAAATCTCTTTAAAAAAGTTGAGATTGTATCTGTTTTCCTTCTCCCTGACATCTGAGGTGAATTTCGCACCGATGGAAATTCACTTCTTACACATTGGTTCACTGTGACAGTCAAATTCGCTTGTGCAACCAGTGAGTAAGGTCAGACCAATTTCAATTGAGTTTTGAGTCTGACGACAGTTTGCAACTGTGGTGGTGGAATTTTTGTGCAGGTAAAAAATCTACTCGCTATTCGTGCACAGGATGAAGTACCTGTTCGAAACTTGACAATCCGGAAGATACCTAGGTGTGATTGATACCTCTTTCGATTTCCTTTGCAGCATAACTGATAGGCTGTAACCGAAGACAATTTTGCACTCAGTGAGTGTTTGTGCATACATATTGAGGAAAAGGTCCATCCGGCTTCCCTCACTTCAGTGGTCTACCTCTTTCCGTGGTTGTAGGGTTCCAGAGACAATGCCTCTGTATGATATATTGAATGAGTTTCAAAAGGGACACAGCCATATGGCCGTCGTTGTGAAATACAGTAAAGAGAAACAAGACAGCATGCAGAGAAACAGAGATGGGTCGAGGATGGAGCGAAGTTTGAGTAGTAGAAGACATTCCAGGCGAACTTCTGACTCGAAAGGTTGGTCTCCCTCAAGCTTTTTGGTGTTTTGGCGAAATTTTTTGAGATTCTCGCCAGATTTTTCTCTGTTCTTCTCGATTCTTCGCGAGAAGAATCGAGAAGACTATGTGAAAAAAAACTGGACTGGTCTGGTTTGGATGTTGGGGTCTTCTCTAGAGTCCTCCTGAAGATGTGGAACGCTGCAACTTTCACCTCTTGGAGTGGAATCTTACAGTTGCATATGCATGTGGCTTCCCCAGCAGGTGTAAATTATAAAGTTTTGGCTCTTGACATTCCTGAATCGGACTTGCCCCTTTCGGAAACGGGATCTCCTCGAAAGCGACTGTCAGTTACTGGAAGTGCAGTTTCAGAGCAGGGAGCTGTTCTACCTACGACCATGCACAAAATTGGTCTTCCAAAACCGGGGCCCTACCACCCTGGGCTTAAGAATGGAGATGAATCTCTGCCTCCAGAGCCTTTGATATCCCAGAAAAGCAGAAGACGTGATCCTGCTGACGTAATTCTAGACATGAGCCCAGAGTCACTTCTTAACTTTCCTCATGATGAGGAAGTTGTTGGCATCATAACAATGGAAGATCTCATTGAAGAACTTCTACAGGTAACAAACTTCTCAATTAGAACGTGCCAGTTGTCTATGCAATATGTACTGGCTTTGATGTCGGCGGAACCTGACGTGAGAAACGGTATAAGCATAATTTTCTTAATTTAGAAATTATGAAATTGAAAGTAATAACCCGATTCTTTATGTTGCAGGAAGAAATTCTCGATGAGACTGATGAATACATCGATGTTCACAACAAGTATTCCTCTTATTCTTCCTCCTGATATCCCTCCTTTTAAGTCTTTGTCGATGATTCTAGTGTTAATGTAGTGAAGGAAATTGGTGTGTTTATCAAGGTTTATCAATCTTGGTAAAGATCAATGTTACCTGAAACGTCGTTTCGATCTTTTGTAATTTGTGTTTTGTATCTTAAATTGCACTCCCACAAATCTTCACATCTTCGTATTAACTGGCGTACATTTGACTGATTTACAGAATAAAGGTGAATTTGCTGCCGCCAGGAGGAAGGTCTCCTGCCTCACCGGCGCCTTCATTTCCAATAACGAACAATTCCTCCTTTGTACAAACGCCTGCACCAACGTCTCCTTTATCGTCGGCTCACGCATACACACCAGTGCAGACGCCTGTATGGAATTCTGCCCCAGGATCTCCGTTGGCAGCTCTGGCCCGTACCTCCATATCTCAGCAGCCTTTACAACAGAAGAGTAATTTACAGGTAGGATCTCAAACCTCTCAATCAACGTTGCAGCTTCATGAGAATCAAATTCCCGTTTTGCTTGCAGAAATCTATGTTCTTATTGAAACTGCCCAAGTTGAAAGAGCGAGTTTCTACTACTCGAATGTTCAATTTAATTTACGTCATATGAGACCTACGTAGTGGAATCTGTGATCTAACAACTTTGCTTGAATGTTCTTAGGATAATGGAGAGTCCGTCAAGAAATCTGGAGGTGATGATCATAATGATTAAAAAATCGTGTATTTTACTTTGGCTGTTGATGTAACATTGTCATCAGCATCAAGAGAGCTACGTCGATTTAAGTATTGGTACATAAGAAAATGGGCACATGTAGCCTATTGAAACATGCGTGTAGAGAAGAGATCACGCAAGTGTTTTTGCATTAGTCTCTGCGGGACAGGTGCCGTCTCTGTCTTTGACAAGCTTGGCCAGACGTTGCATCAGCTGATTTCCAGTAGACAAGCTGTGAATATGATTCGGTCTCCACATTTTTGTGTCAGGGAGGCATAGACGACGTCTAGTATATAGATAGTCGAGAGAAGTTTGAATATACCTGTACATTAAAAACGAGAGATTGATAGTTTTGCTAGTGTCTGCGGGCTTAAAAGATGTAGTTATTGTGTGGACAAAATATATTATAAATGATTGCAGTATCATTGAGCTTTAAATCTTGTTTGTTCCCATAGAAAGAATTGACTAATCGATCACAGTTTCTTGTCTCGCCAGTGTACATGATAATTGCACATACACATGAAATGACATGTTTGTCAAGCTGTGATCCATTCTTGTGTGCATGCCAACAGAATTTTGAAAGTAGTTACTGGAACTAAATTTTACACACTTCAGTTTTACTTAAAAATCAATCGAATGCTCAACTTGTATACAGCCAGCCAATTACCGGACTTGAGGATATGTAGGTGGAATTTCAGCTCAACTTGTAGACAACCAACCAATTGTACCTAACTTGAGGATACGTAGTTGCAAGTTCAGCATATTATGGAACTGATTGAGACTAGATTGAGCAAACATTTAGAGTCCTATACACAAAATAAATTTGATTAGTATTAACATTGTTTGTCGGGATGCATGTATGTATGACTTACATTGATTAAAAAATAAAATCACATATAGTCTATGAATAGAGTATATGATTTATATTAAATAGTAAATTTAGGGGTGTAGAGTAACATCATATTTCATGAAAGTATATTTCAATCTGAATAAGATAAAAAGTGAAATGATTATTTTGGCAAAATTTTTTAAGTATGATCTGTTCTCATGATTTTTCTACTTTTCTATTATGATAATTACATACACCTTATTCTTTTGCAAGAAGATGTCTGAAAATAATAATATCATGACAGCAATCAGTTATAAAACGTTTATTACATATATAGTACACTTGAATTTCTCAATCTTGTATTATAATTCTTTATAATCTACTTTGATATTTATGTGTAAAAATTTGTAATGAATAAGGAATTGTTAGTTATGATGATCATAAATATTTTCATTCATATTTGATTTTATTAAAGATTTAGAAAAAGGTTTAAAAATTTCTTATTTTTTTTAATCGAATCAGAATTGATTACCTTATCACTATACAGAAGTGTTTTTTTAATCAATATCACAATGATTCACTTAACCAAACAAGACAAAGGGAACCAAGTACGTACTATGCCCGTCAATGACACACAATTCAAAATCAACCCTATTGAACGATTGTAAATAGTTTAATAAATGTCAAATAATTTAAAGAAATAAGATATATTCGTTCAAAAAATAACGTAACAATTATGTATAAAAATATACATGCCATATGTATAAGAAATATATCACAACAGTTAAATCTCAAAATCACATCCTTGATGCAAATTTTTTTCAAAAAATGCTTTGTAAAGTTAAAAAAACTTGCCAAAAATGTTGTACATGGAAATATTAAACTATTTGATAGAGTTTGAAACAAGATTCTTGGATCATTTCTGCGTTACTCTCTCGAGATCAGAAAAGAAAATCAAGATTTACGTTAGAATATTAAGCTGAACATTTGTTTGATTATTTGAAAAATGATAAACAAATTCTGCATTCTGTCATAGAAAACACAACAAGCTGATAATAATTGCCATCACCCTCTCCCACAGCAAGCGCAATCAAATTACACGGCTCTCGGAGAATTTTCAATCAACCAGTCCATATCGTTGAAGCCACAGTTTGTTCACCATTGATGCACATCTAGCATACTATCGCGGGGTTAGCCCCTGGCTCCGTCGGTATGATCCTGGACGGGTCTTTTCGCTATCCACTTCGGCACATGTGCTTCCGTATCCTCTGGAAACACAAACTTCAGATCGCATGCGCGTCAGAGTGGTATAACGCAGAGAGCGAAAATTTCGCTCTCTAAGTTGGAGTGACCGACCGACGGTCGTAGGAAAATGCGTACGTAAGGTGCTCGCGCATGGGGGTGAGATCATGACGTTGTGTGGAAGGCACAACTTCCGAGGTCCAACGCGATGGAGTGTTAGCACAAGAGGGCGGTCATCATCATCATTCATGATCACGCACCACCCCGTCTTACCCCTCCGTTGCGTCCCCGGACGAGCCGTCGAGGTCGTCGTCCTGCGCTTCGTTTGTCTCCGACGACTTGAAACATTAAATAATGTCGAACTGGTCGGAGCCAACCAGTTTGGCGACGGGCTGGCGCTGCTGCGATCGTGGACAAAATCGTCCGACCCCCGAATTGCGGCGGAACCTCCAGATTTGCCGCAGCGACGGCAGCAGCATTGGTGACAGTCCTGCCAAAGTGCACCTCGAAGGCTGGAGTTCAGTTCGCTCGTTGAGGGAGGGATCGAGGATCGAGCTGCTGCCTGCATCGGCTCTTGGAGTGTACGGATCCAGAGGGGAGGGAGAGAGGAGGGGGTTGGCCGAGACAGATCGGAAGTCGTCCCTTTAGTGGACAGCGTTCTCGAGGAAACATCTTCAACAGATTCCCACTTTCTTCTTCGTCTCGAGCTTTTGCTTCTTCTTCTTCCCTTGCTCTCTCGGCCAGGCCAGGCCGGGCCGCCCGCGTGCCTGCGTGCCCCGCTCGTGGCTTCGGAATCCGTTCGTCTTGTTCTTGGAAGATGAAGAAAGTTCAGCTTTCTGGCACGAGGAATTAAGTGGCCCGGTGCTGCGGCTCGAGCTGGGAGAGAGAGAGAGAGAGAGATCATCGTCGAATTCTACAATGCATTTTGTCGAACTTCTGTCGCACGGACGAACCATTTTGATTCCTCTCTTTTCCGGAGGAGTTGGCAGTGGATCGATGTCCAGAGGCTTGCAAATCTCGCTGTCGATCAACCAAGGTCGTTCGCAGAGGTTTCTTGCTCTGCAGAGAGTGTTACACAGCTGACATTGCTGCATTACCTGGCTTCTCGAAGCCTGCCCGAGTGCTGGAATCAACCCTGTTTCAAGGGACCTATTATAAGAAGATCTGTACTGTATTCTAATTGTACGTGCCGATCTTGGAGTTTTCATTCCTCCCCGAACCTTTCTCTATGCATTTCGTCCAGTTCATGAGCTCTAGACTTTCCAGAGAGAGGGCAGGTTTGGGTTTTTTTTAACAGTCTCAGAGCAAACCAGTCACCACATTCTGCAGACTCTGAAGATCCATATGTTGTTCGAAGGTTCTGAATTCTACTCTGGCCGCATCTGGTATTCTCTGAATTTGGTGTGGGACGGCCTTCCTTGATTTTTGGACGCCCTTCGTGCACCTGGTTGTTGTAAACGGCCTGTATAGGAAGTAGCTTCGACCAGAGGAGAAAAGAGGTAACGGTGTAGTCTCCCAATCTGATTTCATCCTTGCCCATACGTGGACTGACTTGTGAGCTTGTCTGGAATGATGTTCATGCGAGACTTGTGACTTGAACGCTTGCTCTTTTAGCAAGTGAGCTATGAAGTTGCTGAACTGCTACTTTCTGATTTGGACCGTCAAAATTTTGCATACCCTCACAAGCTGACGTTGCATCAGACACTCAAGAACGGAAACTGATGAACTCTGGTGCAGAATTCACACACCTGAATTTCGTGTGTCCTGTAAGAACAGTTTAGGTCCTCTATTACCTCCATACCTCATCTTTTCAACTATACCCCTTAATTTAATTTAATTGCATTCAAAGCTCTGGAGTCTGAAGCAGGATTTGGAATTTTCAAGCGTTATTTGCCCGCTCGCGCTTCGAGTTTCTGAGGATATGTTTTTGCTTATTGAGACCCATAAACAACACTGGTCCTTGGATCTGCTATTCTTGCTTCTCCTTTGAATTTTTACTAACGTGAGTCTTTCTTAGTGGTACGCCTGGCCATGGTTGGTGTGTATTTTATATTCATCAGAATAATCAAACACAGAAAAATCAGATGTAAATGGAGAAGTCAAGGCTTCTCCATTTGAATTTATGAAAAACTCAAGAAAGAGTAAGCGAAGATCAAAGAACATTTCGAGTTTACAGCTGGATGAGAACGCTTTTTGCAGGGCATGACTATTCTGTCGTTAAACGCAAGGAATGCAGTCACGAGATACCCATGCTAGTTGATGGAGATATGGTGCTTGAGTTTCTGTGCAGTCAGGTTACTTAGTTGTCCAGTTGGTTGCATGAGGCTGCAAAATATCTACTCCGCACAATAGGTTTAGACAATACAGAGTCTGAATTGAACGCGTAGGTGGCACAAACTGAAGGTTTGCATATGCTAATGCTTCAAAACACATCTTTGGTCGGTAATCTGGTAGCCTTCGAATAAACCTCTCGTTTTAACAACAAACTGATCAACTTTTACTGACAGTTCTTTGCAAAGTTTGTAACAGCACCTCTGCGACACGTCAGGCTTTGATGGTTCATTTCAATTACCTTTTGTAGTTGCCATATGGGGTCCGTTATCTCAGGGTTCTCCCAACAGGTGATAGTGTAGCGGTATTGTCAGATCTTCAGCCGTCACTTTCTGTCGAGCCACATCACTGGTGGTAATTCAGAAATTTCGCTCTAATTTTTATCCCCGTGCTTTGTAGATCGTGGACAAGGAGGGAAAGCTGTCATAGTTCCACATCATGAAGATACTAGTCCGCACAAAACATATCAGAGTTTTGAAGTGGAGTCAACTTTTGAAATGGACTCGGAAAGGGAAGTGCAAGACGCTTATCCCCAAATTGGAGAGCAGGAGAAGAAGAGCTGAGAAAAATGACATGAACGAGATGGATTTATGGCGAGACAATCTCGGAGATCATCTTGACCAATTGCCCTTGGACTTGACAGAAAAAATTATTTCCCAGGTGCCATTTTCTGAGATCTTCAGATACCGTGCACCCTGGGAACGGTGGTCTGAAAAGTTTGTGAAATCTCTTCTCTCTCCTTTTTTCAGCAGGAATCGTGCAACGTGCTGGCCGACCTTTAGTCCTGCGTTTGTTTTGGACAAGCAGAAATTGGTAGCATTCAATCGACTGGATAGTTGTTGGGAATATTTTCACTTCGAAGCGATGCCTTCGATATCGTCACCAAAATTCTGTTCAGAGCCTATGTTCGGAGGAGCGCTGGTTTGCGTGATAGAGTATACAGAGGCGTTTCCTGTTGCCTTTGTGATTAACGTGCTGACTGGAAAACGGAGGCAGATCGTGTGTCCTCCAGCAGTCGGAGACAGCCACTTTTTCTCTCCTCTCATCGTTCCCGTAGAGGCAGAGGAGACATACTTGCTCATTTTCTATGGCATCAAGGCTGAGAATACAAAGACTTCTCTGTTTGAAGTGTATTTGTACGACTCGGGATCCAGGGGTTGGTCGTATCAAGCCGTCGAAGCCTGTGAAATGTCGAGTATCTCTCGGTGTGTCTACCTAGATGGGGTCCTGTATGGCATGTGGCCTTGCACTCGGTCCTCAACTTTCACGTATCTGTTCCAGTTCGATCTCGAGAGTGGACTTCTCAGCGAGACTCATGCGATGGAGTTTGAGAAGGGCAGGTTCGTGAAAAGTGGCGTGCTTGTCTGTGGCTCCAGAGTCATGGTTGTAGTGATCGAGTCAGATCCTGTCACTTTAGTCTGCGATGGAGCTCGAGTCTTCGAGGTCGACCCAGAAAAAGGCTTGATAGAAGGGGACAGAAGTCCAGCCTGCGAGCTGGTAGGCAGTGTGAAAAGCAAGCAGGGCGGTGGAACAATGCTCACTTCCGATGACAATTGTATATACATTTGTGATCACGACACCTTCATCTTATATTACGTCCAGTCCGGCGTTTGGGTCAGTCATCACTACCCTTGTCTCACCGACCCTCTCCCGGCAGAGTACAATGAATTGTGCCTGAGGGGTCAACAGCCTGTCACCTTCAACCCTGGCCTGAACCCGTCTGCCAGACCTTAGGAAGACGAGTTGGGGATGGATGGCAGGTAACACATTTACACTCAACCTTAACTCGGTAAACGGATGAAATTACCATCGGCATCGGACCTACACATCTATGCCAACTCTTATACGTAAGCCTCATAGCAACGGCTTATATGTTATGTTTAATGTATTATCAAGTATCTCAGTCTCGTAGGACAATTAGACCAGTTAACAAATATTTACCAAATATTGAGTCACATTGTAACACTTTTAGGAGTCCACACCACAGAACTGGTGTGGACATTGCTAATGTATAGCCTGAAGTAATTAATGTTTTAAAAATGTCAAATCCAGATCGTTGAATTTCTGAGTTCGTAAGTGCGCATGCTTTTATCATATCATTTGTCTATACTTTGAATCAACTGTAAGCCAATGTTTCCGCCTCTTATTCCTCTGCACCAGAATTGCCAAGGAATCCTCGTTCCAACAAGGATTCCATGCAACTGCGTTCGCTTGTGAAGTCTGGTCAGTACAGTACCTCTGTAAAAGCTGACCCGATTTCCAGATTATATCAGGATGTTCAACTTCCCTACAAGAAAGCAGGTGAGTGATAACATTGGAAATACTGCAGTCGAGTTCCTCTTACAGTTTCAGTCGCAATCTCTCTGTTACCAACTTTACTGCGATTGAAACAGAGGTGAATTTGTTGTCATTTACCGTGTTAGTAATAGCTGGCTTCAAGTTTATTTCGAGAGTTCCAGTCGCACGCATTCTTTGACAACTTTTGAGAACGGATCACAAAACGCCTTCAATATCAGCAGAATCTCTGCTGATCTGAACCCATAGAAATTCTTAGATCTCAATCTAAATCATACGGCTTGAACAGATTTGACGTTAGATATTGAAGCCCAAGGTGACAGTGCTCACGGTTAGCTGGATCTGTCTTCCTGTACCGTTAGGTAATCTCAGATCAGAATTGTCATGAAAAGAATTGTGCATCAACCTAACATTTTAACAAACTTAAGTCTGGTTGGAGAAGACTTGCATCCCAAAAATTTGAATGTACTTAGTCCTGCAGTTACAGGCAGTTGACGTGTTCCAAATTGGTGCATGTATGTGGGTTAAGCTACGATTATTTTGCATACGAGCATGCGTCGTGGTTATGGCAAGTAAGCACAACAACTTTGTCAAGTGCATGGGACATCACGGCAAATTCGCTTACATCTTCGTTCGTGCAATGGAGTACACGACAAAACTGGTAAGAATCCAGCTATTAAAGGCACATACACGTCCGGTTCATAACCTCGTGAAGAAAAACTCAGGTCTTTGTTCTGCTTACACCTCGAATCAGGATCTTGAATTTAAACAGCAAGCTGTGATAAACAGCGATGTATGATTCATTGTAGATTTCACTGTATGTACGATGCATAAACATCAGTCTGAACGTCCGAACTAAGCTGCAGTGTGTGAGGCGGATTGGTCCACCCCGTGTCTCAAGTCAATGTTAACACAGGAAAATCGAGAAGAATTTAACAGCTCAACGACTGAAGAATAGACTGAAAAGCACATTATATTTTCTAAACAAATTAAGCCTTACCATCACTATTGTACACAAATGTGAAAGATAAAAAAGAAAGACCTCGAATTACGAGAGAAGACGCAAGGCAAAAGCCGACAAAACAGAACAAATAAGAGGCCTACCGAGCTAAATGTTGATCCGGCCCCAGGGCTAAGGAAAAGAAGTGGCTACATCTCTCCAGCAGCTTCTGTTATCTCCATTGCCTACACTCAGGAAGATCTCGTGGTAATTGGACATGCCGAGCACTTTATCACGTATCATGGCTATTTTCATCTATTACCGAGTTCATGCACGCTGTAATACTACGCTAACAGAATGTAATCCGCTGTCTATAATACTGAATGAAAAGAGGTAGCACTACATGTGGTCACGCCTCTCCTTCGACAACGGCCACAAGCACAAGCGCTCCACGAACAGGAAATTCTGCCGAGGGTATTAACGACGCACTATAAACTTTGCCAGACATTGCCAATAAGTCAAGGAAGGAACTACCATAAGCTTTGACAAATCATATGGTGAAAATAAAGACGATCCTTTTCAAATAAAAACCAGAGAATCTCGAGCCTGCCTCAAAAAAAGTTGCAATGGATACAGAAGGTGTTCTTAAGGTTAGACAGAATGTCCAAACATGCAAGAGAACTTTAAATGAAGAAAGAACGGGCGGCTAATGAGAGGATGACAATCTAACTCCTACTCCCTCGCTGACAGATTCTCACCATGAAATCAATCAAAAAGCTCCCTCATTTGAGGCCTTAAGCTCTTCTCTCTAAGATCCAGATTTCACTACCCATCATCCTTATGGAAAAACAAAGTTGATCAAATTGAGTGCAAGAAGATCATTCCAATGCTCGTTGCAATTGAAAGATTGAATGCTCTACTCAACACATCAGGATGTAATGGATGAATCAAACTTAGCCTGCTTAGATCTATTTCAGATCCAAATATATACTGGAGATAGAGTCATGAGAATATTTCTCAATTTTCTCGATTTAAGGCTTCATCGACGAACTCCATCTCCTCCGCCACCATACCGAGATACTTGAGCTAAACTTCTCAAGACCGAACCACGTCTTGAGCTGGGTTGATATTGATACTTTTCTTCGTTGAGCCGCTTCTTCATCTAAGGTCTTGTACGCAGCTGCCAAAATATACATTGCAGGATGTAACCTGCGAACCACGTCACCAGGGTTGGAGGTACTTCTTCAAAGTAGATACGTTTAATTGTCGAAGATCTTCGACGAACTTACTCCTATAATGAAGATTTGTAGATCACTAAGTAGTATTTATAAGAAAAACCAATTTCTCAGTCCTGTTTTGATGAATACTGATATTCTATATGATATCATGATACCAAGTAATATAATACAAGGATGGGAAGATCCCAACAATCCGCGTAAGGATGAAACCAACGGGGTTAGGATAGGGCCAGGTCCCAATAGCGACACAATGGGATGTATGTCTTACTGCACCTCAGATTTATGAACGATCTAGGTCAAACGCACCCGACAGGCATTCTATTTGATATGATGACAGTAATCCAACAACAGAATGCCCGTCTAGAAGCTCCGAAAGAGTATCATGTGGTGCCGAAGTTAATAATAAAGGGTTTCTAAACAAAGTTACATGACTACTTACTCAAATGGACATCACAATGAAAGATACGTGAGAACAAGATAGTGCTCTACTTACATCTTGCCACCTTCAATGTCAGAAGCAAAGTTTGACCTCCCATGGTGATGATAGTCCTGTTGGTATGGCCCTCGGTTCTTGGATCTTCGCCTAACGCTTCGTTTATTTTGACCGAATGTTTCAATGTACCAACCGCCAACGTTGTGCGTGTCCGTTCTTGGCTCAAAGATCCAGTATCTGGGTATACCCAAAAGAACCTCGTTTCAGGTGGTGGAATCACACTCAGACAAATTTCCAGAAACCATAGCTAGCTTGAGGTCCTTGCAGGAAGACCGAAGACTGTTCCTTATGATAACTGACTAGTCAAGTGAGAATGTTCATGCAGCAAAATGTTTCGAGCCAGTTGCAAACCTGCTTGGAAGAACACTGGCGCGACGACATCGGCACTCACAAGGCGAACCATCTTCGCCAATCCTAAACCACTGCATGTGCTTCACCTGAATTTTAATTAAGTTGCCGTGAACGAGATTCTACGTCAGAAAGATCCATGAATTTGGATACGACTGGTCTCTTACACTGAAAAGGTTTAGACAGTGAGGCCATCTGCGACAGAATGTACGTCTGATTTATGATGAAAAACAGCTTGTGTCCATATATAATCAAGTCACATGCAACTGCCGACTTGTCTGTGCAGCAAAACAGAATTCTCCTATTGACTAAACCTCTGGGAAAATCAAAAATCTGTTTACTTCTGAGCAGGATAATATATACGCAGATATATATGTGGACTTTGTGGGCAAGTGTTACAACTGGCATGCTCTTCCTCACCTACCAAAGGCGTCCTATGTTGCAAAATCAGATGATATGCAGATATATTTGTGGACTTTGTGGGCAAGTGTTACAACTGGCATGCTCTTCCTCACCTACCATAGGCGTCCTATGTTGCAAAATCAGATGAGTGTTCTTGCCATCTGGACCGTAGACATTACAGACGCTTCCAACCTCAGAGGATCCAAGACCTCGTATGGAGCCAAGAAAAATTCTCTTCACACTGAGGTTAGTGCCATCTGCCAAAGTTCCATCTTCTTCAACTTGCTCTGAGCTCAAATACACGTATATACAGTCTTTCCCCTCATAACCCCCAGAAACTGAAGGATCAGGACAACTTTCTGTAGCTGGTACTCGTATTGACCTGGCGACAACATTTCCGAACATTTGCAATTCCAGGTCCACAAAGGTAGACTCGATATCCTCTCTGGTATACTCAGGAGCTTGGGCAGCGTCTGTATGAAACTTCATCTCGGTAAACACTTGGGTTTGATCATTCGTCTGTGAACTGCTATCTACCTCGTCGTTACGCGTTTGGGGCAGAGAAGGTGCTGCATAGGTTCCTCTGTCAAGAAGAGAAACCTGCACGAGACGAACGAGGCCGAAGAGTTGACGACCAGATACCAGATGCAACACTTCTTGAAGGTCTGGTTGAGCCCTTTCTTCTGCTTCGAAACATTCTGGTAAGCCTTCTCGGTCACTAACAGGAGGACCAAAATAGGCCTTCTTCAGAGCTGACTTAGTTTCGGCCCTCAGGTCCTCTTCCCATCCGCTTCCTACTCCTATCTCCTGCCTTCTGATAATATCCTTCACCATACTCCTATAGCTCTTCAACCAGCTCACTACCTCGGTACTCCTGTCCTCAAGTCCATACTCATAAGACCTCCCGTTTCCGAAGCCACTTTCATAAGATGCCTCTCTGAACTCTGATGTGTCGCTCCTGCTTTGTTGAGCTCGCTTGAAACGAAGGTTCTCGTCATATTGTGCCCGCTTTTGTGGGTCTGATAAAATCTGCAGCAAGTCCGGATTTGTTATATCAATTATGGAAAATGTCGGAAGGTCTTCTTATGAAGATTCGAGCTACACGAGGGCCATGGCCTCCTTGACTGATGCCCACCCTTGTCAGGAAGGTAAGAATGTGCTTTCGCACAAAACTTAAAAGGCTGTATTTCCTGTATTCCATAGCAAAACACTTAGCAACCTTATCTGATACCGGACTGACTGAGGAATCAAATTGAAAACAAACTTGACTCAAACTGTCAAACAAATTGAGTAGGTGTATAGATCACCCGTGAATGAGCAGACTGAAACACATCGATATGTACTTTATTGAGAATACAAGAGGACTGCGGAGCGGGAGAGGCATCCACATGCATTCAAATGACTTGCAGATTGAGACAGTAGCAATGTGCAAATCAGCAAGAACAGCAACCGTACTATAGGTCAGCAAATTCTAAAACTTCAGCGTCACAATGGGGAGGCGGGTATCTACATCTCATGAACTGACGGCTTCTACCGGCGAGAGAATGTCCAAAGTGTTCCAAGAATTATGAAAATTCTTTTCACGAGCTCTTGAAGCAATTACTACGCAATAAATGTATTCGATTAATGTGTTCTGTGTTCGACCATGGCGGAATGAGGAAAATCTCTTTGAGACGGGAAGTCGATCTAAATGCAAGAGTGAACTTTGGAAAGACCAACCTCGATTGATTGTAGAGAACTGATGGCATAACTAGTGCAGGCAGTGCTGGTTATTGCAACGCAGACCTAAGAGTCAAATATGCGTATCGCTGATTGAGGGCCGAGATCGGTAACGGATTGCGATGGTTCAGAATCTGAATGTCAGTGTAATGTGTTACCTCATACGCAGCCAGAACTCGAATGAATTCGACGGTAGAAGCTTGTGACTGAAGGTCAGGGTGTGTGGCTTTAGCCAACTTTCTGAAAGCCATCCGGATGCTCGTCGCGTTGCATGTCTCCGGCAGACCCAGCACTTCGTAGGCGCTGGCTGATGCACTGTTATGTCCATCGGGGCTCTTAAATTTTTCCTCCGCTCTCGTCGTCGAATACCCTCTCAAAATCTGTTGATATCTCTGCAAAACCCCCGCTACACCAACGGAATTCGGACGAAGTTTCATCGCAGGGAGACGAAGTTTCGGCGGAGGTTCGAAAGTACCAGTGATCGTCAACACTTCCAAGAATTGCTCCCTCTCGACTCACATGCACCATTTCCGTTCTGCTGACTTTTGGAGGCACCCATTTACCATTCCTCCTGTCTCAATCTTTCTGCCGCAACACTGCCCCTTCAGCGCCAATGTCACTGGCAAGTTTAGATTTTTCCTTTTCAGAGAAGCGGACATGGACAGAAGGTTCTTCTACGGCCACGTGGACCTTCTCAATCGAGACCTGGATCGACTTTTCACAGCGCAATGTGCGAGCTACAGCCATTTCCGACAAAGGTCCAGAATTTGTCGACTCCGCAAGCGATCGACTACTAATTTTCTTCTCGCAACAGGGGACAAGAGATGCGCCTGCTCTGACACCAATTGGCCAGCCGACACTGAAATTCAGAGTCTTCAGCATGTGTAGGATTTGGTGCTGCGTAGATTTCGGTTGTGGACGGGGTCGTGAGTAGAGGCCGGTTGTTCTCCGTGGGAAATGATTCTTTGCAAGAAGAAGCCTGTGGTAAGGTCGATGATGGCAGTTCTGACCCTCTGGAGAAACGAAGAGTCTTGTGTACACATGCTCAAGAGACGACGACTGTCGATTTCATTTCTAGATCTTAAAGCTCTAGGCTTAGCCTAGAGCTTTAAAATCCAGTTTAACATGTGTACTTCTACGATGCTCGGATCTAAAGTAAGAAGCGTAAAGATCCGATTTCCAAATGCCAATGTTCAATTAGCAATCAGCGTGTAGGTAGCGTTGTAGTTGAAGCGTTGAGACTTCAGCATAGCCCCAATTTCGTCCTTGCAAACTGGGCGGATCAGGAGAAAGACTTACAATAGAGAGGAGACAATTTTCCTAGAATCGTCACAGTGATCGGTGGGCCGCGTCTGTCAGTCGCAGACCTCACCTTCATAGCAATTCGAGTGAGCCCGAGAATCAGATTAGACCACCGGCAAGTAGTTCAGAGACCCCGTTATTTTCAGAGTTGAGCTTTAAGCTTCACCGACTGTTGATGGCTGGCACCATTAATGCTGTCGCTCTGTTTCTTGACTTGTCTTCATCCATTTCCTCCTGGTAATCACTGAAGTCGTCCACGACTCGACACGAGTCAACGAAACTGCCCGTCAACAGCATGAAGAAGTGCGAAAGTCTGAGCCACTGATTGGCCGAGGGAGTGTGGGATTCCAGATTACGCTCAATAGAATCTCCATCTTATTGGCGACAGCTCTCAAGACAAGGAAGTGCTTTCTTACACGACATGAGCATGAGTTGATTTTCAAGTTGTCGCTCCGCACGTGATGTGTTAGCGGACCTTCAATGACAGCTGCACCGAGTGGTCTGATCGCCTGAGTTTCTGTCGGCGTGAAATTTCTGCTCCAGCTACGTCTACTATGTAGAAAGATCGATGAAGTCTGACCGCATTTAGCTTTGGCCGTTGTTGTGACGTTGTCCTTCTTGCATTCAGAATGATTTCCTGATGTATCTCATTCCCATGCACTAGTGTTCTTGAGTGACCTGACGGATGAAACGAATTGCGTACATCACCATGGCTTAAACATACTGAGGCTGTACGTGTCCCTACAGCAGAAAGTGAACGTCTCAGCCGCAACCGACGAGTTCATCGCTCTTGTGGTCGGTCCTATATACAGAATCAGAAATTCAGAAGAGCTTCACATTTCGTATGTTAAGGACATTCTGCTGGAGGTCTTTTGCCTTCAGTGGAATTGGAGCCAGTGCTATTTGTAGATAGAAGTGTCCCGAGGTCCATCTCTTGAGAGCTGAAACCCTTAAAGGTTATGAGGAAGTGCCAGGGACAAGGAATGCGCCAAGACTTTGAGAACAAGGCTGAGCCACATTCAGTCTAAACCCGATTTGTCGACTTTGTCATCCACACTTCTCTTGCTGCCATGGATGGAGGTGCAGCAGCTGCTCTCTCAACCATGTGCATCCTCAACATTCTGATGGACTGCTTGACAATGCGTCCTTACTAAACGTGCTGCTCCCTGACAATTGTGTTACGAAGAAGCTTTTAGAAGCCTAGACATCTCGAACTTGGTACTTTGAACTAGCAGTCGAGGAACCGATCGTCTAATCAGTCTCTGAATTCACGTTTGCCTACGGGAGGAGGACATCTCAACTGTTCTGTTGTACTGAGTCATATGCCAGGGCTTGTTCAAGCAGACAAGTAACACATTCATCAACCACGTCTGATGATAACGACAGAAGCTGGTACAATCTCAGTGACACTTCTTAAATACATATCCGTATACAAAACGGAGTGGCTTGATGTCCAGATGACACCTTAAGCCAGTCCAATCCTCTTGCGGTTGGCGCATCGTGCAGCTTGACAACCAGCCCAAGCAGCGCAGCTAAACATCTTGCAGACGCTACCGACGTTGCAGTCCTCACTCATATCCAACCAGATTTCGCTCATAGAAGAGCTGTGGCCACGACACATTGAGAAAAGCGTCTCTGCTGTCGTGAACTGGTTCCTGGGTCTCCTCTGATCTCTTCCAAGCGACGCATGCTATTCCCGACAAGCTAACATTGAGAGGTTCGGCAATGGTAATCTTTCGACAATATACAGAAGCATGGATCAAGTCGTCCTCCCCTGAGTATTCAGGAATTTCTCCCTGAGGCTTCCAACTATTCCTCAACTGACACTGCCCTTGAAAATGCTTGGGCTCACTACTTCCAGCTGGTAATATGTACACAGGAAGGTGGATACAAGCGTTGATTGTATGATACGATGGCGGTGAAGTGTGGAAAGCGGCTCGAGAGTGGGAAAAAAATAATCATACACCTAATGATCTACTTTCTGTCCTTGGTAGCTTTGGCCACAAGAGTATTGATAGCATCTCGAAGTCTTAAGTAATCGTCGTACGTATTATACAGCTGATGGGAAATTCGCAGGTACGCGGTTACGGCTTGTGAAACCTCTCTTTTCGGTGGTACAAATCCGTGGATCTCAATAGAGGATTCCTGACGTAAACAAGTTCTCAGATCATGAACCTCGTTAGCCGATGAAATTTGAAGTGCAGGAGGTAAGCCCACGGTCACCATCGAGCCCATCATGTCCGCAGGGACTCCGCAATGAGTACCCCAAGCGTCAGCTAGCATCTTTCCCATAGCCACCACCCTGTCATGGTTGTAAGCTCTGATTGCCTTCAATCCACCAGGAACGCTGTTCATGAACTGAAAGCATGCAGGGACTGCAAGCAGTGCACTGTAATCCCTCGTTCCCACCCAGTTGCATTCTGCCACCAGGCCTTTGCCGTAATTGTGAGAAATTATGGGATGATGGAGTCGAGACAAATGCTTCGCTTTGCAGTGGAAAAGAGATGCTGTCGTTGGAGCAAAGAGCCATTTGTTCAAGTTGCTAGTGTAATAATCAGCATCCATGTCCTGCACATTTACTTCCACCTGCCCTATAGCTTGGGCGCCATCGACGAACACCTGCTCAATGCCATAGCTTCTGCAAAGGGCCACCATTTCCTTCACAGGCAGGATGATCGAAGGCATGGACACGATGTGATCGAGGACAGCCAGCCGAATCACTCGATCTTCAGCCTTGGCTTTCTTCAGAGCTTCCTCAAGAGTGGCGAGAGCTTCCGAGGCAGAGGTTATGGGGAAAGGAATCTCGACGATCAAAAGTTGGGCACCGGCTCGGACTCCATAAGCGTGGAAGGCATTGGAAACAGCTTTGTACGCGAAATTTAGCATCAGAATCGTATCGCCCTTCGCATACCTGCCCTCGGCGAGAGCCCACATGACGTCCATGGCGACGATGGTGGCAGAGGTGGTGGCGTTATCGATGAGAACGAGTTCGTGCACGGGGCAATTCACATGCTCGGCCACGGCTCGTCGGGCTTGCAGCAGAGCGGCCTCCACGCCCCCGAAGTAAAACGCGTCCGGCTGCTTGAGCCATGTCTGGGCGAACTCGGCTTGCGCGGCCAGCACGGACTTGGGGCACGATCCGAAGCTGCCATGGTTGAGCCGAGCTGCGCCTCGCTCGTGGTGCCCGAACTCCGTCTTGCGCAATGTCCTCAGAAACGCCTCATTCAACTCCCTCGCCGCCACCATCGACCTCTGCTCGCCCCACAGCCTCGTCGCTCCGCGCGGCGAGTAAATCATCTCGGAGCTCTGCTGCTGCTGAAGCCTCGGCGACAGCCCGTCCTCGCTCCCCGACGCCATGAACGTCTCGTGCATGGCCAGCGCCAAATCCCTCTCGCGCATCGCGGCCTCGTGCTCCATCGCTGCGACCGTGGATCCGATGCACGAGCGATCGATCGAGCGAGCGAACTCCGACAAAAGAATCCGTCAATTCAAGACGAGGAGGAGGAGGAGGAGGAGGAGGTGGTGGGGATAGGCACGACCTCGAGCGAGCGCTCAATCCATCGCCGGGCGCGCACGGACATCGGAGCACGTGACGTCAAGACCCAGCGCCCCGTTCACTTTCGGCGCGTCCCGGAGCTCGAGCTCTGATCACGACGCTCGCTCCCGCTCCGACGAAACCGACGGACGTCGTCAGCCGTTGCATATGCTTCCGATATCATGACGCGAGCTTCGAATCCTGCGCCGCCCGTGCGCTCGTGCGCAGCGAGCGAACTCCATTGTGCTCATCTCTGCTAGCGCCTCGCGCCTCACTTGCTTCCCCCGGTCATCGTCCGGTCATCGCCCGGTCATCGATCCGGCCAGCCAGCCAGCCGCCCGCTCCTAGTTTACGCCGGGGCGGGCGACCGAACGGCTCCGGCTCCGATCGCAGGGTTTAAGAAACGTTTTGAGAGGCGCGTCGTGACGTAAGGAAGAGCCTCGAGGATATTCGAGTGGCCTCGACGGCCAAGCTTGGGGGGGGGGGGGGGGGACGAAGGGACGCGGGGGAATGTGGGTTGCGAGAAGGTCGACAGGTTTGAATTGTGTGACAGGTTTTTTGCCGGGCATGGGAGTCGAATGTGGGTCGAATGGCTCCGACGGGGGAAGGCCGTCTGGAGCTTCGAAGAATTGGCAGGGTCCGCGCGGAGGGAGGGGGTTTGGTTGCTTCCCGCGCTTTTTGATGGCACTGTTTGTCGTTGGAGTTTATGAATAGCGGAGAGGGAACTGGGCGAATCGTCATCGTAGCTGTCGCTGCTGGTCGGCTTTGATGTGTGATGGCACTGATTTGGACCCAGGGCGAGACGATTGTTATGGTGAAAAGGGCGTCTCGTACGAGCACGCAAATTCACGTGGTGGCCGCGGAATGGGACAGCTCGAATGATTGTTTCGTTCTCAGCGGTCGAATCGTCATTTCAGTCGCAGGTGCGCCGAGAATTATGAATCCAAGCTGATCTGTTACTGTTTTGTAGATTGACCGTGTCTCTGCTCAGGTATTTGCCGTCGTATGCGTGGAAAGTTCTAGCCGGTGGAATTTTTCGAAGCTCATACAAGTCATCGAGCTGAGCAGAAGTGGAGAGACAGATGTACCATTCTAGATTGTCACCTTTGGTTCACATTTTCAGCCCCCCGCAAGTTACAGCCACCTGTAAGAAGTTGTGCAGGCTGCAGGAAATTATCCTGCTCCGCTCAATTATACGAACCGTGCCTATGAAGAGAATCACAATGTCGAATTCATCATTGTGGTCGTGTTTGTTGTCAGCTGATGCCGAGCTCTTGACGGGAGGATCGGTTCTGGACTCCGAAACTGGATTGTAAGCAATCGACCCTGACTGCCAAGAAAATGCTGATTTTCGAAATTCGCACTGAAATTCAAGTTCTTTGTTGTCTACGTAGAAGAAGTACTGCCGAGATTTAACTTTCTCATGAATTGGCAGATTACGTTCGTACGTGGTTCTGGGTAGGGCAGAATCAATCTACATATGGTGTCTAGATTTTGAACAGGCCCGTCCCGACCTTGTTGTCAAGCTCCCTTTGCCGAACTCGTCGTCCATCAGCTCCAAAACATCCGGATGCAGCGTGAAAGGTAACCAAACATAGGAGCTGGAGTACAAGTTCTGCATTGCATCAGTGAGGACGGCCCCCTTTACAGGTTTATCAGCTGTCCGAATTCGTTTCCTCCATGTAAAACATCATAGAATAATTAGCAGAAGAGCAGGGAGCATCACTAAGCTAAGAACTTGATCGACTTGAAGGCACATTGTACAAGCGTTAGCTCGCCTGTTGATCAGTTTAAGAGAGAATGACTCTTTCAAGTTCTTCTCGCAGACTGCTGGCTTGTGGATGGACCAATTGTAGTCGCGGTATGGAAAGGGCAGTTGCTGCTAGTAACATCAAAAGCTTCTTACGGGTCCACAGAGTTTTCTGCTGAATCCGAAGATCCTCAGGGCGAGATATTTAACACCCCTTGGGAAGCACATGTGCTGTGCTCTCCTCAAAGTAGCGAGCAACTGTCACTGAAGGTTCAATTCTGTGGTGATGTCGCAAGAAATGAAAGTCAGGTGGCCATCATTAGTTTCACAGCATCCAGTGGTAAACGCCCGAGGACATGCTCGGTGTCGAATGAAAGGCAAGTCAACATCTTCGCATCACGCATTACCACAGTCTCTTTGTGATTACCCGTTTTCTCTAGTATTACAATGTTCCTATCCTGGAGAAGTACTATGGCCAAAGGTTTGCAAGGAGATCCTATCATAATCTGGTTTGTCGATGCAAAATCAGATTTGTCATTGTTGTAAGAGGAAGTCCGAGAGCATTCTCCTTGGTCGAATCTTGGTCTACGTTCGGGGATGTCACTTTGAGCCTATTTTCCCATAATAGATTTCTTTTCCAATTTTTTTGCCATGTTAGTGATGATTTAAAAGAGCACCATGCAGTTCCAGCTGATTCCCAAAACACGCAGGTATCTCCAGAGCTGGTCATATTACAACTTGATCTTGGATCCTGAGGTTCCGATAGCTCATGAGCAATCAAGCACTGGCAGTGGGTTGAAGTTCATTCCCTCTAAGCAGATCCCCGTTGATCTAGATCCAAGACTTATTTCTTGCATCCAACCTGTGACTGTCGTGCCTTCGACAAATGGAGATGACTCTGATTACATCTTCGTCGGAACTAAGGACAAAAGGCTACTTAGATATAGATGTGGTCAACTTGTGGATGTTACGCACTTGGACGCGATTCCTTCCCAGCTGTAAGTGTGTATTTCCATCCTTTTTCTCTTTATGTATTGCTTTGTACAGACGAACGGATTCTTCAGGCAAATATTAGTGAGTAAAATATAAGAGAATGTACATTTGAAATGTATTTCAAAGATAAGTAGTGGATCACATTTACCTCTGTATATGTGCCTTAGAGTTTATCAGGCTCTCTCTCGGTTGCAGTCACAAGAATGCATTTTCCGACCTGATCCAAACAGAAACTTCGGAGTCGTGGCAGGAGGCCAGGGAGTCCTACTCGTTGTCCTGGATGACCTGCAGCAAAAGGTGTTAGCTGTATGTCCTGAATCGCTTCAAGTCCTGCAAGGCAAGTTTTTGCAGTGGGACGCATTGTGCTTCTACAGTCCTCGTTTGCAAGTCTACGTTCTAAGCACACATCGATCTGATTAATGTGGAATTTGAATATTACCTCGTAGTTGTCAGCCCAGAAGCTTAGACGTATCCTTCAGTGTGTGCACGAACTACTGTGTGTAATATGTCCATCGGTTAGAACTAGATTCTTATTGCTATTTCTGACAAAGAAAACATCGGGTAATAAAGAGAGAAGAGAAGTGGTCGCAGCGTGGATTGTTTCATGTCAAGGTTAGATTTCTCCAGAGGACTACCTGACTATCTGCAAGTCTAAGTTAGCTGAAATGAAAGCGTTTGAACAGATTGGAGCAAAGTTTGGCATGTTGTCATCGGTGACTTCGTCAGCTCTGGGTATGACCAAATCGTTCTTCTGCACATTGCTTCTGCATCGTCAGCGGAGGAGGGCCTAAGTTCTCCCGGCGCACAGCTTGAGCTGAACTTTACTGTTATACATGGTTTCAGTACAGTCACCTGCGAAGGCTTGCAGCAAGGCACACAACGACATTTGGCAGGTTAGACATCCTTGTGCCAAAGTTTGCATGACGACCTTGGCCTGATCAAGTTTTTATCGGAAAGTGTGACCATCTTCCTGACTTGGTCACCTCCGTAAGAGTGTACCTATACAAGAACAGATTATCCTTGACATGAAAAGCATATGTTTCCATTCATAATCTGGTTCATTTTCTCTCTGTAAGCATCCAACCATCTTACAAATTTATTATTTCAATTGCACTGCAATAACAATTGAAATATGACTCAGAAACCAAAGTCATCAATGACTGCAAGTTGTCTGGTATGGATACTATCTGTAAGGCCCTGCAAGACAGAGTAGAAGCTGGACTCAGTCAGCTGCAAGTCGCAAGGAATGAGGTTAGTAGTACGACTCAAAGGTCACATTCCAATTCCCTAAGAATAAAGAGATTCTAGCCGACATGTTCTCGTTGACAAAAAGGACGCAACATCTGTCATAGACCTGTTACTTACCGGTAAATTATAAAGGGACGGAAGAGATAGACCTAGCAATTCTAGGCGAGTAGCTTTGTCGCACGATGTTGGATGTCATACGCACTCAGAAGTACGTTGAAATTTGTTTTTCTTACACCAGCCTCTTATCAAACTCTGACCGTTTCCTCAGAGAGAATCGAAAGGGGAGCTTGTGCGCATCTCCAGCTGCCTTATGCAGGTAAAACTTTAGCGTCTTCATTCGTCCCTTTCTAGGCACTGTCGTTCCTAGGTCCCATTCAGCTGCATTGTCGAATTTTTTGAGTGTGACAGCACGCACAATTTTGGAGGCAGCAGGGAATTTTTCTATTACCATCTGTGTTTGTTTACAGTTTGGGACATATCTACCTGCGTAACATATGGGTACTTTCAGACGTTGCTCTCTATTTCATGAACTGCTGCGTTTATCCTCTGCCATAGAACTCACTTGCAAAAAAATATGGACATTTCTGACAGCAACTAACTTGACTTCTGACATGGTCTGCCTCCATACGAAGAACATGGTCACTAGGTGGGCACATGAAGAACAGTCAAAAGCAAACGTAGAAGGAAAATCTGGTACATACAGCGTCACCGAACAGGGCAGGTTGGAGTTGGTGCGTGCTACGAGTGTGTGGAGCCGAGTTTGCGGAACAAACTGGTTTCTTATGGTTGAAATCGAAATGACACCAGACGGAAGGTGAGTTTATAAAGTATCGGATCTAATTGTACATCGAAGAAACATATTTTTTACAATACCACTCATGCAACTGAGAGTGTCAGACCAAGATTAACGTTATCGCTTTTGGCTGTCTGCAGACCCGATGTTGTTCTGCATCATGTGAGTTTGCTTCTATCAAGTCAGAACTGTTCCATAGGAGGGAAATCATCAGTTTTGAAGTCACACTCTTTTGGAGACAAACGTGCGACCCTTGTTGTATGTATACCATATCACGAGTTTTCTCTACGTCCTCGTCTTCCATTCAATATCTCCGTTAGAGCCAAGTTGCCTCCAGGTCACGAATCTGTCCGTACGTCTGAAAGCTGTGATCCTGCGAGGCGAACGTCTGGAGATGTATATACACAGTGGCTTGGAAGCTCTGAGGTTGTCTATCTCACTTCAGCACCAACTCTCAAGCCCAAGGAAGCGTGTACATTATTAGAACAAGGTTTACATCATTTCGAACGACCATGTGTATATACTCGTTTATTTTTTGTAATTGTTCACAATTATACCGTCCATTGCTATAATGTAACATAGGAAGTTGATTTGACACTTTGCACTTGCCTATTGTCAATTGTGGCGAACAACAGTTGGAGAGCAGGTGCAGTTCGTGATTGGAGCCAAAAGTGAAGAACATTTACTGCAGCTGTCGGCGTATATGCAATCAGCTCTTCGCATGCACGAGCTCCCTGATGATAAGCAAGAGCGTGAAAACACTCTGGTTAGGGTTTCTGTCGTATTGTTCTTGCTTCTTCCTTCATGTGCATGCTGTTCGTTGACTTACTTGCTAGGAGTGACTCTTTCAAATGGGAGAGGCTCAGTGCACACTGTCGAGTCGGGATTTGTTGAGTCGAAATCAGTGAATGTAGTTAAATACTTATTATTACTGTCTGACATTGACTGTATCTGTGATTCTCACAGAGATGGTTCAACTTGTGCTCAGCTGATGGACATGGACCGTATGTAGCAAATTTATGCTTCTCGGGACTTCATGGCATCATTAGACTGAGATCTGTTGATGCTGACCTGTTGGCAGGACTTGAACAAACCTCAGTTGAACTCTTTACTCAACATCATATCCTCCTTATGTGATAATACAATAATACCTGTGTCATTCTTTGATCTTCTTTCAGTATTTGACTTATACGAATGCATCCCTTATTTTCTTCGTTGTTTCTCCTCTGCAATCGTCAGGTTTTCAGAAACTAGAAGTACCTTTTGTGACACTTTCAATCGTCTTTTGTCAAACTTGACCAAGGTTTACGATACGAGATTCTTTCCAGGATTATTCCTCATGAAGCGTTGGAGAAATTGGACAGTTTTATCAAGACATTACGAAAACATTTGGCTGTGCAGAACTCATTGATGCAAAGAGGCCATGAGAGTTCAAGTAAGGAAAGCCGATTGGTAGCTCTAAAGCTTGATAGAGCAGTCGATGAAAGGTTCTCTGAGATATGGGCTTCACTAATATAAATTCTGTAGTGTATTAGTCCTCCGTAGGTTGAGTCTCAATAATCAGCTGAAACATTGATTGGACTAATAGTAAAGAAATGTGAAACATCTTTTGTGTGTACAACGATGCGATTTTGCTTGAAATATTTCTGTTTCCGTCATGGACCGTATAAGGTTCCATATCTTCTAGATCACCAAACGTTGGAGGTGCCAGAGCACAAGATCCGAGGAGGAGGCATAAATCAAAGCCGTGTGATGTGAGTGGAATCATCTTTTACAGCAGTGATGACATGAAAAATTGTCTCTTATTTTCATCGAAGTCTACTTTTCGGTCGCATCAGCGGTCAGACTCTGCGAATTAAGTTAATTACCGAAGAGCGCTTTGAAGTAAAAGCGCTTACCCAAGGCTCCTAAGTACGTACGTGTCCCTGTTAACCAGACTTCATGAAGCATCATCGTCGATACCAAGACCAGCACTCATTCGCATGGGAAGACAAGACCTCTTTTATACAGGGAACCGAACACTCCTCACTGAAACCATCACGACGGAACTCCGATCGATCAGACTGCGATCGTAGAGTCCGTGCATGTAGTCGTCCTGCTCATTCTCGTTTGCGATTGGTGGTTGATTATGGATATTTTTTTTATCTCAATTATAAACATAGCATTTTACAACTTGTTTTCGAACTTAGATCAGAAGGTAATTTAGTTCCCTACGCACAATGACAATGTGCCGGAGAACTTTCATTCTTAATACATGGTTTTGATGGAGGAAATTACTTGATGGAACCCGGGAAACTCAAAACACTTGATGGGACCGAACAGGTTTCATTTTACCCTATGGATCCCATCGACGGCCCTGCAGCCCACCGTCATCGCAAGACCATATCCGGGTAATTCAGACGGCCTGTAGCTCACCGTCATCATTTTACCCTATGGACCCCATCGACGGCCCTGCAGCCCACCGTCACCGCAAGACCATATCCGGGTAATCCAGACGGCCTGTAGCTCACCGTCATCGCAAGACCATATCAGGAATAATTCAGATGGTCATTGATGTTCCAATACTATCTGGGGTTATTTCGAGTAGAACAGGAAGTCACCCCGAGACCATATTTGGAGTAATTCATGGTGTCCGTCGTTTTCTTAAACATGGCTGCGAAGTAGTAGCCAAAATACTCTGGCCCGACAGTGGCGGACACTCCCCACTCTTTAGGGCAAATCAGTAGGTTGTAAGAAAATGGGTTACGGTGGCCGTCAAATGGGGTCCCTCCGGTAAAATGAAACGTGATGGGTCAAGACGATTGAGTTTCCAAGTAATTTCTTTAATTTCATTCGTAAGACATGGTTTCGATAAGAAAGGGTGTTTGAAATGAAGTGCGAACCGAACAAAACTTCCAAATGTGTTACTGTACTTTAGCTAAGCATACTTACACACGATGATTTATGAATAAATTTGTACAGATTAAAGGAATTATTCAATTCTGTTACAACGTAAGAACTTATTTTATGTGTTAGATTTATAATTGGAACCTAATTTTTTTATATATATATTTTTTGTGTTAGTCAAGGTGAATTTATTTTTTCACAATATTACATTGTTAATCAACACAACAAGGAGAAATCAGCAAACAAAATGAAAATGGTCAGAAATCTCTGTCATTAAGCATTCAATGAACTCGTTTAAATAATCTCAAGATTGACGATATGGCAAGTAAAAACGTTCGAATGATTTAAAAAAATTGGCCTGGAGATTGAAACATTAAGATTTATAGTGGATAATGACTACTGGTTCAAAAAATTACAATAAATCTCCTTCTCGTTATTCTTCTGATCATTAATTAATTATTGATATCTAAGTTTTATTCATAATAATGGATGAAATTTGAATGTGTTTTGAATGAAAATGAAAATAAATAAAATAAGAAAGAATTTAAGACTAAAGATCGTTTTGTTTCAAAGTTTAAAGTGATTACATAACAGTTGAGAGTAGATTTGATTATGATTTTTGAATGCTATGAGTCTGAGAAGATCACTCATCAGACCTCACCTCGAAAACTAAACAATTGCAAGTTTGGTACCGATCGAATCAGTCCGGACCGCGTACAAGCCAAAGGTGCAACTCTGAATTCCTGGTCACCGGAGTCAACTTCATGCAAAGAAGGAAAAGTTTGAGCACACCTTTCGCACACAACCCAAGGTCAACTAGAACAGAGTCGAAGATCAATCCTTTAATTCAACATCGCTAAGTCGTCACGGGGTCACCAATTTGGCTTTATTAAGGCCATCGAGTGGGTAACTGTGGTCCAATAAACCAGAGAGAGTACTAAATCCAATGACGTTGGGCTTGAGAACTTCCGTTCCACGGCTGTACACTTGGGGCGTTACCAAGAGAGCCGGTGGGGAGAGCGTGTCGACGTGGGACCGGCAGCGGCTGCGCTCGCGAGAGTGAGAGCGGTGAGCGAATTGAATCGAGCTGCTGTCGAATCGCGAGAGTGGCCGCAGGAGTGGTCGATGTGAGAGCGAGCGAGCGAGCGAGCGGAGGAAGCATCGAGGCGGTGCGGTCTGTGAGCTCGGGCGCTTCGAGCGGCCGGAGATGAGGGTGAAATTCGTGCAATGTCAGGAACTTCGTTTTGTTTCGGGCGGAGAAGAATCGTCACGAGGAGGAATAGAGGGAACTGAATTTTGCAGGTGCCTGTGGGTGGCGGTGTCCGTCCGGGCTCGTAGGGATTTTGATGCCCGTCGGACTTGCCATTGACAGGCTCTTCTTTCTTCTGCGCTCGGTCGCTCTGTGGGCTAAACCCTTGTAAAGCCCTTTTCTTTTTTCGAGCAGGGACAGAAAGATGACGGATTCCGAAGCTGAGTCGAACGAGGTGGTCGCTGTGGTGGAGTGTTCGAGCGCTCTCACCGCTAATGGGGATGATTCTGAAGCAGCAGCAGTGGTTTCACCTCCTAGACCAGCACTGCATTTACCAGGAACTCTGAACCTCTTGCGTCCTCGTATGTCACCTGATCAAGTTCCAGGCTTTAAGGTTCCTCGTTTTAGCAGCAAGAACCCTCCCCCCGCTCGGAAGCCTGAACCTGCGATTTCGACAAAACCTCCTTCGAATGACGAAGCTATATTCGAATTGGATCGACTTGCCGCGTTGATAAATCCTCCCGAACCGCAGGGAGCCGCAAGCGCATCGGCTGCTCTTCGCATTCTGAAACCTAAAAGAAAGGACGTCATTTGGCCTCCCCCTCCAAAAGGCATTCAGGAGTCACAATCAGAGGCAAAACTTAAAGGTAATTTCGCATGGAAGAAAAAGCAGGTGGCTGCAAAATCGCAGAAAGATTTTGAAGGTATACTCGCAGTAATCAATGAATACAAGCTGAAGATTGGAGAGCCTTTATTCCCACCCGATGTGTTTGCGGGTGTACGCAAAGTTGAGGAGGAGAGGAAGAAGAGACTCGAAGCGATATATGCCAATTATAATCCCTCCTCACTGGCTGAACCCTCTGGATGTGCAGAAGGTCCGGCTTCAAGCGAAACAGGAGTTGATGACGGCATTGCCACTGAAGTGAAGCTGGATGCTGTTGAATTTGTGAACAGAGACAGGGACGATGGAAGTCAAGAGAACCCAATACCAAGCGGCCCGGCCATAGTTTCTGAAGTTACAGGAACTAATCTCACAAACAAACCAGGGGTTGAAGCTGACATAAGAGGCGAAGGCAATTCATCTGCCACTGATCATATCATTGTCGATAGGGTCGATGGCAGTAGTGAACATGGGATGGCTGCTGGAATTCCTGTTACAGGTCAAGCAGGAGCTGAAGGTGGCACCGCTTCAGAAAGTAAGTCAGCTGGTGATCGTGCTAGTTCGGGAGGTCCTCAGTACGCGAAGCCATCTTGGGGTGCACCCCCGGGCCACCCATTTTCATTGGAAGTTTTGAAAGAGGGCATCAGTCTCGGAATAGTTGACGTGTAAGTCTTTGTCTCATTTTTATTTTCAAACCTCTATCTATTGCGATTAAGAGGATCTTACCAAGAGGCTTGAGCTGAAACACAACCATCTTTTTGCCGGAGTCGTACACCAAGATATTAGGATATTTGCTCCAGAGTTTGAAATTCAATATTCAATGTATAACTATAGTGAACCTATTGTTTCCTCGTTATTTTTTTTGGATGTGCAGCTCTGAGAAAGCAGCATATATGTTTGGAAGAAGTGATCGCTGTGATTTTGTCTTGGAGCACCCAACGGTTTCCCGGTATCATGCAGGTAACTCTCTAACTTTGGCACCTCTCTTGCTGAAGGAGAAACAAAACCAGTGAGTACTGGCAAACAATCACAGGCTTACCAGAGCTGAACTTCCCCGAAACCTTGTGATACACAGATCTTGCCACTATCGAAGATTGAACTCATTTTTTTCCACATGTGGTTGAGACATGCAGTTTTGCAGTACAATGCCAAAGGGCAAGCTTTTATATTTGACATGGCTAGTACTCACGGCACCTTTATCAACAAACGACAGGTAAATTGTCAAAGTTATTTATGAATTTGTATTTCGAGGTAGATATAGCCATAGAATGCGATTGTACCCCTTGATAATACGCTCCAGTAGATATCATAATGTTCCTGAGTATAATATTCTGATCAGTCAACATGGTTACTCTCGTGTACTGTTGCTTTTGCTCAATAAATTGGTACTATCCTTCGTACATTAGAATACTCTGCAAGTTTTCAACAATATTGGACCCTAATACTGCTTACAGGTCTAAACAGCGTTATAATGTACATGTAAACCTCACAGGTGAAGGGACAAGCTTACGAAAAACTGAATGTGGGTGATATTGTCCGATTTGGCTAGTAAGTTACTCTCGGGTCTTCGAACCAATTGTTTTGAACCAGGCTGACGATAAGTGTTTCTAATTATTGGGTTTTCTTTGCAAGGACTGTCGTAGGAATATGCATTCAGATTTGCTTTCAAAACGGTGATATTTTTATCTCACGCTACTTTTGCTTGCTTTACTTTGGCAGCTCAACTCGCCTGCATCACTTCCAAGGACCAACCGAGTTTATGCCTGAGGTTATCTCTCCTTTCAAGCTGTTCAATAAGCATTCTTCTACAGTAGTCGTGAATGTTGTCATGCTTAGCTCGAAAACATCCAGACTCACCTCCTACTTCGACCTCATTAGTTAACGTTCTGACGTATTCCTAGAGCTGACTTTTTTCTTTTGATCCACATCAATAGGAAGGTTTGTCTAAAGCGGAACGTCGCGCGGTCAGACTTCTTGAAGCAGCTCAGGAAAGAGCAGAAAGAGAACAATCAATTTTGCGGGCGAAGAGAAACGCTTCCTCAGCTGATGGCGCAACATGGGGAATGCAAGAAGATGCGGAGGAAGAGGAGGAAGAGGTGAGTCCCACCCACCGTTCATGGTGAATACCCTAGTACAGTGAAGATGAAAGTATGTACGTGTTGGATCACACATACTTCAACATAGTGAAGTCTTGTGTCTTGTGTGAAAGCCTTTGAGGGATCAGATATGTACCGAAGTTTTATCTATGGTATTGGCCTCGTTGACATGAATAACTAATTTTAGAGTGCGAGAAATGGAAGACATTGAACGATTCACATTTCACGCTTGTAAGCCATCAAAAGCTGTGCTTCGAAGAGTGTCTTAAATCCCTCAACTTGAGGTTACCTGTGGGTTTACACCAAAATTGGCTGGCCATGTGTGCAAGTAGATGACTGGAAACACAGGGAAGACCTTCGGATAGAATATGTTGGATAGAGTTCAAAAGAAGTGGACGATTAAGTTCAAATCTTGTTCTCTGATACAGGAAGATACGGAGGAAATTACATGGCAAACGTTCAAGGGGGAGCTGACGGAGAAGCAACAGAAGACACTTGAGAAGGTTCATAAACGGAACGAGAAGGTGATAACCAAAGTTTTTACCTTACTCCCAGTTTGCAGGCTTGGTAGTTCCCCTCTTGTGGAAGATGGATCTCAAATATAAAATGAAGTGCCGATCGTAGTCTTATTCACAATCTAAGTTCAAATATCATCGAATGTTCAGCTTGCAAATTTGAAAAAGGAGAACGATGCCATACAAGCTAAAGAGATTTCCCAAGGAGGCCTTACTCAAGGGCAACAGACACAGATTGCCCGGAACGAACAACGCATGACGCAGGTTAGACATTTTGAACTGTTCCACTATCTGATGGTTCTGTGGAGGCAGGTTGCTAAGAAGTATACTTGTTTGTCTGGGATCAATGTTCAATGTTTTTGTTTATAATTGGCTGTCTGACATTTATCTTCTCCGTTCCAGTGGAGAAACTGAATGTAGAATCCTATCTATGGATATGTATGATATGATCGTTGGTCAATGATACCTATGCAGCTTGTCGAGGAGCTCGAGAATATGGAGGAGACCTTGAATGAAAGTATACGGGAGGCTATAAGTGGTAGGTCTGGGACAAAACGAGGAGGAAAGAAGTCCCTCCAGAATGAAGACGAGGACGAAGATCTCAGGTAACTTTAAGGTTTGATATAAAACATACTGATTCTCAGTTCGTTGGATTGGACAAAGTTCATTTCAAGTAAGTCTGGATTTTAGATAAAATGTGGTCAGGAGACCGGTACATCCGCGATCACCTCCGCCTTCCACTCTTTGCACTGCCCTGGACATGTCTTTTTTTGGTTGTGTTGATAGTTATCGGTAATGACATGCTGGAGTTTGTTTTGGAGCTCTTTATTTGGGCTACCTCAATACGGACTTGTTCAGTTTTACTTGGCTTCCATTTTTTCCCACAATGAGTATGGCGGTGGAAGTATGATGGTTCTTTTAATTTAAATCTCCGTCTACTGGTTGCCTTATACGCAGTGACGACGAGTTCTACGATCGTGCGAGCAAATTGAATGCACGCAAAAAGAAGGAAGCCAGTCAAGTAGTAGAGACTGCAGAAACGCTTCTCGACAAGAAGTCATCTCTTAGTAAAGAGATCGAAAGTGTTCGATTGTTGATGAAAGCGGAGGAGGAGCAGGACAAGCAAAATGGGGCTAAGATGGAAATTGAAAGTGATGACCCTCTCGATCAGTTCATGACAAATATATCAACCGCTATAGGTGCGTTTCTTTCTTTTCTCTACAGGTGATAAGAATAGCTTTTTGTTTGAGGCTTGGATCGGGTTTTATTGATTTTCGAGAATCGGAGCCGCCGGGCTAAATAGCACACTCGGAGCAATCTGAGAGAAGACGAGATTGAACAGAGCTTGTGATTTATTTAAGCGTTTTGGAAGGAGAATGATAGCTCTTATTGAGGTTTTTATTTTGAAAAGCTTTAACTTATGGAATTAATACTGCGTATGGAATTTGCAGTGCAAGACAGAACTGCACGACTTCAAAAGGAATTAAACTCACTCACTAAAGAGTCTGAGCGAGTTGTGCGCCTTCTGAAGATTGCCGATCCAGCGGGAGAGGCCTTGAGGAAATGGGAAGTCAAACAAAGTCCTGAGTCAGTGACAGCAACAGCGGATCTCGCTCATAAGATAGACAAAAGAATCTTCCCGAGGAAAGATGAAGCAAAAGATCTCGCCTCATCAATCGACAGGGAGAAGGACGGAGAAAAAGATAGGGAAGCCCAGGGGGGGACATCGGATACCAAAGAGGATGGCTCATCTGAGAAGACCTTAGACCTTCGGCCCTTGGATCCTCCTATCCGGCTCGGGGCTCCTGTCACACAAGAAAAATCTGAAGACAAAGCAGTTGAATTTCATCACAGGGAGACCGATGGGACCGCTGAATTCATTCCTTACAAAGGGAGAAAAAAAGATAGAACTGAAAGCAGCACTAACAAAACCACATCGGAGAAAGCAGGGAATGGTGCCGCGCTCGCAGCTGAGAAGAGAGAAGAGGAAGCGAATGGAGTGGATGCTGATGTTGCCAGCTCGGTTGAATTGCTCCTCAAGCATAAACGGGGCCTATCTGAAGGTGGTACGGATGAGTTGACTCAAATTGCCACGGAGTCGTCGCAAAATCCTAAGAAGAGAAAGAAGAAAACTTATGGGCCTTCAAAGCCTTCTTATATGACGATTGCAGAGGAGGAAGAGATCTGGGTGCCTCCAGCAGGTATGCATATATCTGAACGTACTCGCTGGCCTATATAACGGATACATTTCTGGTCGATAACATCTGGATCAAGAGAATGAATTTGGGCTGGTTTAGAAAGCAATAACCAACTGTCCCTGCAAGTTAAACCTTTACATCTGGATCGGCTCTTGCGCATAAATCAATGAGCTTTCACTCTGTTTAGCGAGGCTGACAGTTAACTTCTGATAACTTTCTCTAGGGAATCTGACTTTTGTGGTTATGATTTTGATGTTCGTCAGCGTCTTTGGATATCGAAGATGGAGATAATTGTCTTATCACCAGTTCCACCACTGCACCTGTACCATCATTCGAAGTTACTGATATTAGTATACTTGTCTTAATCGCGCAGGGCAAACTGGAGACGGAAGAACTGCTCTCAATGAGAAGTACGGTTACTAGGCTCGGGATCATCAAGTAAAATAGTGCTGCTCACTTGCATCAGATTTTTCGGTCGGTTCAGTCCAAAATGGTGAGGTCAGTAGGGGACGGTGCAGTCAGGTTGGATCTTGACGGCATTGCATTGTACCGGATGTGATTTCCTCCGTAATTGACTGGAAAAAGAACATGCACACATGCTGTACATATCTGTCACATGGATGATCGTTCTAAGATGAAATGCATACCATGGATAGCCACGTTGGTAGTATCTACGAAATTAACTTCGGACTGCGTGGGGTTTGTGGCCTATAGTGGACTTATTCTTCTAGCTTGCATTTGGGTGGGCATTTAGTTAGATCATGCTAGTCTTCATACAACACTTTGTGGAATTCATATCTCAATAATCTAGAGAGAAAACTATTTGAGCAAGCATAGACAACCAGCTGGAAAAGCGCTGGCCAAAGGAGAACTATTTGTGAGCTATCTCTCGGCATTTCGTTACTGTTGGATAGTTGCAGGAAAGCTGCCTTTCAACTCTTGTTGAAGATCTCCTAGGGTTGCAAATTTGCACCCTTTTGAAACTGTCATGAACATCCAATTACTCGAGAATAAGGGGGTAGAGGCTTTTCGCTAGTAAATTCTCTTTATATGAGACTCTTTGTCTCATGATTGACGTTTCTCCTTTAGCTTTCAGGAGATTGTCCTTGAGGACAATACATTTTATTTTATTACAAAAGAGTCGTCCGTTTTCATCCGTTTTCAATCCTTCTTAGCAAATCTATTTCGACCTTACAGCGCAATTCCTGAATATAAGACCCGTACTCTTCAGATACTCTACTTATACTGCCCTTTGATAGAGACACGTCCATTTTTTCGAGTTTTTACCTGATGGACTATAAGCATGGATTTCGTGGGATTTGAAAAAAATAAATCTCCCTGTCTGAAGTGAACCCGAAAGGGTAGTGTAGAAAACTCCTTGTTGGTCAAGCATGTGGCCCTTAATGAGCACATACACGTGCGACAACTTCTCAAATTGTTCAGCTTTGTTGAAAGAATAGAATCGATAGGAAAACACTAACACGCAGTAAGGAATCTTGACTGCAGTGCGACCTGTTTTCTTTTAAAGTTCTGTTTGTGGCTTGAGCCTTTGAAGAGAGTCGGGCACCTCACATCATTATGGTTGAAGAATTTTCGCCAGGATCTTAGATATTTAGTGAAGGCGTGTAGGAAACCTCAAAGAACATCAGCTTTTGAATCTCTAGAATATTACCAAACGCCCATTTCAACCTCAGCTAAGTCTCGTCTAGCATTTGCATGTTGGGCAACTCATACACCCACATTTGTGAGAGGGAGCACGAATGTCTTGTCTTTTGTAAAGTGGGCTCCAAATGATGTACCAAAAAGGCTGCGAAGACCCACCATATGGGTTATACAGAGTGAGCTTCCAAAAGCAATCAAACTCTTTATATAGCAACCGAATAAATTTGGAATTATCTAATTCATTTCTTATGGACGAGACTAGTTACTTCCATATGCAAATCATTACATACTACCCTTGTGTTCTTTCCATCCACAGATTTATACCACATTTCACTTTGAGCGGTAAACACTATTCTAACCAAAGTGGAACAGTATTCACGGAGGGGCAAAATATGTTTCATGCTTGTCACTTCGTGGAGCGTTTCCTCGCGTATTCAATAAGTTATATGCGACATCACTAAACTAAAATTCTATCAATCATCATTTGTGGCTTCATAATGATTATCAATGCTTTAGCATGATAATCATGATATCGAGTGATAATGGATTTCTTGGAAGATCATTATTATTTGATACTATAATGTGAAAATCCAATTTTTACAAGAAATTTCTAGTCAATTTGGATGCATATTTATATGAGGGAGATAACATAATTTAAAGAATTTTTAAGAAATATATATATCAAGGTTCATTCTCGCAAGTTGAGATTTCTGGGTAGAATTTTTGCTACCAAGAAATTTTTATGAAGTGTTCAATACTCCTCAAACTAAAACTAGCTACTAATCTTCTAACTTTGCATCACATGGATCTGCAGAGGAGAGGTAGAACATCTACAATATTATAAACTGACTTGACATAATTTATTTCAACCTGATTTGAGAAGTGATTTTTAATTCGACATCCAATTCACGCCAAATCTCAGTACTTTTGGGAGAACAAGAAAACAAGCATACTGAAAAATTCCAAACTTGTACGTACTTTCCAATTCTATGGTGATTTCTGGCTCAAGTCTACCTGATAACTGTAAAATAACGGTGCGGTGACGAGGTAGGATATGTGAGAATAGTCCCTTTTTACTATTACTTTCTTTTGCCTTCTCTTGCCGACCGAGCTCATAAACTTTTGAAACACTTTTCATAAACCTTTTCAGATGTTTCATATTTACTATCCCTAAGACAACGCCAACCCCTTTTGACAAGCCGATCGTCCGGAAATGTTCCTTTCTAAGGAACTTGCACCGCCCTTTCGCACTGCCACTCAGATTCGAGAAGAGCGAAAAGAAAAAAGGGCAACGCATGGCGAAAATGGAAGAGATGAAAAGCAAATTGGAGTTGACTCTAAAATCATGACTCTACGGAAGTAGTTCGGGAGAGGCTGGAATGTAGGTCCTCCTCCCTCAGCTGTAAAACAGATCCAAACAGATGTTTGGCTGAGGATGTGTATAGTGTTTATAGGCTCATGATTCACGAGGCTTTCATTACCCTATTTCTCCGCATTTCCACACTTGATTTGTGGAGTGCTTTTTTTTTCTTGGGAACTGATTGCAGGATTTGGTCCCAGCAGTGCACGACATTCATGCCTGTAAAATCTGGTTCAAAGCGTCGAATCAATCTGCATCAATGGTTTCTTATCAACAGTGCAAGACTGTCCTTAAACTAAAGATTTGGGGGCAAATTGAGAGTTGAGGACATAATAAAACAACAAACAGTGTGGGAATGCCCCCATCAAGTTTTACAACTATGAAAGAAACGGGTAACTTCAAAACTTATATGCTCATCCCTTGGAGACCTTGGGAAGTGTGGCTCCACTTACCAAGAGCAGAATGGAAGATCACCTCATACTCCTCTCACCTCCTAGTGTCACGCGTACTCTTTTTTGCCATAAAACATGGTATACTTAAACAATCATGGGTCTGATCTGATTCTATTCAGTTACAAGTCATGCCAACACTACCTTCCTTTTGTAAATTATACATACTTTCACGTCATGTCGAACACCACATCACTGCAAAGTATCATCATAAATAGCTACAATCTACCTTTTAATTGCTTAAGGAATCATATAAACACTGGTTGCATCCAAAGTGATATCATTGTGAAATTTTAGGATGTTAATAATTGAAGCAGGCTAAGACATAAATTCATCACTAGGATGAAAGAATTTGGTGAGAGTATAAAAGTCACGGCGCATCGCAGAGCAAATTGGAACTTGTTGGGTAAAAAAGACCATGTAGGTCTAATATTTAAAGTATTGAACACAACTGAAGGTTATCAAAATCAATCAGAAACATCGCGAGGTGAAAAAAAATACAAACTTCACATTGTAATTTTATCTTGTAAAGCATTTCCAGATTATCTTTGATCATAATCTGGAAAGTTAAGAGTGAAGTAAAAACAATGTTATGGATTTAATAATGAATTTTGATAATAAACATCATCCCAAATCAAATATGAAAAATTTATTATGTAAATTTAGTCATAATAACTCATGATATAATCCTTTATATTATATTATCAATTTTTCTCGATGCTTCTCTTCTCAAATATTATCAATCATGTTACGAATGTAGATGAAGTAAATAATGTGAACCAAATTTAATGAGTTGAATAACAGTAGTGATTAAGTCTATGTTTTGATCCGCTCTTACCCGTTAATTATTAAATGATGATAATATACATGCAAAACATTGTTGGCTAATTCCATGTCTATTTGTCATGAAATAAAGTCCTTGAACTATGCTTATTCCGTTACAATGAATATATCAATTATATTTGTCATAAATCTTTCTTAATGATTGAAGTTCAGGTGGAATAATTTAAGTAAAATCTAAAAATCTAGTATTACATTTCAACTAACCATAAAGTAAGTAAACTTGCTATGCAATAAAAATATGTTCCATGTCATCTAGAGGACATTACTTGACGGTATCTCTCATAAACACAAGTAGGTTAGTGGAACCCAAGAAGTATTGATATACGCGATGGTACACCACCGACTGCACACCCTCAACTATTTTCTAATCTAGAATGACTTATAGAGTGTGTGCAGCGAGACGAGATCACAGTTGTTTACAGATGGAGGTGGTCAGTCTGTAAATTGAGCTTCCATGAGCTTGATTATGGTCAAGGAACCGAATTCCCACTGCAAGCTTCCAGGAGCTCGCAGTGGTAAATCGGTTACTTGACCATAATCTCAAGTCGATAACAAAATGGATGTGTCATGCGTCAAAAAATTGAAAGAGCCGAGATACAATCTCGAGGAAACGAATGTGTGATGCATCAAAAAACCAGGAGAGCCAAGAGACATTCTCCAGGATTGATTGATAGATCGACTTCAGGGCAAACCAACAAGAACGTCGCAGGCATCAAGTTTTAGAACCGGTCACTTTGGAGATGGAGGCACTAGGTGATATTGCGAGTAGCAGATAGGGCGAGCTGCAGTCACTCTTCCACACTAAAGCTCACATTCATATCATGAACTTTGTTCATAATATGGGTGACGGTGTGTCGATAGTGGGGTCACATCGGGTAGAACTTTACTTGTTATATCTCATTAAGTTATTTGTATTGCGCTTTCTCTTTCATCACAATATAAGGTATGATAATCAAAGAGTAGATAAGAGAGTTGTATAATTACTTATGTAAATTGAAAACTATCTAACTTATCGTGTGATTAAATACACATTATACTTATCGTGTAACATGATAAACACATGATTGTGAAAATAATAGGAGAAAAAATACAAAAATCACCTTGGCCTGATACATATTTCAAAATTTTGTAGATTCGTTTGTGTGTGAAAACATATTAGATTCAGATTTTTATCATATAGCTTAGTGCCTTTTCAAGGGTGAAAAATATTTACACATGGAATCATAAGTTGGTAAATCCAGTAGGAAACTATGCTTAGGCTAGAACTATAATGATTTGATTAACCAGAGTATGTTAATGTTGGTTACTAAAATGAGATAGAGTATTGGGTCATGATTTTATATCTTCTCGTATGTATGTGTATATATATATATATATATATATATATATATTATTTATTTATTTATGATACGAGAAGCCGGAGAAAACCACGGATTAACAACTCTAAGTCTACAGAAACAATAAGATATTTCCTTATATAAGAAGTGATTAATAAATATGTGAACTTAGAGTTGTATGGAACCATGAACTTCAAGTTCAACATATTTGTGAAATGATTTTCATATTATGATTTTCATGAGATTATCATATTAGTCTATGTAAATATCATAATATTACTTAAAATATTCGGTTCAAAATTTTTCATTGTTCTGTAGAAAGCAATAGCTAATGTTATCCGGAGTAATTCAAATCACATTCGAAGATGCTTCTCCACATGCTTTCTCATATTCGTACGTGGTTCTGCATATGCTCACGTTATTTGTAAATAGGTTGACCCACATGGTTGGAATATCTCAAGTGATGATCTTATGTACATGTATCGAAGTGTGATGGTATTGAAATCTAGCCAAATGTCAAAGTGTTCAGTGTCATGAGATTCCCGTAAGATTTGCTTGATTAGTCGTCGGCCCTCGGGCATTATCGGCGAACATGAAAATAGATCGTGTCTTCTTTGCCGGTATCTGGTCTTGACCTGCTTCGGTTCGATGGACTTTTGTTTCTTGACTTGCCGACACGGCAATGTGGCACCCCGCGTGGAGGCTAAGATTTTCAAGTGGGCTTCCATTTCTCTAGATCGCCGGCATCACCATTCTAAATATGACGAGTTGACAGCGGCCGAGGGGATAGGCGACCGATGTCGCAAGAAGAAGGGAGTGCGATGTGTGTTTTGACGTCTGATGCCTGCTTGTCTAGCTGCGTACGCAATGCAGTGAGGGGGTACGGTGCGCACTCGGTTAATTTGCAAAAGCTTCGAATCGGTGCACGATGTAGTGGAACGATGTCGGAACACATGCATGTCTCTGTCTCGGATATCTAAATATACACAAGCAGCAGTAAAGAGCCTTAATTCACGCCCAGCGAGCCTACCAGTAAAGGCTCGGTATACATCATCCTCGACGACAGAACATTGACGATCTGCCAAATGAATGTCAGTGCATTACCCTGGCTAAGTCCTAATTTAGAACAAGCATCAACTAAAACTGCGAAACTCTCCTCCATGCCAAAGTTTGCATTTTATATCGTGAAAGCAAACCAATATGCATATTATGGATTTCAGTCTTTGTGGATCCTCATTCCTTGTGTACTCGGTAGTGATGCAAAATGGTCAGGTGACATAGATGTTCTGGCTAGCAAACCGAGCCAAGTGATAAGTGTCGCTCGTTTTTGCCGAAATGCAGGTATGGATACATGCGTAGAATTCATTTTACCAGGTACAGGATAGACCATCGATCCACTTTAATACAAACGCGGAAACAAACGGATTTTAAAGTCAACAAAAGTTTTAAATCAGTGAAGATTTATGACTTGAGCTCGACATTATTTAGAGAATAATAGGTATGTTTCAATAAAGATATATTTTCTCATGTTTATACTAATTTTGAAACTTTTATAATCAATTAATTATGACATAATTTTTTGAATACTTTTCTCACAAAGTGCTCTATACCTCATGAAGGTCTTTTAGCCTGAGATATAAACATATGTCGATTCAAGCTGTGCAACTGGCGAACAAATGGAACCAAAAGATAATGGCAGAACCATCAAGAGTGCTACAAATCAAAGGCAAAAGATTGATGCATGTCATTGGGTGGAAAACTCTGCAACTTCACTTTTCGTCGGTTTCATCGAACTTTCTATTCGTACTTTCAGAGGCTTACTTATTTAGCCTTCTCTACAAAATTGACTTGAGGTCAAGAGACACAGACAAGAAGAACTCTACTTCCGTATTATCCTATCTGGAGATTCCTCCGCTCAGTATATATCAACCATATTCGACAACTTTTAAATATTCGTCGATCTAAAAGGTCCAGAGCAACTTTGTAGCTGTTATTAAAATAGACGGTAAAGTCATGCTTTATAGCTTCTTTTAATGGATTATAGAAAGACATGGGCCCCAGTATCTGGCCGAGCCAGAAGAAAGAGGACCTCTTCGACCGCCTGTCCACTGACCGAACCGGAAATTGAAGCTGAACGGCATCCATCTCATAGGACCGGCAGAGAAGCGATCATTCTGATGGTCAGAGAAGAACAGCAAGTAAGAAGAAATTAAGATTTTTTAACAGGTTCGGAGCACAGAGGTAAATGGACAGCAAATGTCCCGTGGCGCCGCCTTGTGCTCCTAGCTCATGGGGGGACTAGCTGTTCCAGCCTTCGGTGCTTGATTCACTGCCTGCTACGAGTGGCAGGTCGAGTACAAAGTCGGTCCAGCCTCTGCATACGACATCGTGAATTACAATAACTAAAGGCCCGACTCGAGTCGTCGTCTTGTGCGATGCGACTTCGGACACTTGGATTTGGGCCGACTCTGATCAAATAAAAGGAAATTAAGTGAATTTCACTTTTGCTACTTCACTTCTTGTCGTCTATGTTATTGTGCACTGCAATACTGCATATACAGAACAGAACTGAGATACCTTTGAAGATCGCATCCACACTTGATTGACCGACGGTGCCCTTCTGTATTCTCCGAAGGCTACTTGCTGCTCTTCCAGTATATACTTCCCGACGCTCAGCTGAGCTACGGATGTGTTTTTAGAATGCTACTACAAACCCGATCCACTTTATTTGCCTCTGTCGAACTGTTTTGGTCGAAGAGGCTGTTCAACACAAGCCGCGAGCCGACAGGCGGCGGTGCCAGCTTGAGATTCTAAGTACTACTAGAAAAGCTTTCCCAAAAGAGCTTTAAGGGGAGAGAGAGTATGAGAGAGAGAGAGAGAGAGAGCTTGGATTCCTTCTCAGTTTCGAAACAAGTTGAGTGCTTTGTTTCCTGACGAGGTGCAGGGATATTTTTCTGAAGCCGGAGTGCGCAGCGCTTTTCTTTCCATTATGTGCGGGAGGGAAGATGACATTCTGCTGCTGCAAGGAGATTTAAAAACCGTTTCTAGCCTTTCTTGTTCACCCTTTAGCGAGATATGTAATTAGCAGAAGCAGATCCACAGATCCATCGACAAATTGTTCACTTGCAGAACAACGTGATCTATGCGGACAGACTTCGCTGCTTCAGCTGCTCTCACCCATCCCCTAGCTTCAGCGCCTGGATTTACTTCTGATTCGCGTTCTTCCTCCATACTCGTTATCATCATCCCTGCGCTTGTCCATCGAGCTGTCTTCGACTCCACTGTCGTCCAGGGCAAGCGCTGAACGCCTCGCGTCCATTCAGCACGAGTTATGGCGGTACTCCACCGACGCTCCTTGTGAATCCCGTAACAATCCGCCGACACGAAGCCGAGCTCGATCGTCCGGCGGACAGGCAGCATGCCGGAAGCATAAACAACGAATCTGTAGAGAGCTTCTCCAGGCGGGCAATGGCAGAAGTGCCAAAATTCTGAACAGTGGAGTCGAAATGAAGAACTCGCGCGAACACTCAACTCGGTTCGAGACGCAAGCCATCGCCATCGGAGACAAAGAAGACGACGAGGAAGCAGCAGCTTGACACGAAAACTCCAACCGAGCAGCAAGTGGGTCCTGAAACAGGAAAAAAAGAACACCAACTTCTCTTCCTCCTCCTGCTCCTGCTCGACGAATTGACGAGTCCTGCTCGACGCTCAGAGGCGGAAATGCTCGTCATGATGCTGAGACGGGCGAGAGTGCGAATCTCGACGAAGCGCAAGATGTGCCAGGTAGTGGACGAGAGCTCGCTGCCGGCGATGGTCGAGGCAGTGCAGAATCAAAATCAAGAAGCAGCGGGCGGGCGTCAGAACCGAGTCCTAAATCGAAACCTCAGGAACGGTAGGCGCGGGCCAGGAGCGGGTGTGGGAGCGGACGCGGCCAGGCTGACGGCGGCGCGGCGGAGGCGGAGCGTGCGCCTGGGCCAGGCCGCCAAGCTGCCGTTGAAAGTGTTGTGGTCGGTTTTGAAATTCATGTGCGTGTACGCGGACCGCCCCGTCGACCTCGTGCACGACGAGCTTCAGGACGACGCCACGCGCATGTGGTTCCGCATGAACCCCACGTACGAGGATCGCAGCTACCTCATGGTCCAGGACAGCGTCCGCTTCGGCTTGCTCATGTAGACCTCGACCCTCGACCCTCGACCCTCGACAGACAGACAGACAGACAGACAGAATGCAAGAGCGAGGGAGGGGCGCAGGAATGAGTCGAATGCGATTGGAGTGCCCGCAGGTGGGAGCGAATTTGGACGCAAATGGTGGATTTCGGATTTCTCGGCGGGCACGCGAGGATCGATCCCTTCCCTCGACATTTGAAAGCTCATCCGACATCGGAAAGAGGGCGATGTGGATTTGTTTTCGGCGTCGCATCACCGTCGTCATCGCCATAGGCCTGATTGGGCTTGCGAGAGGCGGGATTGCTCGGCCCTGTCTGTCTGGAGCTCGTCATCGGAGCTGAGTGGGAGCAGACGTGTATCTTCGGCCCGCGGCTTGGTGACTGATTATTGAACGCATGAGGACAGTGATGAGTTGAGGCAAGAGAGTTCTTATTTGTAAGCTGATTTACCTTGAGCGAAGTGGTGTCACATGTGAGCTGTGCTGTGGCGGAAACGTGCATCGTGTGGTCATACCAGAGTTTGCAGGACTCCTGTGAGCTTTTTGCCAGCAAAGAACTGCTGCTTGCACGAAGACGAAGGACTTCGTTTTACATAGATACCCTCTCAATAACCTCTCTCTTGTAGGCCCAAATGATCCCCAATCAATGTGGTTGCGTACTGGGATGACGGGCGATTTCTTTGGAAATTGTACATTTAAAAGAAAAGGTTTTCAATTTGAACCTGGTATGGATGTCTGTGTAATGCTGCCGTGTCAAGAGCTCTGAAGGTCGGCTTTGAATTGTACTCGCTAGCGTCCCGAGCTAAGTCTTCTGCAAGTGTGCACTCGATTCGACTCGTTCAAGTTACAACACGATTTTCCGAAGCGGGACGATGCGAAAACCGCTAAACTACAAAAGCACGACACATCCCGAGAATTACTGATGCATTTCGAACCGGGAATCATCTGTGAGGCGAGAACTATGCCATTTATCAAAGCATGGGACCTTCTTCTCTTGCGAAAAAATTTGTTGGGCTGAACGTCCGGAGTGGGTGGAACATAGTCATCAACTTGCAACGACCAGAGACAATAAGATACTCTTTCGAGAGTCCACCTGCTTCTGCGCACATCTCTTCTGCCTGATATGTTACGTTTCTATAAGCGAGCTTGAGAGTCATTTGTGGAGCATCAATTCAGCTTCGATTTTGGTGTTACCTTTAAAATCACCGGTATACTTACTCCTCGTAGTTTCTGCTCACCGTCCGCAGATCTTTTCTGCGTCAGACGTACGTGGCCATGTTTGAGTCATCATTGTTCACAAGTTAGATCACAAATTGCATAGATCTTTGTCCGAAGTGGAAAGTGTCTAAGCATTTATGAACGTTAAGTAAACGAATCATTTGCTCCACCACATGCTCGCCACATCGGGCCATCCAACAAACCCGCAAGGTGGAAATACTCGGCGACCTTTCCCCGGTTCAGAAGACGACTGGGGTATATGTGAAGACAGGAGTATATTTGAAGTATGTACACATGGGAAGGTATGTCTTCCTTTGCACTTACATTTGAGCTCTTGAGAAATAGAGCTATGCTGTTGGGTTAGTATAAAATACGATATGTCCACAGACTTCTATCGTTGTAGCTTCCTCGCTTGAGTGAATCCACCTCACCCCAAAATCGTACAAGGCTCTATGTGCTTTAGTCTGACAGTCCATCCTGGTGGAGTACTACCTGTTGGCCCAAGATCAACTCGTTAAGGGTCGTCTGCAAGCCTCTCTGGTCCCGGCAACGAAGAAGGATAAGGAAAGGGCCTGAACTCGTAGAGACCTGCCTCACAAGAAAAGCATTTGCTTTTGTCTGACGAAGGGTTGGACTTGCACTAGAAAAGGATAACAACAACTGCGGAGAATGAATACGAGCAGGACCCACATTCATTAGTTTCCAGCGAAGAATAGCTGTCTTCATGTGCCTGAACATGGTGGTCACCATAGCCGCGGATGTGGAACTCAAAGCAAAGAAGTGCATGGAGGTTCCACTAGGAAACATCACGGAGGCTAAGACGGGATCGGGGGATTGTGCTGAAATCTGGCTGTCGGTGCCAATAGCAGGACATGATTTCGATCAGATGTGGAAATGCGTTAGCAAGTGGAATAAGCTTGACTGTTAAAGAAGCACCGAAATTAAGGGAAGCCATGTCCGGTTCAGTTTGAGGCTTCAAGTCGAAAGCGCTTCACAATGAGTCTGGTTGGGGTCTCGGGACCCGACAAAGCGATTTTGTCTTGTTCGGGAGAATATGATTCGCAATTACCCAGTGAGGGCTTTAATGCGTTGGTAAACTTTATGGCAGTAGGACATACTTCCTACCGTGATGATGCTATTGGTGCCAAACCCCATCTTCCTCATTTGGTTTCATCCCTGTACTGCTTATGCGGTCTTACCTTCCTTTTTGCTTTAGTACTTGATATTTAATTTTTGGTCTTCTGTAGGGCAGGAGTAAATTATTAAAGATTATATTAAAGATTTACTAATAGATGTGTACTTATTCAATTAATTAAGATAAACCAACCAACCTGCAAATGCTGACTGATAAATCACGGAGATGCAGGACACATGAAACAAGGGCTCGAGGGAGGAGAAATGACAACAAAGAAGAGTATGAATACAGCCGACTTTGCCTTTACAACAAGCTGTACAAGACACTGGCATCTAAAAAGTAGTAACCAGTGCGCACTCTACATTACTTTCTTCCTGGATTACAACTACAGGGCGTGTCAGAAACTTATATTGTCTCTGAACCTTATCTATCAAAATTGAGCATCCCTAATACTATGGATGCGATTCTAAACGTGCTACTACTGTAGCTTTACGATCGACGCTATGAGAACTCCTACAAGACTGATCACGCTCCTAATGAATCTCGTCTTCGAGATTGCTGAGAGAACATCTACCATAAAGTGAGATCTAATCTCCAGCTTTTATATGAGACTATTAAGATCTTAAAAGTCTCTGGAGGTACCAGCTCCCTAATGCTGAAAGATCTCTAGCTTCACTCACGTAGGTGAATTTCTTCCTTGCGTCTGATATCTAGTAGCAATACATCGTACTACTCATCCAGACAGACATCAACTTTACAAGATATCTGTACAACGAAGGCACTTTCTCTCCATTATCCTTTGAACTAAGCTTCCAGGTTCAGGGACAAGTTTTGATGTAAGCGCGTTCCACAAGTGGAATGTGAAGGAGTCTTGAAGAATTTTCTCAAAAAAGTCGTCCTCTTCTCTGCGTGATATTTCATCCTCGGGTGCAACGAAGTATCTGCAAAATCGATCCTCGATTGATGAGTAATAAATTAGAAGGATCTCTATGTGCACCCAACTGACGCAAGGAGAACATTCAATTGACACAAAGGGAACACTGGGAGGTACCAGCACAACTGATCTAGGTCTCTAACGAAGATAGTGTGCTTATCATGATTCCACAGTTGATTGCTTTGATAAAGCTCATGTCCAGGCTAGAGAAGACATGCTCATGATCCTGTTTTCTCTTAACCTGATACTTCAAATTCTCGGGTGACTGATTCCGACTCTGAACACTTAATTCTACACTTTGCTTGTGCTGACAATCCTCGTAAAGCAAGAGAAAGGAGACATTGTAGTACACGAGGCAACATATGTAACAGTTGTATCAAAGTACCTGAAAATTTCTGCTGAACTCACTGGGAAAAAGACTGAAGGTCTTCTCAAACTAAAACTGTTGCGGACTTCAAGGCTCAGAGCACCGCTACCCAACAGTGGTGCATTCACCACCCTATCGACCAGAGCTGCGCCGTTCCACTGCTCCAGCTTCTCATCGTACGTAGCGGTGTACTCTAACATGCATGCGTTCAAGAAAGGACTGCGAAATAACACGAAAGAAACATCAGCCGTCAAATCTAACTGATCATATCAATCGTCTCAATATGTGTGTGAGTTGGTCACAGAGGAAAGTAACGTAGATTACAGAAACACACACCCACAAGCTCCAGAGGAAATAAGCTTGGGAAAACTATGACACCTTTACAGGTAAAAACTCTCATGTAGACCTACTGTACAAAATGTGTGCTTCATCGTGATAAAGAAGAGTTATGCGAAACCAATTCTGTAATGATATTGGAACAAAAAAACTTTCTCCTTCAATAATAATTTCACAATTTCTTGGTCTGAAACAGGCGGTCGGGATAACGCAGGCTAAACCGATTAGTACAGTTTAAAAAGGGTTTAAAATGAATACTGGTCATATAAAAGCCAGTAAACGTAAGAGTGGAAATAGTCATGTTAAAGGGGCCGAAGATCTGCGAGGACAATTTATGAAATTCCACTTACACTACTCAACAGCAGAGGAAGATAAGACAATGATGAACTTAAAAGGAAGAGAGCAAAAGTTCGTTCACGAATGCACAAATCCAAATACAAAAGTCATTACGCTTCAACACTAACCTGAATCTTTCAAAAAACATAGCTGCACCATTTGGGCGTGTGTGGCCATCTGGAAGTAGTTCACTTCCTAATGTATTGCGCAAACTGGTCAATGGTTTCAGTACTATCATATCCATGTCCAAGTATATTCCACCATATCTGATAACATCAAGACGACCATTTATGGATATTTCGTTAGTATGCTGCATCTGGTAGCAAAAATGTGCGGCTTTCAGAAACTTTATGACTTCACTTAATTATAATGGTAGCGTACCGCAAAATTTGAGAATTCAAGGTAAAATTGATGATCCCCGCATATCAATATATGATCACAGACGATAAAAACAGATGAACGTAATATGTTGTACGCGGTTAGCAGCCAATGAATGATTTCAACCTATTACACTTACTTATAAAGGGCAGCAAGCCGTAGCAACTCGGTGTAATGAAGGTAGAACAGGTCAACCTCCCGCCACTTTAAATAGATGGATGCGAAATCTTCACTTGGAGTGTCTTCCAATAGCTCCTGTAATTGGGGCATTGCAACTGCTATGCGGTACCTACACGACGTACATTGAGTACTCATCAATAACTAGTCTTCGCTGAGAAACGTCCACGTTCATATATGTATAAATGAATAACAGTTCGGCGAAGAAATATGCGCAGCATCGGTTGTTCGGCAAATGTAACATACCCATCTTGCACAAAACTCCTGAAAAAGTCGAGTTCAATGCTCTCGGAGAAAACCACCACACAAGCATCAGGGTGGAAACTGAGAAGACTCTCCAGGACTCGTTGATGTCTGATGGTGAATGACCACGGAGGTGTTGTCCAAGCCATGAAAACTCTCAAACCACATTTTTTATCAAAAAGAAACGCCTCCATGAATCTTGAGAAGGATAACTTCGGGTTAAGTCCAGGAAAATGGCCCCATCTCCTTGTATCAACATTTCCTTCTACTCGTTTCACTTTTCCACGGGAGACTGCTGTTTGGTGTTTTTTCTGACCAACTGTGATATCAAAGCTTTCATCAACCTTCTCAAATGACCCTTGCTCTTCATTCAACTGCTCGAAGGCTTTCTCGGGCTTGGTCTCACTAGTCTCCGGACGAATTTCCACCTCCGTACTGTCTAGCCTTTTGGGCTCTTTTTCAGTGGTTGTTATCTTATCTACGATCCCTTGAGCCTGAATCTCCACCTTCTTCGATTCACTCTCAACACGTCTCTGAATCAGAGTTTCCTCTTCAAAAAGAGAATCAGCTGCAAAATTTGTTCGTCTTTTCGCCTTCAGCAGCACTCTATCACTCTTTGTGAGCCCACTGCCTTCACTTGTATCAGGATCCTGCAACAGTGGGTTGTTTGCAGGATTAAGAGGATCGAAAACAGCTTTTCCCCCTTTATCTTTCTTTCCCGCCTCTTTATCAACAGCTTTCTTCAAACGCGCCTCCAAATTAGGATTTGTTTTTTTCTTGATCATCAAAACATCTTCAAAGTCCATCATGTTCTCAACACGTTCTAATATATCATCATCAACGGGTTCATCATCTGTACTAAATACTCCTCTGACTACATCAGAATCCTTGAAGTAGGTGGAGATCTTCGTATCTACGTCAGCCAGCTCCGCATTACCAGAACCTGACATGAGGTCTCCCTGTGAACCACCGTTTTTACGACCTCTCAGATATGTGTTGGAGCGAGTCTTATCTTTGAACGCTTGGCCAGTTTTTAAAAGAGCAACTGACTCATTTTCCTCCCCATCGACCTTCTTATTGTGCCGTGCAAGGGACTGTATCCATGAGGGCTCTGACTTACCACCAGAAACAGTGTCCTGCTTTACAAGACTGTTGGACTCCTCATTTGTTCCATCAGCAGCTTCCGCTTCCTTTGTAACTTGCTTATCTCCCTCCTGTTCTGACACAGCCTGTGAAATTTCCTTCCCTATTTGTTCCTGTCCTTCCTTTTGACTGCTACGAGTCTCAAGAATCTCCTTTCGAGACTGAGAATGTACACCTAGTTTCCTCTCTTCCAGTACTCTACTGTCTCTTCCTCCTTTCTCCCTCGTACTAGCCTTCCCAGCACTTTTGTCATCGGTATTCAGCATTTCGACTGAATTCTCTGAATTTCTCCCGGATTTCTTCCCAGTGAACTCGTCCACCTCGTTAAGCCATTCACCCACATCTCCACCGAAGCTCTCAAATTCATCCACATCTTCATCTTCCATGTCCATCTCCGTATCTAACTCCTCGAATCTCTCTCCTCCGTCTTCCTCGTCTTCGCTCTCCGACGATTCGTTCAACCTGCTCTCTGCCTCTAATTCGTCTTCGAAATTGGATTCCCCTTCACTGTCACCGACAACTCCTTCCATTTCTTCGTTGACCATACTTCTCCACTCACGTTCCAAATCTAGGCCTCTTTCTTCTCCTTCTCTCAAAAGCCTCATTTTTTCATGTTCCATGACATCCAAACTATAAGCAGAACGATTGTTCTTACCCAGCAAAGTCCCTGAGTCCTCCCCTCTCTTATCATCTTCGGCAAGGCGAAATTGCAGAAAGCAGACAGATCCCAAGAGTAAGAGGATTCCGGCTAGGATACAAATGTTAATTCTTCCATACCTTCCACAACCGGTACCAATCCAGCCTCTTCCACCCCGTCGGTAGCGTGGTTTAGACATTGTTAAACAAAAGCTAAGAAGGGAAAGGATTGTGGCCATTAGCAAGACTTGAATTTCACGATAGACATGGATGTGATTCTCCAATCTTCGTGAGTCTCAAGTCTGGCCCATTGAACTATGTACTTCCCGTGGTACATTTGTCATGCCTTGGACCTTTGTTCCTCTCAACAATCTACGTCAAATCGCTAGCACATAATTGACAACGTGATGCAAGATACTCAGCTGACTCCGTGTCAAATTCGCAGACACCTTCATCTTTGCCCAACGATTTGTGGTCAGCTGATATCTGACCTGGGACAATCTAACTTACGAGGCCAAGTTAGCGTTTGAAATCAAGTTGCGATGACTAAACTTGATACATGTTCTTCCTCAGTTCAAGGCAAAATCCTGCTCGTTCATTTCGACACAACTGTCCTCACATGCTTGAGCCAGACCCTCAGTACACAATTGATTTAAGGCTCCCACAGTTGAGTCATAGATCTCTCGTTGTATTAACGATGTACCCTGCAAAAAATAGAGAGAAGGGCAAAAGAAAAAAAGACTGTCAGGACTGCTAAGAAGGTCCAGATTAATGAAAACAAATTTGCAAGTCCGTATTCCTGCGCCTCAGCGAATCAACAGAAATTCCAAAGCTGGAGACGAGCTAGTAAGCATTTGCAACAAGGCCAGCAAACTCTGAACAGTAGAATTAAAAAGCTTGCTAGCCACTTTCACATATTCCAAAAGCGAAAGACCTTTTTCACAGTGTCTTCTTTCGAACGCACCGCGTGATCAGCAATCTCAAGCCTCTGGACTCCGTCTCAAACACGAAAAACTGGCCGAAATTCCTCTTCCAGAAATCAGTCTCTGAACAATTTTCCACGAGTTGCTTGAAGTCTGGTCATAAAATCACTCATTCGTCAAAGGTGACCACCACCATCTCGTCTTCCTCCCCTCCTCGTCCTCGTCGTCCTTCAAAACATGCTCCATGTACTCGACAAAGTCTTGCAGGCCAGAGAAATCACCAAAACAGCTCGACGCTCATCGCCTTCCGTCAAACCGACGCGTACACTCCTCCCCATCCAGTTTCCCTCTCGGCATCCCATTCCTCCTCGCGAAGCGCCGCTGACATCGGACCCTCAAAGAAACCGAACTCCGAACTCTCCGCTCTGAGCTGGAGAACGAGAAAAGCGACAAAACAAGGCGGATCGACGACGTCTCAAGGACTCGGATTCCCCATTACTCGGAGGCGGCAGCAGCAGCAGCATCAGGCAGGCAGAAGCATGACACTCGTCGTACGCTACACAACGAAATCGACCAGACCAAACCAAACAAAAGAACAAAGCGAGCGAACGAGGGATCGAGGGAGCTTGGCGCAGCGGGAGCCGGATCGAGACGTACTGTACTGCGAATAATTGAATATTCACCGGCCGGACCAGGCGACGGACGACGTTGGGGCGCGCGGCTGCTCTGTCAGGCGGAGCAAGTGGCATCCACATGCGCGTCGGTGTCGCAATGCTGCTGCTGCAACTTTTCCGACACTCATCGACGTCGTCTTCTTTCTTTGTCTCTTTTCCCCTCTTTTGGCCAAGGCGCCAAACTACACGCCCTTCCTTCTTGCGGCGCCTCACCTCTTCTTGACCTGCAACTCGTTGTTACCGGTCACCCCTGCGCGTCCACGATTACTGCGCTCTACCACCGATGCTGGGCAGTAAAACCTCCCAAGTGACGAGAAGTAATGACTAGAGAATCTTCTTACCATCACACTCAATGGAAACAATTGTCATTGGGAATGAATATTCCTTCGTCAAAGTTACAAGCTTTCAGCAAGATTTCAAGTCTCGTTTACAAAAAATCCGAAGCTTTTAGCGTTCAAATTATACTTATGGTCCACACGACAATTACTACTGAAATTGCTTTCGTTAAGGAAACAAAGCACCTAGTTGTAGCAAGAAGAATGGGAAGACCACATGAAATCTATATGGATGAATTCAAAGGGGTATGATGGTACTAGTCACCAGTAGTATCATAGTGGAAGATATAACACAGCAAGTAATATGTTCAAAGAAGTTAATCAAACTTATCACATCAGCATGTAATAATCATGATCGGATATGATTATTCTCATATAGACTGCACTCACGAATTTCGAATAATGAACTCGTGTGCTTTAAATTAGAGCATACAATATGTTAATATAAGTGGTATCTCTCGTTGAGTACTATCATAGTACCCAACGAGAGATATCACTTTTACTATGATAGTGTCTCTAAACAAACTTCTGAATGTCATCATCAATACTTCAACATGCAAAAAAAGCTCAAATGAACAAAGAGTCAACTTTGTCATCCTTCTACACTTTGGTTACTAATGCTATCTAATGCTATGCTAAATCTCAATCTATCCAGATCAAAGTTAATCACCTCCTTTGACATGATACAGTAACATTTGCAATATAAACTAACATAGTTGATATATAAAGATGCACGCACACCAAGAGTAGACACACATAACAAATTTATTTGAACTTATGTCATGAAAATTTTTTATGCTTCTTTTGTCACATGCTATAAATCAAAATGGAAATACATTTGATGCAAATGAATATTCATGCAAAATCATTATTTGGATCTATAAGCAGTACTAGTAAATATGTCAAACTACAAGAGCAAATTTTGTAACAAAAGAATGTCATCAACATGCAAAAAATGCTTAACGAGAACCCTGTCTAAGAAGCGTGACAATTTGCTTCTTCACGTAGAGAATCTAAAATAATTCTGGAAGGAGAAAATCTCTACATTGATATTCCAGCGAAAAAGCACTACTTTGACCTATACCTATGTAATTGTCATTCACACTAGATAATCAAATAGATTGTATGTGTATCACTCTCGCACTTGTACACTATCAAAACTCAGAGTGTTGTGCAACCTTGCAAAAATAGATTCTGTCCAATGTATTGTCATTATCAGATACTTCAAACTCTTCTAATTCTCTCATTTCGTTAAGTCTTTTTCTCTGTGCCTTTAGAAAGATGAAGCCGTAATTGTAATATATAAAATGTATCAAGCTTCATCAAAGTCCACTTTTTTATTACTCCCAATCGAAATTAATGAGGTTTCATGTCACAAAAGAATTACAAGCACTTGTTAACATATTCACTCTACATCAAATGAATCCCATATCCCTAAACTTTCCAATAGAAAATGCGATATTTTTTATTCTGTAACTAATGACTATTGTTCCAATATTATTCCACCTATAAGAATTTGTAATCTGACGATTATATCTCAGTTGCCATTCACAACTTGATATCCAGAAATCTGGTTCACAATTCGAATCAAGGCCATGTCTAAGGGAAAGTGTGGGCAATTAAGCCAAATGTGTTATATATTGAGGGTCCCGAGAGAGATTCTTCTTGCAAACTGAAATAACTCAAACAAAATCGTGATGGGACACTGACGAAGAAATTGCATTTATACGGCAGAGTTGCATCACAATAATGATGCTCACGTTTTTCCAGAGGTTACGATCTTCGACAATTTAACGGTGAAGAGGTGGATGCACGTCGCCATTACTGAGGTACTTGTTGGACGACCTGCTACATCCAGTCACATTAGGGACAGGACACCGGCAGACTTTCGATTTTGACTACGGAGTGGCTATGGTCTGTACTATGGTGACTCCGAGTAAATTGATACTAAGATAGTATAAGATTATAAAAATAAAAATAAAAAGATAGCAGTCAAAAAGCAAAACATCCGATAAGATAGCAACGCCATGATGTGAACCTTCTGATGGTTTTTATCTTTATTTATGGAGTAATAGAGTTATACTGGAGACGGAAGTTTCGATTGAGCGGAAATTGCAAGGATAGTCTGGACGCAAGTTGCTTTCATTGACCTGCATAATTCGGTCAACTACATATTGCAAACAGAGTTCGGTCAGATTTGCAATGGCTAGAGTAGGACTCCTGGAATAGAAATGATATCCAGTGTATATTTGTCAGGGAGCTTCGTTCTGGACGGAGGACCTTCAGTCAATTTTCGTTCTACTCTGACGACAATGACTTAGGAGGAGAAGAGTTCCCGGGGATCATGTAAAGAGGATCGTACGGCATGGATTGACCGAGGCATTCGAGTTCGTATCTTACTAAATTTGGAAGATTCGTTTACTCTAGAGATGCATGAGCAATTGACCTTGACAAGTAAGCTCAAGCTAAATTGACTATAATCAATAACCACATAGTTCAGATTTGAAGTTCTGGGAAAAAATGATTGACGAGGCCTAATCTCTTAGTGTTTTACGGTTGTATTTAATGATTAACATATTAGGTACAATGAAAAGATATCAGAACATTTGATTGCAAAAATTTTAAAAGTTGTAAACTTTTTGATACAATATACATCATAATTAAGAAAGTCAAGCTTGTGTGACGAAAATCAAAATATCACAGAGATACTAAGACTAGTTTATTTAAAAAATTACTTTTCATGCAAATTGTAACTAAATTTATCAACATCAAAATTTACAGATAAATCTACGGCATGATATGGACTTCGTATTATGTATATATATATATATATATATATTTATATATAATAAATTTGTAGTGAGCAAAATTTTAAACATTTTACTTACGGATGTTGTTAATGCATACTCATATGGCAAACTAGACACTGAAGCCTATCCTAAAATGCATGCATGCAACAATGATAATTTTACATTGTCGATTTAATTACCTCACCCAGAAAAATTTATGTGGAAAGTGAGAATCCAAATACTATTCATATATGGATATATTTAGAAATTTATTTACATGTTATCTTACATTCTTCTTCAAAGCTATATTTATTTGAAAAGTCGATTGGAAAGACATTGGTACAGGTATTCAAATGAAAAGACGTTTCAGATTTCTGAATTAAACATGTTTTTATTAAAATTTATTGTATAAACATATGGTATATAATTTTGTTTCTATATCAGTAAATTAAACGGATGACAACATAAGAAAAAAAAGACAATAGATAATGATATTTTTGGAGAGATTTGCTTGATGGGATCCCTGCGGAAAGTAAATTGCTTGATGGGACCCCTCAGGTTTAGTTTTACCCGATGGGACCCCAACGACGTTGTGCCGTCGGACATAGTTCTTGTAACTACGATTACTACTAGTTACAATACGGGAATTACAATCAAAGATCAATCCCTGATTATAATTTCTGGTGGATTATCACGGGGACAAATATCGATTTTGCTCGAAGTGCAATTTGTTGTGCTTCAATTCTTCCAATCGCAAAGATTCGCGGATTTCTCTGTTGCCTCCCACCTGCACACTCTTTCCGTAACCCAGCGTGGTCCGAGCTCAAGTCTCGCGATCACCCATTTGTGGGGAACAAATAAACTCCGGATGAACATTTCTTTGCTCGTCTTCTTGGGGAGTGGCCGGATACAGAATGACAACATCAAAACAAGTGAGTGTGATGGAGTGCGAAGTCCACTCTGTTTGCGGGTGCGGTGTACTCGTTGCACTCTCTCTAGTTGTTATTAGAATATGGGTGACGGTGCATCGTTCAAGGGGTCCCATCGGGTAAAATGAAACCTGAAGGGTCCCATCAAGCAAATCTCTCGATATTTTTGGCCATCCATGCTTGATGCAGAGTGTTAAAACAAATTACTTTGACGTTTAAGATATAGCAATGAGGGCTATTATTAGGAATTAACTCCATCTTCGGTTTGTTTCAATTAATTGATTAATAAGGTTACCTCGTAGTTTTGCTTTATCACTTAATTTGTGTCAAAATTGAAACTAAACGTACTTCTCAACTTCTTTATTATTAGTTTATGTCATCAATGTGACAAGTCTATTAAAAAATATATATATTATACTTAATTTAGACTTTGTTGATTATTTATATGTATGATATGCCAAATATAAATATATAATATCCATAATAAATCATTATAAATATGCATGTCAAATATACACTCAATCAAAATACTAGAAATGACATAGATTTTATTGACATCACCATAGATGATTATTCATTATTTTTCATTTGGATTGATCAAAAAGTCATTTAAGAACCTACTTAATCTAAAATAATAACACCAAGTCAGTGTGACCTTGTAGGTCAGGTCAACTAACGTAAATATTAGAGTTACTGTAGACTGTGGCTCTGTAGGAAATGAACTATGTGAATCCCGTAATTCCCTAATGCATGGGATAGCTTGCGCATCATTTGCCGTGAACAGTTTGGGGCCGGCTCTCACCGGATAACGTCGTCCCGGCGCCGGGCGAAGGGCGGCGGGCGGCGGGCCCACCCGCGATCGGCAGCGCGCCGGGGCCGTGACAGGGCTCCCATTTCTCGATCAGGTGAGCAGGATTCCACTTGTATCGATTGCTAGTCCACCATAGCCACGAGAAGATAACGACGCCGAGGAAGAGAGGAAGAGAGGAAAAGAGACCGATAGGGAGGGAGGAGAAGCGCAGTGGCGGTGGAATCTTGCCGGAGCAAGAGCACAAGTGGTGTCATGAGCCATCCGAATTTGATTCGGATTTGTGCAGCGACCAGGGGAAGTGACATTTGCTCGGTGTCTTGGGCCAGGTGTTGGTGCAGTGGCGGCGGCCTTTCGCCCAGTTTTCGAGTAGCGGGTGAGCGTGTGGGATGGCCGAGGCTCGTGGCTTGTGCCGGTGCAGAAGGTGCTGGTGACTCTACACCCGCAGCGAAGAAAGGCTTCGGGAGTCCCAGGAAGGTTGTGAAACAAGGTGTGAAGAAAAGTGGGTCCTCCAGAGGCAATCCGCAGGAAAAAGGAGTCCTTTTGAACAATGCGGATAGAACCGCTGACAGAGAGGGTTCGAGTCATTTGAGTAAAGTAATTGATGTGGTTGATAAGGTAATGAACGCGCCAGAGATTCTTAAGTGTTTCGATTTTTCGACGTTGCAGCTTCGGATGGATTTTCCTCATGATTGGTAGTAGTCCAAGTCTCTCATTGTTTTCTGAGAGTCTGACTGATATATTCGTGTATTCGGTGGTTCCTGCAGAAGGCTTCTGGTCACCGAGTAAGCCGATTGCACATTGATCCGAATGAGGCTAAAAAGGGGAAGGTTGACTTTGTCCGGGTCCAGACTTGGGGTGAGGATGAAGAGTCAGGCAAATTGGAAAATCTCAAAGTGAAGAGTTTCAGTCCAGCTGTGACTTCTTCGTCCAAAAAATCGGGTCCATTCTACGAGAAACTTGTGAACCGATTACAACTTCTAGAGTCGAAGGTACTTGACCTTTTGATGCAAAGCAGCCAGTCAGTCCTAGAACTCTTACAAATGACCATTAATGAGGTGGCGGTGAGGGAGATCGAGGTTTTGGATTTCATACCGTCGCAATGTTGGCCTTCAAGTTTGTCCCTTAATAGGGTTAAAGTCATGCATTGCCTTGGCCATTTCAAATAAAATGTTTGGTTGCGTTTTGTCGATTAAAGTAGATTTACTCAAGCATGATCACACTAAAACCCAAGATTTAGAGCCATCTGAGACATGAATTGAACGCATGCAGCTATATTTCTGACTGTAGCTTTCAATTTCAGTGTAGCTCTTACTGAGCTGCAACGGTAAGGTGTCTCCTCTCCTGAGTTACTCCGAAGTAGAAGGGTGCCTGAATAGAGAAGGTGCTTCCATTCTAATTCCTCATGTGTGCGCATCTTTAGATTCCAGGAGTTCATGATATGCAGTTTTCACCCATATTCTCTGAAAAAGTAATACGTGCCTGAATGCAGGGAGAAATGTCTGTAGCACAAGCGAAGCCGTTACCATCTTTTGATCGGTGGGTCTTCGGAGAGGAGCGCTACATGCAGTTTTTGATGGATCAGGTCCCACTCTCTTCCCCCTCTCTCAATCATACTAAAATTAACGGTAATAAGGTAGAAAACAGAGCTGCCTGAAACTGCCGTCCTTTCTACACTTCTTGTATGGTAATGACAGGGCGTGGCTGTTTCCTCTGATCATTCTATTTCACTCCACGTCGTGTAGGAGAGTTGACCTTAAACTTCATGTCTTCGTCAAGTTTCCCCGTTTATTATATCTGGGACGACAAGGTTTTACAAGGGCTCTGTTTGTTTGTTCTAGCGGGCAGTCTTTCAAGCTCTTAGGGATGTTATCGCTTCAATACACAGTGAAAGATGCGGCTCTGTGGCTGTTCTTGAAGATGGTTTAGCTTTGGGTGGAGCAACCAAGGCCGTCAGTCTATTTGCTGAAGACCTCGGCTTGGATCGGTGCAAGGTATGCACTTCTTCCACATATAAGATGTTACACATTTGGTAGGATAGTATGGTCTGGGTTTGCAGCTGTCAAGTTCCTTGATTCCTAACGAAGCATTCTTGGACCTGTTGTGATTTAGTTTCGAAGTTCATGTGCAGGCACTTGATTTGGATATTTCATTTTTCACGGAATTATTAACGGCGAGAGGAGAACAATTTGCGGAGTTCCCTACACCAACCACCCAGGCAGTCGGTTATGCCAAGGTTAGTGTTCTCTTGCGAAAGCCAAACCGATTACATTAGGTAGGACAGTACAGTGAGATGAACACGCTGAATCGATTTTGTATAGACTCCAGCGATGGGGTATCATGACGCGTACTCCAAGTAACGCGACATGCCTCTGAGTTCTTTCGTGAAGTATGGATCTAAGTATACACCTGAAACAGTCATGAACCTAACCTCCAGTGCGCTGTGAGGTTCACAGCGCATCGGAAGATAATTCTCTTGTCTTTCTGATATCTTGAAGTGTTTGTGCAGTACATCCGTCAGCTGGGAGCTTCTAGTCTAGAAAAAAGCGACAAAGCGAAGGATGCATGTCTGAAGTTTCTAGCACATGTGTTTTCAGTTTATGTGTCGCATCTGACAACAGGTTCGGACCATCGTCCACGATTTGTTTTGATTTATTTTTGTCCAGGTTTTTTGATCTTTTGTCAGCTCAATTGCCTTCATGTTATTTTTCTTGATTTCAGGGTAAACTTAAAGGGTAGCATATAAGTCCCAAGGTTTTTTGTCGCCAGTCCTCGTCGTATGATATACTTCAGCTATAATGAGGGGGCAATAGACTTTATCGTGACATATGTGTGATGAACGAATTGTAGGTATGAGGATCGGAGCAAAAGCCATGGATAACATTGCGATACTTAGGCAGGCAAATGCAGTGAGCTTCTACCGGGACTATCCATTGGTAAGAGGAGAGTCGGATTGATTTAAGTTTATTAAAAGCCTTAGTTTCTTATTATGTGACAAGAGATGAAATGATTAATGAGGAAGTTTCACATCTACGTTAATCCCTGGATTGAGTTTTAACTGGGGTTATGTTTGATTCGGCAGGAAGGAAAAGACCCTCTGAAATTGTTTATACAAACAATAAACTCTGCTGGCCTTTGCATATTGAGTGAGGAAGATCACGAGCAGGTACGTTATTTTCTTGTTTCAAAGCCTATGGTTACTGTTTCTTACCATTTTAGCCACGTGCATTCTTGATTTTTATCTTCTTTACTACATTATAATGCAGCAATAGTAATGGTAAGGCACTAATTGGGTGACATTGTCATTTTGTTGTCATTATCCAGGTGATGGAGGAGCTTCCGAAAGCAATGCAAAGAACAAGTTTGTTGCTTTCTGTACTTGCAGTTGAAGAGAAGCTTTTAACGGCCAGAGACTAGGAATGAAGTATCTGTACATTTGAACATTTTAGGGCATGAGGCTATTAAATAAGTCACCCATGGTCCATTCCTACTGCAAAGAGCCAACTTTTTACCTTACCCACGAGAAGAGAGGGTGATTGCAAATTGTACTAGTATGTTCTTTTTTGGAAGATTATCAATATATGCAGGCATTCATTCATTTACATGACATAAAAACGGTATAAAGTGATAATTCGTCAAGTTTTTTGATGAGTTTAATTGTTATCCAGAAGTTAATCGGCAAGATTCCCAGTATCTTGTCAGTTCCAGTCATTGTGTGTATGTTCTCGCACGCTGTAATTAAGCTTTACACGCTGGTTTAACATCATTTGAAAAGGAAAGTGCATTAACAAATTGACTGTTGTCATAGACTGTCCACATCCCAAAACATGTACAAAGAAATATGGCACATAGAAGCTGATGAGGAGTGAAATCTAGAGAGTTGGGCAATCTTGAAAATGTTCTCACGCGTTCCGCTATTCCTGTCATGTTTGAATTGGGCATGAACGAATTTGAAACCTATTCGTCTCGGCATTAAAGTGAAACGTCAAGATGACCTGGAGTAGAGTGTAACGTGAAGGAATTCAAAAGTAACAGTGTGAAGATACAATAATTTACGTCCACATGTGAGCGGTCGTGATACGCACAGTGTGGACGTCTTTTGATGAATGGGCGGATCATGGAATAAGATATCACCATAATCCTCATTTTAATCTAGAGAGGTTTCGTGGTGTGTTCTATCACGTGTTCAACACATTTAGTAGAGATATGAACTGATTAGTATGTATGATGTCTCACATCATTCTAATGTGAGAATAATGACAATGATATAGATTCAACTGCTTCATTACTGATTCGAAGTGTTCAAAATAATCTGTCACATCTACACCAAACCACTTTGGGTTTGCGTGATAGATTTGTATGTGAAGTGATTGTTGAAGATGATTACACCTTGATGATCAGAGCATCACCATGATTACCTCGTAACAAATCTTAACATGCTTAACAAAAAATATTATCATTTCACATTTCACATCACTGATTCTTTCTTTCATCTACTTGTTTAACAGATTATGTTAATGTTCAGTAACTTTTGCTTCATGTTCATTCTAATCAATTAAAATAATAGAGTATGTTTCTCTCGAAGAGTCTACCGAGATAAAACTCTGCAACTGCTTAAGGCGTCTTAGCTTGTTCGTACTCACAACTAATGATCTTTCCCTCACTATACAAACAAATGAGAAAGATAATTCAAGTTTGAAACTTCCAAAACATTCCGGTGTACTCATCTTTCGTTATAAAAACCCTCTTCCAGTATACATTACATCATAAATGATAGAGACATATTTAGATGAGTATAACAATTTTCATAGATCATCTCTTCACAATATTCAAGTTCAAGTTGCACTACTATCCATCATCGTACTCTTCCAACGTTGAGATAATCCTTGCCCACCTCCTTTTAGGTTATAAAGGACAATATTCTACGTTTGATACTATCTTTGGACAGACATTAGGCCTTTCTTTGACATGGCATATTTACAGTGTTTGCTAAACCACATATGTATTTGTCGAAAAAAATCACTAAAAATTAATCACCTTTGTATTTTGAATAAAATCCTTCAAATCAGCCAAGACTTCAACCTTTAAACTCGCTTTCCTTACACATTCACACTACAAACTACCACCGTTATGGTGTGATTTCTTACGTGCTGTAAAAGACGAGACCTTCCAAAATCCACGACGAAATGATCTTATTGGCGACACAACCATCATGTTCAAGTCTGATCTGCGTACACCCTGTTTTTCGTACTCCAAAGCCAACTTTCAGAGAAAACAACCAACACAGTGTACATCGACATTCAGCTTCAAAGCTGACAAATCGTGAGATGATTTACTAGCTTTCTCGCCTTTGTACACATCGTAGCACGTATAAGTAGCTACTGCAGAAGATGTTTCTCATACTTCACTCAAGCAGAAATTGTTCTTCCCAAACAACCTTCTTGTCACTACAGTTTGTCCTCCCCAAAAGGAAAACTAGGTTACTATCAAAAGTGAATGATCATAGAGTATTAGCAGCAAGTAGATGCAAGTTAGAGCTTTGATACACCTGTATAGCTGTTTTGCCCCAGCTCTTGCAACCTAGTGATCTACATTGTAGCTCGACACAAACATCCTTTGCCTCAATACCCTAGCTGTAGCATCCTGTACACAATTAGGGTAGTACGTAGAATCTCCGTCTACACTCAGAAATCATGCCAGATCCTAGAGGTAAAAGCTTCAAAATCCGACTGCCGGTTTCACTTTGCCTCGGAAGAGGATTTTGTTCAGCAGAGAGTCTCTCAAACGTTTCTTGCTAGAAAGCTTCATGTTTCTAACATAATCCGTCCACAATGCACACCCACATGATGGAAACAGCCACTTTTGTTTGGGAACGGAAGAGGAAAGATCGATCACACGGACTGTCTTTTGCGTTTCCCCTCACGCTCAAGTACATCGGATTCACGTTCACAATCTGGACTTTTCTCATCCTTGATTTGCTTACGATGCTCAAATGATGTTGGTACAACTCCTTCTGGTGGCTCGGTGGAAGGAGGATTTTTCCATGAGGGAAGAGAAGAAGGCGACGCCTTTTGAACTGGCCGTCTGAATGAAGATGGCGAATTTGCTTTTCTGACAATCCGCTGAAGATGAAGAACTTCCTCTGGAGGGGCGTACGTTTTGGATGGGGAGCGATAAAGGTCAACAGCCTCGTCGTATTCCCAATCACAAGCTGAGATCTCGTTGTCTTCTGCTAATTGGTTGCGTTGATGAATTTCTCGATGTTCTTCTATAGCATCTGTAGAAATGTTCCATTGAGACCGAAATCAAAACCTTTCCACAACAATGGCCAAAGCAAAGCCTCGGAACGGACGCCGAAGAAGACACAAGGTAGCAAATTTCAAATTTCCAGTTATGCGCGATGAGGAAAATGACCAATGGCAGACCTTTCTTCAGCTTTGCCCCAATGAAGTACAGTTGCTTGTTCATAATGCGTACCTATGCTAGACAGATGGAACCCCCAGGTTTACAGTAATGCTTTTCAAATTAAGATATGGGTCAAGATAGTCCAAAAGACCTACGTTACACACAAATGGGCATGATGACGATGGCAGAAACTAACCTTTCAAAGCTGTCTTAGTGTTGATGAGCTCCAACTGGAGTAAATCGAGAAGACGGCCGAGATCCACACAGCTCGTCCAATTCTCGGGTGCCCGGCCAACGCCAAGTTTCAAACGTCCGCGATTTGCCGTGCCTCCCCATATAATTCCGAAAGGACGTGGCTTCTCATGTTCTTCCCCCGTGACGATTATCAAACTGCCACTATCGCCTTCAAAATCAAACGACTGCTCCTTTTCTCCGATAACTAAGAAATCGGTAAAGTAGCAAATTCCTTCTTCGTCATTGTATTCCACAGCGTAAGCCCTGATTACACCTTTGGTCAGGCCGGAGCTTCTGCCAACCTTCAACACCTGCTTCCCGATTATGCTGTCAATTCGAGCCGTAAGATCAGCTCGCATAATGTCCCCCATCTCTCCAACACCCTTCAGATCTGCAGTAATATTCCTCAGGTCGAAGTCGTGGGCAAAAGGAGTGAAGGCCCCATCCGCTCGTATATACGTTTCTGCTTTGCACATGGCAGTCAATTAAGAACTGAACAGCTGACTTTACTAAAAGATGTGTTGCGACCAAACGTATTTGAGAGATCAGACTTGATCAATTGAGCAGATTTGCTCACAGTTTTCAAAATCATGCACATTCTAAAATTACGAAAAACCTGCTCCCTAAATTTCCAAGTCGAACTTGTCCCTTTCTGTACCCAAGTGTAAAATCGTCATTAGCACTAAGAACAACATTACAACTCAACCAGTTAAAATCGTTGCAAGATCATATGTTAAGCACTAATGAGCACTCACCTTCATTCAGGCTCGCGAAAACTCCGTACCACAGGTCGTCGGTGATGAATGAAGTAGCCCTTTCCACTGATCCCAGATACACTCCCGGACCTAGACTTGGAGGCAGCGGATGGAACATCTTCTGATGTGGATGGTCCAGGTCGACAGCCACATGCCTATTAGTGAGGAATCCCAGTTCGTGCTCAGGAGTAAGACTCCGAACTATACATCCCAGTGTTCCATATGATTTTTGACTCGCCACCTGCACGGCACTGACATCAGACAATCGAAGACAAATAAATTGATGCGAGACAGAATCCTCTCACTTTTGAGGCTACATGAAAGCTAGTGATATTCCGTATTACAAAGACCAATACTTTGAAGTAAACGGTGTCAAAAAAATACGCGGCGCTTCAACAGTTCCCTTGCGACAAGACTCGCTGACACGAATCAGAAAGGTAAGACTCGGGCACCTGGGAACCTGATCCTATGGTGGAATCACATCCTCGTAAAGACTCCATGAGGTCTGAATATAGGTGTTCTTTCGAAGACGACTCAGGTGGTCCGTAATACGCAAATTCCACCACATCCACGTCACACCAAACACCGCCGGGTCCCTACACAATGGAAATAAGAATATTAAGATCTCTCCAAGCACGAGACACAGCGCTCTTTGAACCAAGTCAGTTAACTCGGGTTCCTGAGTAGACTAGACTTTCTCAAGTTTCACTGATGCAGCCTAATGATACATGCGGATGACTCAACGGGCTGCTCATCCAAGATCATGAGTATGTTGTTTAAAGACACAGTTCTTATGCTGAATCCCTACATAAAAAAGAACTCACCTCGTGGCACCCGTTTTTCTCTTTCCATTTCTTTCCTTTACACCAGATGGTGTCATTTCTCCCGTTAGGACATTGCCTATCACAGTCAAGCGTTTCCGACGTATGACATTCCAAGTCATTGCTAGTTCCCAGTCTTTCACTTTGTTCAGCTTGTGGATTGTCTTTTCCTGACGCCTTGGTGACCGGACTGGAGTGCCGTTTAGACCAAGAAATCTATGGCATTTTATTGTAGATACGACATCTCTCAAGTGTAGACGGAGGTTTGAAGTCCTGTGAAGCCCCGTGGATTCAGCCATACCAAATGGCTGGAGAATGATCGTGGAGAAGAAAGGACCGGTATTCTCAAAGAGGCTACCGTTTTCAGCGAAACCGACTATTACCGGATCGAAGCTATTCGAAAGCGGCTCGACCCAAAAACAAGGCTTTTGAGCCAGTCAGAAGGTTTCCAAATGACTGACGAGAATGCAGCTCTCAACATTCAGAGAAGACATCATGTAACGTCGAACATGCTTTCCCGCCTCAACTTTCATCACCACCCTGCGTAATACGTCACCTACTGTTTCGACGCAACAAAAGCCGTGATAGGTACAAAAGTTCTGGATTCAAGTTGAGGTCGGACGAGCTTCCTGTAGAATGCCGTCAAGAAGCTCTCTGTGACCAAATCCAAAGCAGGACAGGCTCGATGCATCAAGAAGTGGAATAAGAATGCCAAGGCAAAGAGCCACCCATCTGTGTAGATTTTTTGCACACTTTTGAGCTTCCGAACGGTGCAAGTATAAATCTCACAACTCAAGGAGGGTAAGAATTTATATGCACCTGGAGAGTGGTGGGTAGTATCTGGACATCCAAGAGCCATTGGGGGTGCACTTTTCGACCGACAAACACGATAATCGCTGGGATGTTCGTCAATATGCCATCGCGGGTGCGAAATCCGAGCGCCGTACCAAGGCTGTAGAGCCGCAGGGCCTTACTGTGAAATCCGCGTATGGTCATCAAGTCTACCATAGTGCTCGCCTGCTTACCTCTGGGCAGTTTCCCTTCAGCATCGACCTCTCTAAGCTTAACCAATCGACTAAAGTAAGCAGCTCTCTCATCCGCGTTACGCCTCTGTCGACCAGAGGGTGGCCATAGCACGTAAGCAGAACTTTCCTTCGAAGTCGGTCGTCGGTACGAAGAAAGCGCTTCAGGCGGAGCTCTCACATGTTGGACTGGGCCCTCTCCCTTCGCGTAATTTACCACGCCCTCGTCATGTCGAGAATCAAACTTTTCTCCACTCCTGCCCTCCTTTAGTGTTGAAGGAGAGAAAACACGAGACATGGTTCCAGCTTCGTGACGCCTACGATCGATTACAGCAGACTTGTTACTTTTGACAATGTGAAGCGTACCTCGCAAGTACGTGGTAAGGCACACATCCCAAAGTCGATAAACCCCGGACCATATAACGAATTGACAAATGTGGCATAGAGAAGTGCGGCACAGTGACCGGCGAGACCGGAAAAACAAGCATGACATTCGCCTACTACTGAAGCAAAATTCTACGCATTCCCTTTCCTCCTGATTATACCGGGTGGTCTGTTAATAACACGGACCAACCGGCACACAGTGTTGCACCCGGGAAGCGTTGAATGGGCTAGATAATACTTGAAACACGGCAGTATCTTGCATCGAGACGTACCAATGCGCATATCAGCTCAGCTACATGACAGCACAAAACACAGATCAACCGAGCGGAAGAAAGGAAGGGAATACCAAATTCCAGGTCCGCCTCAAGCGCACTTAAGACTGACGTGCTTAATGCCCCTTCGCAGAGCAATCCCCTTTCTTAACTTTCTATCAGCACCAAGCGTGACTTCCACTTGGTACCATCTGCGAGAGCACTTGGAACGCTGTTGGCAGGTTCAGGCAATTCCGAGAAGGGGAGAGAGAATAGAGTGCGGTAACCGACCAAAAGAGAGAAATGAGATGGAAGATGCATCTTACAGAGCACAATATGAATATTGTGACCCGAACGGCTTGCGATGAACAAGATCGACCCCCATGGTGGCAAGTAGTAGCAAGCAGAGGGGGGAATTTTTAAACTCGAGAGAGCAAATTCCAAAGCTGAATTCCGGCCTCACGTGTACCCGTCCATCAATAACTGAAGGGCATTCAGTCATAATTCTCCGTTGACAACGCAAGTTCCCCAAAAAATGAGTTCTCTGCTGTGAAGTCAGGCAGGGAAAGAACACAGCAATGGATCAGGCGGCGATCACATGAAAATTCACAGGCACACAGACAACCAAGAAATGCGAATTGGAGCACACACAAGTGTTCTTCAACACCCACCTCCTCTTGTCCATGGGAGCAACCGATGAAACACCGACCTCATCTATTCACCTCATCAGAATTTATGAGACTTCGCACAGCCAGACGAGGCCCGAGCCAACGAGAGGAACCAGTAGCTGCTGGCCAGCGGATAGACCTATTAAAACGGCACACACTCATGTCAACATCGGCGGGTGATCGAGCAGCCACTCCAGTGCAAACTGTGAAGCAGCAAACGACACGCATTTTCTCACAGAAAATCCGAGTCTGACATCGACGCCCTGCCGAACGAAGAGAGGCGAAATGTGCAATGCACGAAACCACAATATCTCACTCAAATTATACCAATTTCCGCCTCTTTCTCTCCTCCTCCTCCGTTTCCCTCTGTCTCTCTCGGTCTGTGGGAAGCGCAGATTTTGAGAAAGCATACCTCTGAGCCTCTGAAAACACGAAGAACTCTGACAGCAGGCGCCAAATCCAAGCCGAGTCAAGTCAAGCCGCGCAGTTCTGTGGTGGCAGAGTCGATCGCGAGCGCAAGCGCGAGAGTGAGAGCGACGCAAGAAAGCACGTGGCCAGGAAGCCACCAAAGTGCAGGCACCGCAGCAGAAGCAGATCGGACAATAATGCGAGCCCCGAGAGGCGAGGCGAGCGAGACTGCAAGACTGCAGGAACAGCCAGCAGCCAAATGTGTAATAATTGAACGGCAGCGTCGGATGATGGGAGGAAGGAAGGAACGAGATCAAGTACGAGTCCGCCGTGCCCCAATTCTAGGTTTCAACGAGCGAGCCGACGCACGCAGACGCAGGAGGACTCCGACGCATCATCCGACAGACAGCTCCTGCTGCTGCTGCTTCTGTTGCCGCTGGACAGACAGTCGGAGACAATCCCGATAAGCAACGCAAGCCAGCACGAGTCGAGCGTCCGCTCGACTCCGGTATACGATACGCCGCCCCTCGTACACGGGACGCGCGGTTTGGCGTACGAGATTACGGACAAAGCCCTCTCACTATCCCAAATGCTGAGGCGTTGAATTCTGCGGGTTTTCCATCTACGCCCTGAATTTAATTTGTTCGCATGTTGGATCGGCATTTCGTGTGCATGTCCGTCCGGATCGGAAGTCCTGCCTACGCTAACACATATACCGAACCCTCTCGTAGTGTCTAGCCAATCATGTCATAGCTAGACGGACGTCGAATATCCTTTGGTGTGTCAGGTTCCACTGGCGCCCATTTTGGTACAAGGTTCTGACCACCTTTGTCCATACGCCATAAGGAGACAAATGAGTTGATTGTTCGGTGCTCTTGCCACTACATTTCACCATCGCCTTTTGATAGACCCGATCGCTTTGTTCCATCCTACGATATTTGTTAATATCTTACGCCATGATTTGGTTTGTCCTATCGGTCTCATCCTTGCTTTGAGGTGAGGTGACATGCGTGCTTTAGAGAAAGACAACCCTGTGCCTCATCATACAGATAGATGAAATCTACGTGGTGAGATTTAGACTCCCTTGCACTTAATGATATTTCATGAATATGAATTGAGAAACAATCTACTAGACCAATATCACCGATATTCCAATGATGTAATTACATAGTGAGACTCATTGGACTACCAGTCACAAACTACAATATGACATTGTATTTATGAATTTTTAGTAGCTTATATCAATTCCATGTCAAAATTTGCCAATGAACAACAAGCAACTTAGTGATATTCCAATTTGCTTATATCTTGGAAAATCGTACATAAATTTACATGATCACAAACGATATTCTCATTATTGGCAGATACATAACATTTTGCCTGGATAGAAAGCATATACTTTTTTTGCACAAAGTTGATGCATCATCATCTTTTACCCACTTTTTGTTTGTCTTATAATTCAACAAAAAGTAAAATTGTTTGAATCAACAAATTTGCTATGTGTGGCTTTGTCGTAGTTTCATACATAATATTTAATTGTGTTTCTCATCTTTCTTCGTAATAATTTGCTATCAGTGTTATAGCTATCAGTTATTTCAAATAACTGATAAACTTTTTTATCACTTATAAGTTTTCATGTTTTTAAAGCATGCATTTTCGTGAAAATCATATAGTACATTTGTTTCCCTTTATATTTTTTCAAATTCATGTCAGAGGTAATTGAACTTGTCAACATGCTAAATAAGCTCAAAAAAAACTTATAAATGATAAAAAAAGTCTATTTTTTAAATATTGGTTTAGACACACACAAAATCTTGTAATGATTGGAAAAATAATTTTTTAAAAAATAGAACCATTTCATATTTGATTCTTTTTGTAAATTTTGATTTTTTTAAAAAAAACTTGAGATTTAACGACTTATGTATAAAAACTAGGTTGATGTCTTGTGCAAGAAATTCTAAGATTCACGCCCTCAATAATTATATATAAAAATAAAATCTGAGATAATAGATCTTGGAAAAGTTTGGTTGAAGTATCATGATTTTTTGAAGTAAGATATATTTTTTTGGAAAGCAAAATTCTTGATGCTTTGAGATTTAAAATAAATGAAGATGATTAGATTCTGATATGATCAAAATTAGAATATTAGAAACCGAATCATTCTTCCGTAAACATTGTGAAGAATGATGATTTTTTATTATTATTTATGCAAAATACTACAATCATTAAAAATATGTAAAATATCAACAATATTGTAGTAATGAATTCATAACAATATATTTTTAATGATATTTATAACTTTCAAAATTGATAATAAAAAATATTTATCAAAATTGATGGTAATTTTCTAATATAATAAAATTTACAGTTATTACATCACTTGTCCATGTAAAATTTTATGTAAAAAAGTGAATTCATGATATATTTATCAGATGATTTTTTGACATATTATACAATGAAATCTGATTAATACTGAATTCAATATCATGTATTATTAACATGCTAAGTTTTAATTTCTTGAAAAATCATATCAAACCTCAATCAAACAGTAAAACTTGAAATCACACTGAGCAAGCCAACAATACAAGAGACACATGTATAACGGGATTCATCATGAAGGGCTACGTCCACGAAGTAATACACAAATGAGTATACTCAACATAATTGTACCTGCAGAAACATCAAAGTATATATAACCAATGTAGGCAATCAAACTCATCTAAAAAAAGCTACACATGAGGTTACTCTTTAACCAGAGTTAACCTCAACAATCTTTCCCTTCATTTGCGATAAGAAGTCTGAGTAATCTCTTTAACCTATAATATTACTCAGCAAGAAGTTTTAAACGAAAATCTAACACAATGGTACTCTTTCAACGAGAGTTAACTAGAACTAAGTCATAACCATAACATGATAGAATACTAATATACAGAGGTAACTCAACAATCTTACCTTAACTCATGTTAAAAAATATTAGTAAATATTCTAAGCTATATTATTACTCCTATAATATAATAAAGCAATAACCCATAGGCGTAACTCGTGACCACTGTCGTCCATGATCAATGTCGTCTCCAACCACGTCATCCGTGACCAATGTCACATGCAATCATGTTGCCTGAGACTACCTTTCTAGTCAATTTCTTCCTTCTTAGTCATTGTTTAGCTCGTGAAAAATGTCTGGATGCACTATTCGCGTCGAAAGCTTTTTAGCGATACTCAATTTTCCTCTATTTTGATGAAAATTTCTTTAATAAATATTTATGACCAAATATTCCTTCATCGTTGTTCCCAACTGTCACTATCGGTCTCCGTGATCACCGTCACCGTCGATCGACCGATCACGGTTGGTCGCCGACTACGTTAGATCCCGATCACGATTGCAACCAAGTTGAGTCCAACCACGACCTTGACCGTAATCACGTTTGATCCGACAGCAATCGCGACGTTTCCGCTCTTATATCAATTCTAACAGTAAAACTCGAGATCACACTGAGCAAGCCAACAACACAAGAGAGACACGTATAACGTATCTCACCCTCAAAGGCTACGCCCACAGAGTAATACACTCGAGAAAATTTATTGATTCAAGTGAAAACATAACTATACTCGCAGAAGTATCAGGGTATATATATCCAACGTAGACAACCAAACTCATCTATAAATAACTACACATGAGGTTACTACACCGAGTACAGTAATTACTCTAAATTGGCAAATAGTCAGGATTCATAAATAGTCTGATCCAGACTAATACATGGTTCTATGTGTAATTTAAATCCCATGAGTGACGGTTAGCACTTAAGACTAATATGCAATAGCCAAACGCTGCACCTGCCCTGACGGTTTGTTGCGCTTTTCACAATTTGATGATGTGTTTTTTGTCCTTTCCTATTATAGCTGGTTTCGCTCGCTCTTAAGCCTCTCGGGAGGAGATTGTTACTCCAGAAGAAGGTGCAGTTTATCAAGAAGAAGTCACTGATCAGGAAGAGGTTGTGGAAAAAGCTCATCAGGAGGAATTCTCTCAGGCAGACACGCATCGAACAAGAAAGCTACTACAAGTGATTTCTATTGGGAGTCGTTGTATGGTAGTTCGTTGGATGATGCAAGAATGTGATTTCAACGGCAAGAAAGATCTTTTCGCCAAAGCAATGGCAAACTTTCCGCATCTTTTCCGTTGATCCTACAAGGCAAATATCAAAAAACGTCGTCATGATGGAAACTGAAAAACCAGTACTCAGAGACCCGTGAGCATCCCGAGTCTTTGTAGAGGAATCAGCAGTTCAAGGCTACGAGAATGAATTTCAAAGCGGTGGCATGTCGTGGCCGTAAGAAAAAAGATTGGGTGGCGCACGTGTATGTAGGACTCAATGAGGAGTTCTGCCAACTATGAAAAATGGGGCTAAAGTTCTCAATAGCCTTGCATGACACTCTGGCTAGAGACATTATCAAATCAGATTTTGGATTTCAGATATGTAGACGGCAAACCGATTCTTGACAAAATTACAACAAGATGGGTTCAAACATTCATAGCGAAACACAACGTGGTCGTGCGCCCTCAGACATGAAAGCTGATATGTAGTCTAAAGAAAGAACTTCATGCTGAGAAGACTATTGCGTACCACTTGGGCAAACTATTTAGAGTATTTTCATCTAGCGAGTTGGATGAAAACCTAATCAAAAATATGGACGAGACTCATTTCGTGGTGAATGTTGACAATGGTCGGACCTTAGGATTACAAGGATACAACGATGTCAAATACACTGATGTTGTTTTCGGAAGAGAGTGTATGACCATGATGGTCCGCATTACAGGCAGATTTCCTCATATATAAAGGCATCAATGATCATCTTCACGAACAAGAATAGATACTATCTGATTCATGGTTTATCAGATGATGTGCAATGTGCAAGCTATCGTAGAGGGCCAAAAGGGTGGAATGATATGCAAGTTTTCCCGCAATGTCTCTCTGAACCACATGCTATTCAATTTGATCGTTATGGAAGACAAAATATTATTCCTTGACAATTGCGGAGTTCACAATGAATCCGATGCGCTGTCAGTTGCGCTGACTAGAACCAAGACAACCCTTCCGTTCTTCCCTCTATGTGCTTGTCAATACTAGCTAGTATTGACAAGATTAAGCCGGCAGATTCTTTTGTTATTTCCAAGATCAAGGATGCTTGGACAAAACGATGGGAGAGCAAAAATGATGTTACTCAAACTTATTTCTCTAATCCATACTATTTTGGAATATTCTTAATTAGTCTAGTCGAGATTGGTTTTTGAAGCACACAAATAGTCTGATCCAGACTAATCTATGGTTGGCATCACAAAAATTCATGTTCAAAATTAATCTTGTCTAGACTAATTACTATAATTGGTGTACTTAACACGAGTTAACCTCACTATTCATTAAGTTTGATGACAAGTTTTTATCAAACTACAATAT